GTCCTGTAGGGAAGTCAGATGATTTAGTTATGAAGACTATTGGAGATGCGATCGCTGAGGTCGGTTTGATTCAGTTTGAAGATGAGTACTTTGAGTGGTGGATGAGAGGTGTGAGAGACTCAGTTCCCGAAAGAAGACTGGATGATCGTAATCACAAGGGTGTCAAGGTTCTTGGCCCTGATATGGATTTGTTTGGCACTTGTTGTATATGTCAAGAAGATTTCATACTTGGAGAGGACGCGACCTTTACTTCTCCTTGTTCTCATCTTTTCCACACTTACTGCATCAACGAGTGGATTCAAGAAACTCCAAAGTGTCCACTTTGTTGTATCCAGCTTCAAATTGTTTAAAAACCAAAGCCAAGGCTTGATGATATATTGTATTCGAGTCTTTAGCTAGTCTCCAAATCCGCATAAAATAAGTTCCAGTTTTCTCCTATATTTTATATATATTGCATTTTTTTGTATGACATATATCATAGAAACTCTAGTATGTAACAACATGAGCACGATCTCGCTTTGATGCCCAAACTATATGACTTGTCTACCAAGAAACAAAAGCCTATTGCTTTAGGGTTCCAATGCTGTAGATTCTGAAGAACAATATAAAGAAACACAAAGATAACATACTAGAAGTGTCTTAAGATTCTTTTGTACTACTCTGTTTCTGACTTAAGATACGACATCACTTTGGTCACAGCCTTAAAGATGGCATTGTGAAACACTATTCATTTTGTGGCATCGTCACCATAAATTCATATTCAATCTTCCCGACACAGAAAAGTAAAAAGCTAAGGAAAAAAAGAAGAAGATCGATTTCGCTTTTTTTTTTTTATAGTTTTAAAATAAATAAATCAACGGAAATAGTTTTAAGCTATTGACGTATTCATGTATTCACGAATCTGCAATTTCTTCTAACTTCTCCATCGGCGAAGCTCTCAGAATTCAAAATGTTCCCCATCTTCACCATCGACTTGGAGAATTGCTCGAAGAAAGCCACCGGATCCTCCGCGTACTTGCTCACGATCCGCCGCGTCTGTATCGCGAACATACTCGTGTACATCTCCTGGTCCGAGTTAAGCAACCCTTCCCCTCTCAGCAGCGTGTGGTATATCGAGTTGTCGAACAGATTCGGCGTCACATTGTCCATCGCCGTCACGTTGCTGTCTCCTTCTCCGCTACTCGCCGGACAAATCTTTTGGAGGCTCGAAAGATACGTCTCCGACACCGGATTTAGCGCTGACGTCACATGAAAATCTCCGTAGATTCTTGATCGGAAATTCCGACATTGCGCCATACCGATCGTGTGAGCTCCTACGTAGATTAGGTCAAATTTCTATTTATTAATCGGTTTAATCAATTTTCCGGTTTTGTAATACTATTACTTCCGGTTTAGTTTGGTTTAAAGAAGATTGATCATACCGATAAGAGCAACCATATCTTCAACAGAGAGACCTTGAGAGTAGAATTTAGAGATGATGCTGATTAAACCCTCTTCAGGAGTTGGAAGGCTCGATGTAGCAAGCTCGTAGCTTGCAGTCTTTGAGTCTTTTCTTCCCACAGGAACGTCCCAGTAAGGTCCACCAACCTTTTGATCGATCAAACAAAAAATTAAAATGTTTAATTGATTTCATTGTTCATAAAATACTATATAATATACAGTTATTGATGAGTATATGTACCAGGATTGTAGCATCTCTAGCAGAGATTGTGAGAAGATCAGCGCAAGAAACAACTCCAGGACATTCGGATTCTATTATGTTCTTGATTCTGTCTACAATTTTGAAACCTTTCAATGAGTTTGTGTTCGGAGAAGCTTTCTTCTCTCCCTGCAATGACTCTGTTTCGTCTAGTAACACCGATGCATCGCATCCCTGCAATACAGTTTTAATGAACCCTTAATAAGTAACTATCCATATTGGGAAAAAAAGAGATGGGATGATTTCTTGTGTTACAAGCAAGATTTGGGGTAAGTAACTTACTTGGACAAAGCAGTCGTGGAAGTGTAAACGAATCATTATGGCTGCATTTCTAGGATCTTCCTTCACTATGCATTCCATTTCTTTCTTGATGACTTCAAATACGGTCGGGCAAGTAGACATGTAATAATCTAGGGTTAGAGGAATTTCCTTTCCTAGTATATCAAAGGAAAAGCATGGGATAAAGATGGTGTGAACCATCAAGAACACAAGGAAGAGTCTCATTGTTCTTCTCCTTAAACCCCTTTTGATCCAACTTTTGGAAAAATGATAATTTGTAGGAGAAGATGGGTGGGACTTGAAAGAGATATATAAGTTTAACAGAAGATGGCATTGTAGGGTTTTAGGTTTCTTGTGTTACAATGGTCTTGAGAAGTTGGTCAAGTGAGATGCAACTAATTTTGTGAGATGGTTGTTGGGTTTTCCTATGACCCAAAGATTATTAGATGAAAGTTTATTTGGATAATAGTACAGATGATTACCATCGCCCCCCCCTAGCCGAGAACACCCACATCACTAGGGTTTTATTACTTGTGTTACAATGGTCTTGAGAAGTTGGTCAAGTGAGATGCAACTAATTTTGTGAGATGGTTGTTGGGTTTTCCTATGACCCAAAGATTATTAGATGAAAGTTTATTTGGATAATAGTACAGATGATTACCATATCTTATATTAAAACTGATTCTTTTGAAATAAATCTTGAAGTCTCATTGTTTTGTAGTTTGTTCAACTGTTTTTATTTATGTGGGCATCAAAATGACTTTTTTCGTTCAACTAAGAAATTAAGAAATACATAATTCCATGAGTGAACGCTGGATATGGCGACACTAATATAAATTATTGTAAAAAAGCATTTACTATCAGATTTTTACTTTGTGAAAAACTAGAATCAACATTTTGTAGGTCGCCAATAGATTACATGAGTAATTTGTTTGCGTTAGTTATCTAACTCGGGCTTAATAGATTTAAGATTTTGAATTTCTCTCAACCTCGGCTATAATTTATATATTTTCCTTAGAAATAATATTGGTAAGTGTTCTTCTCTTGCTCGTTTTTTTCTTCCCAAATGACGAAAGATCAAAAAGTAGGAGGGAAAATATGAGCCACTCTTTGGCGTCATCTTGAATTATACGACTAATTCAAAATAAGCTCCAAAAATCTAAAATAGTGACAACGTATCTTTGCTACAACTTAATTTTTATTTAATCGTCGTCAACATGTTAAATAGTTTAAGTCTAAAAAACGGTTAGAAAACAAGGTTACTGTATATACGGCAATATGGTATTGATGCATTAGTTGGAAGAAGCTTGTGTTAGGTGGTTTAGGTAAAGTGGTAGGAGATTTCGATGAGCTCTTCGTCTTGACCTTTTAGATTTAAATCCGATACACACAGTGCCGATTCAAAGAATTCAAACGCCCTACTTGAATCTAAAAAATACTCTTATTAAAACTTTGTAAATGATATTTATACACCACTTAAAAAAAAATTAACAAAATATGCTCTTATTCAGGACCGGCCCTGGATACACACTAATAAAAAAACTCTCTTCTTCTTTCATTAATCCGCTATCGAGTTTTGAAGAATAATACAATTATATATTTTCGTTCATATAATGTATCATGTCTATATTTTTATTTTTACCATACTCCATGAAACAGTCCAGTATTTCAATTAGGACATCAGAATGTTTGCATTAGGAATATTTAAATATCTCTACAAAAGCTAGCAAAAAGGCTCATTAGCTCAGTTGGTTAGAGCGTCGTGCTAATAACGCGAAGGTCACAGGTTCGATCCCTGTATGAGCCATTTTTTTCCCTTTTTTCCTTTTTAAATACGAAAGAACCAAAGAAAGGGTTTTGAAGTGATTGTGCTCCTACTATCTCTTTGCAAACGCATTCTCTATCCCGCTATTCAAACGGGACAATTAATATACACAAGACAAAAAAGAAAAATGTGTTGTGTGATTGCCGATTTCTGTTTGAACTCCTAATCAAACGGAGAATAAGGATTGGATTTATTGTTATATATGTTGAAACGTTCAATGATACTCTCTATTAGCAAAACATAAATTGCTAGAGACTAACCTCGCATTCTTTCTTGTCCGATTTCTCTTTCACATATATTCTCAACCTTTTCTTTTGTAAAGTGTATATTACCTTATAATCTTTCTCTCTCAATCTCACTCTCACTCTCTCTCCCTCTCCCTAATTCCCTCTCCCTCTCACTCTCACTCTCACTTTCACTGTCAAACCCACTATAAAAACGATCGTATATAATACGGATAATATTATATTTTCAATATTACAGGAACTATGATTTGCTTTTCACTTAACATGTCAACTTTTTTTAATGAACTACCAATTATCAAATAAATTTTCGTTTTCTTTAGGTCTTGGTTAAAGCTATAATTGTTTACAGAAAGACTACATATATATAGTACCGAAATTAAGCAATTATACAAATATGAAAATATCAAATACAAGATATGGTCACCGTCTGCCGACCGTCCAATCAAGCCAGACAATGCTGAGGAACCATCTTACCACGAGCAGAACCATCAACATTCTCGCACACGGCAGTGGAAGGACCACCCTCAACTCCGTTATGCTCTAGGTTAATGTCAATTAGCTCAACATTCTTGCAACGAAAGCTCTTGCTACATTGTAGATTCACTGCCACTTTGTTCTTCGACGTCCCATATATGTTTTTATACTTAATGTCCTTTATCTGAACGTGAGACGCTCCCTGAAAGAATACAAACACACAATTTCTTTTCTTTAGTTATTGTTTCGTGTGATGAAAAGAAAAAAAATAGACTTTGTTTCTTGTGTAGAAAGCTAACCGTCTTTTCACAAGGTGGGTAAGGACAATACTTCTGATCGATGTTGATTGGTTTTCCAACATTAATCATCTGAATATTCTCGAACACAAAGTTAGAAGCGACGATCTTTGCAGCAGAAGATTCCCAAGTCTTGATCCGAATACCATCACTTGTGCCGTTAAAGACCGTGTCACGTACTGTTAACCGTTAACGTCTTTCTCGCCTTTGTTCTTCCCTAAGCTTCCGACACTAATCCCATGTCCAGGACCACACTTGACGTTAGAGATATCCATGTTGATGGTTCCAGAAAGAATGGCGATACAGTCGTCTCCAGTACCAATGTTTGTGTTAGAGATGCGAATGTTGCTACAGAAACCGAACTTGATACCGTCGGTGTTTGGGCTATCGCCGGGAGCTGTTACGGTGACGCCAGTAATGTTGAAGTGATGGACGGAGAAGAAGTTAAGTGTCCCATTTTGCTGTTGAGTGATGTTATCCCATCGATTCTTGAATTGTTCACGAATGCAAATCCCATGTTCTATTAAAAAAATTCAAGTTTATTACAAGATTAGCTAGACTTGAATATAACAAATCCATGGTCAATTTTGTAATACGATTTAAATGCAAATAATAATCATAAACAATATATAAAAGGATTAAGAAATGGTACCATAGCTAGTTTAGGACAATTGGTGTTTTTGTGGCAGTCATTGAGTGGCCAAGACTGCTTCCCTTGACCATCGAGTGTACCGGTACCGGAGATATATAGATTGTTGATGTACCTGAAGTTGATCCAAGTGTCCTGCTTAATATCTCTAGGGTTTGAAGGAGCCAATAAAGTTCCATCAATGACGAATTCAATCTGATTTTTGCATGGCCCTATAAACTCTACACCACCGAGATAGAATGTTCCTTTTGGTACGTAGATTTTACTACTTCCACTTCTTGCGCATGCGCTTTTCCATACATTTGTGAACGCCTAAAACATCGCGAGACTCGAACTATGTTAGTTATTGGGTTGAGCTTAAGTATGTGGAAACAAATTAATCAACAAAACTATAAATAATGTTTTTAAACTAAATAGGAAAATTGTTATGTACATACATTGGCGTTATCAGTTTTTCCGTCAGATTTAGCACCATAGCGTCGAACGTTGAAAACCTTTTTGCCTGAAGGTCGGACGACTTGCAACGGCGATGAACAAGAGGACAGACACAAAGCCTTAAACAGAGAAGCAATGACCATCTTTTTAATTTATATAGGGTATGTGGCAAAGAGCAAAGTGTGTTATTTGTAAATATTGTTTTCTAAGACACAATGAGAAGTGTTGGCAATTTTTTATGCTTATATAGAGCTAGGTTCCAATGAACTGTTATGCTGTTAGAAGGAATCTAAACGAAAAGAAATTGATTTTTGTTACCAATTATCGGCTAAAATTGGGTTGTTTCTTTTGTATGAATTTGATTGGTTAATTTCTTGTTATATATGGATGTTTTTCGAATGTATACCGTTTTCTTTTTGTTTTCTCTTTTAAAACAGAATCTTGATTTGGCAAAAGGCCAATTAGATTTGCTTTCAGCAAAAGATATAAACTCGTTTCGGTTAATGTTTTGTTTTGAGATGTGTAAACAACGCTAAATCATTGCCCAATCTTTAGATGTAATTTTGTTTTATTTCTGTCAAGGTTTACGTTTATGAATTAAATTCAAAGCGAAATGTCTTTCCACAATCTCGATTTCCTATACAGTATATCTTCGGTATTAACTTGTAGATGTTCTCATCTATTTGAGATTTGGAACACCCTTAAAAGTATATTTGGAACCAAAAAAAATAAAAACCAAAACAGTCGAGAATTCTGAACCAATAAGTCTATTCAATTATTGCACTTTTAGGATATCATGATACAAAAAAAATTGGGCCGAGAAATCTAATCGAAAGGTATGATGTTACAGCAGAGATCTTTTGTCATCTTATCTAAGATGGCAACCGAATCATGAAAAAGGCTTTAACAAGTATAGTGGTGTGTCTAATTTAAATGAGAGAAGTTTCCAAAGTATATATATATATAATGTGTACACACATATATACAATTTCACATGGGAGACTTATGAGTAAGAGACAAATTAATTCATGGAGAAGTATACCTGACAAAAGCAGGCATTCAAAGTAAAGCAAAGTTTGGTGCTCCGAGACATACCATCTTCTTCTTTTTTTAACACCAACCAACTAAAAACACATTACACTAATCTCTGTTTAAGAAACGTACGATTAAGTATATTAGTTCCATGTTCTAACAACACAAGTAAATAATCTAGAACCCAATTTTTATGAGAGTGAAAGAGAAGCCAATAATATAACTTCCCTCTTTTTTGTCTCAACTACTCACCCACCATAAGTGTCAAAAAGAAACAAAATCCAATTCAAGAAGTTATATACATTTCTGATTTTTCAATATTGGCCAAATGTTAACCCCATTACTAGTGAAATAAAGATATATAATACATAAACAGTACTCACACGTGTAGGATGAATGATAGGACAAACAAAGACCCACATGAGAAAATCCAAGGAGTCTCCCCAAAAAAATACAAGCTTGGAGGCATTAACGATGCATACAATTCTAATAAATCCTAATATATCTCAACTCGTGAGACCCACAATGCGTATTATTATTTGTACTATGAGGATCAAATTTTCATAAAAGTCCAAAACTGAAATTTTTATTTAAATGCTCAAATGGAAGGGTCAAAGTCTTTACTACACCATACCCGTTTTTAAACGTTATATGGATTCTCTTCTCTCCCACACACTTAATTTCTTGATTTGCTTAGCTGTAACCAATATGGGACTCCAACCCACTGTAAAAACAAATGCAAAAGGTGAAAAAACCCATCACAGAAACAAGAATTACTACTCTCTGTTTTGTCATTTTCCTCAAGAATAGAGAAGTAAATGACCAAAAAAAACAAGTTGCATTACCTTCAATGCAAAAGAAAACAAGTATATAATTTGGGAGAGAGAGGAGAGAGGAACACAAAAGGCTGCAACACTTTTTATGACCAAGACAGGACTGAGAAAGGAAGAAGAGTATTAAAGGAATGAAGAAGAGGAACAGCTCCTAACCTAATTAAGAAAATGGATTTCATATTCCTTCTTGTTTGTTGAGTGGGTCTCATCCTATTTCCACCTCAAAAGCTACTTTTATTTATAGTTGTGAGATTCATTATAGGCTCAGTGAATGAAAAGAGAGAGAAGTAAAAACTAGTAAATGTTATGTCTATCCTTATCTATTAAAAAAAGAAAAGAAGAAACAAAAGGGTAAGTGTTTAACCAATGAGCATTGCTTACACATCACTTAAATGAGAGAGCTCAAAACAGATAACTCTAGTTTGGTGGGTATTGATGTTCTCTGTCTCTTGTGTGGTTCGAACCGTGTTTTGGGAACTATAATACTCAATTCCCTATAAATATATCTCTATAAAAGAAATAGGTAAAGATAAAAAATGTTTATAGAAGTGTACTATTTTTATTTGAAGAAGTTGCTACTAACCTTTTATCCTTCATATATATCTGAAAAAGGCTTGTCTTGTAGTGCTTCAATTGAGTGAAAACAATGGTGTTAGAATTGCCATGTGGTGAGACTCACTCCTGGTATTCAATTATATGAGTGATTCCATAGGCTCCGGTTTTTTCTGATTCTGAAACACAAATAAGGAAAAATAGAAAAATCAGAACAACAAAAGAAAAAAAATAAGACAAGTATTTATTGATGATGAAGAGCAAAGCCAAAGACAGCGAGAGACACATAGGCTATATCAGAGAGTAAAGAGATGTGAACAAGCAGAGAGAGAGAGAGAGAGAGAGAGGTACGTAAGGTTAAATAAAGAAGAAGAAAAAAAGTTATTTTTGTGTGTGTTAGTAATGGAGTCTCCAAGAATCCATGGAGTTGCTGAGGAGAAGAGTAGTTGTGAATCAGGATGGACTATGTACATAGAAGACACTTTCCATGGAAACAATCATCACTCTGATGTTGTCTATGAAGACTATGATGATGGTGATGATGGTGACTTTCATGTCAAAGATCAGGTCGATGATGGTGGTGATGATGATGATAGTAGTGACGATAAGAGCGATGACTCAATGACTTCTGATGCATCCTCATGGCCTAGCACTCAGCTTCCAAAGAACACCAAGAATCATGCAGCTACAAAGAATGTCAAACAAGTCAATCACAAGACAAAGAATAGAGCTTGTGAAACATTCAGCGACGAAGAAGAGGAATCTGAGCTCAAGGCAAGAACAAGAACAAGAACCACTGGAGCTAGTCGTGTTCAAAGTAGAGGCAAGGTGAGCAAAACCAAATAAGATTCATACTTGTTTTTTTTCCTTTTTAATTTCTTTGTCTATCCAAAATTCTCTTTGGCTCAAGAAAAACAAAAATTTCTCTAGAGCATGTTAGTTTGTTTTACCTTCATTCAAATGTATGTGTAATTGCATTTCTTTCTTTTAAAGGAATGTTTGTTTTTGCTTAATGCAAACTCCGTTCATGTAACTTATCTGCTATGCTAATAATATTTATCTATTCCACATATACTTAACACCATTGAAAAGCAAACTTTTTTAAGAAAAAATCTCATCATTTTCAAACGAATTGAGATCCAAAAGATTGAATTTCGGAATAAAACAAAGAGGGTTGATGACAAAACAGGATTTTTTTTCTAAGGTTTTACCAAATTGTTCTATAGGTGTGGCCCCAAAGTAAAGCTAACACACCATATAGCTTTGCCTATTAACAGAGAGTCCTACTGCTTTCAATTCCCTCACATGATTCTTTTTATTTAAAAAGAACAAATTTCAATCATTCAAGATATGTCTTTATCAACTTTCAACACAAACTTTCCATAACAAAAAAAAAAAATCACAAATTACTATTTCATATCAAGAAACCAGTTAGAGAAGATCCAAAACAAAAAGAACCTCTTTGTGATATTATTGTTCTCCACCTTTTCAACACAGTAACAAACCACGTAGTTTCTTCCTTGTTCACAACACTAAGTAAATTAGAAAAATGTATCTATCAGAGAAATCTCCAAAAACAAAAAGACAAACCAAAACTTCCATATCAGTACTTGAGATAACAAGAGTCAAAGCTGGTAAATTTTGTAGAGTCAATATACAGTTTTAAGTGTTTTGAAAATGACTGAAAAGGTTTTAAGCTTATTGAATTAGGGAGCAGAAAAGAACAAAAGAGATTTAGCTGGCAGCTTGCTACGAGAGGACCGCCTTCACGTAGATGTGATTCTCAAGTCACTTTCGACATTGTAATCTCAAATCCACCATGCACGTGCAGAAGCAATAAACAGGTAGATGATAATGAAACAAGGGTCGTCTAATCTAATTCTTATGACCCACAAAATGTGTAGAGAATGTGACTCAGTAAATGCACACAAGACATTGGACCTGGTCTACCACAACTTCAGGAAGATCGTAGAACCAAACGAGCAAAGGCCAAGAACCAAGAACAAATTATTTTTCTGTTAATAATTAGCTTGCACACGGTTCCATTGGTAATCGAAAATGACATCCCAAGAAAATATCAAGAAGAGAAACAAAGCTTTCTTGAAATAAAAAGCAACCACAAATCATTAAGAGGATGTTCAGTAGCATATCTCATTGCCTAGGACTCTTGAAGAAAACTTAGTAATCCAAACTAACAATATCCTTAATTTTCCTCCCTTAAAAACGCTACCATGATACTCTCATTGCCCAAATTTTCAGCTCCTTTCACTGGCTAATGACAAAAGCATGACACCATATTGACAAGTATATAAAAAAGCAAAATGATCTTTCTCAGGCTACAAATATTAAACATCATAAGAAAATAAAAAAATGACAGAACTCAAATGGATATGTGTTTTTGTCTCATTAACACTTTTACTGAGCTTATCAGTTGAATCTCTTAAGATGAACCAGAAATGGTCTGGTGGGAATCACTTTGGTTATGAAGGCGGTTTCTGTCTTCCGGGTCTCTGCATCGGAGGATATGGTGGTAGCAGATTCCGTTACGGTGGCGGTGGCGGTGGTGGATATCATCATAATGGTGGTGGTGGTAGAAGCATGGACAGAATTGGTTACAGAGAGACCATGTATTGCAAACCAGTGACTTGCTTAAGCGGCGCATGTCATGCACTTCATTTGCATTTAGACAAGGGTCTTTACGAGTCTCTCGTAAGCAAGAACGCAGAGAAGCAACACACATCGAGTGTTGATTACATCCCAGAGACTTTTAAATACAATGTCAACAAAAACTATGGTTTCAAGAAAGTGAAAGAAGAAGCTGCAATGTCACCACAGTCTAACAACTAGCTAATGAAGTTTTATTAGTCTTTGTTATATAGTTTGTATCAATAAACATATTCTAATAAAATCTCATCACACAGAGATGTATTATAGCACAATTTCACAAGATTATACTTAAGCTGGAGAATAGACATTAAACTAGTAATATATGTTTGTCCAATAGCAATTCTCATATTATTGGATTAAAGAGAAAAATATAGGCTCCTTCTTTTCTTTACGGATTATCGGGTTTTTTAACCGACCGGTCGAGTTCGATTCCGACCCGGATTGGATTTTAATGGAAAAATTCGCATAAACCGGAGAAAATTGAAGTAATAAACAACGAACTTTACTCATTAGATTCTGTAAATTACAAATTTTAACCTTTTTCTTAACTTTCGTTTACTCTCCCAATTGCTGCATTTCTCGTAACAAGCAGAGTAGAGCCTTTGTGCGATTTTCTTGCGGTTTACTGAAAATTGTAAAGATAACGAAACGTTACATTTATATGAAACAAATATTGCGTTTGATTGAATTAATATTGAGTTATTTTATGATTTAAAAAAAAAAGCAACGAACTTATTGACCAGGTCGTGTTTTTAAAGTGACAAGATGGGGTAAATGAAAAGGAAAATCACTTACCAAACTATCTTTATCTCCGGCGAGAAGCTAAAACGGCGAGCTCCGAAGGAGCTGCTCTGGCATGGTGGAGGAAAGTGATGGAGCAGAGGACGGAGGCGATGAGAGCAAAGAATCCAAATCCGATCATCAGAGAGAAACCGGCGACTATAAGATCCATCGCCGCCTGAATGCTCATTATCCCCATCATCTTCAGATTTCAAGAAATGGTTTGAGTTTTGGAGAAAGAAGAAAGAAGAAGTAGAGAGGGTGAAACAGAATGCATTGCACTTGCTTTGGGAACGGTGAAACTCGCATGCCACGTTACGTGATAAACTCGAATTTACGACACCTTTGAAACAATTAAAATTAATATACAAAACAAAAGTATAACAAAAACAAATGCTTCGTCCATCATTTATTAGATGTTTTAACCCAAAAAAAAATTGTTAGAGATTTATTGGTGAATTTAAAATCTTGATAGAGAATCACAGATAAAATAACATTAATTGTCACAAAATAATTTTCATATCTCTTTTCACGTTAGAAATTTTTAAAAGGTGAACAATATAATGAACATCCACACAATTTTTTTTTTTAAACCAAACATCCACATAATTATTCATAACAAATACATAAACATATAGTCTGAAAAAGATACAAAATTTTATCGACCATATACTGATAGCAATTTGCAAAGCAAAGCATGGTTCAAATTCAAGTGCATGAATCAATAATGCAATCAATAAACAGTACAACAACACAATAAAGAGAGTCACAGAAGACATTTGGTTTAAAAACAAAAAGAAAAGGAGAATCACAGAAGACAATTCTCCTGGAGACTGAGAACAGTGTCTCTAAGGCTTGTTTCCGCAGGAGTAAACTCAATTCCCAAACCTTTCACCTTCTCCACACACACTTTGTACGTCACTAAATCAAGCCCAAACACACCTTCATTACTCCTATAATTAAAAAAAGAAAGGTATTGTTAATTTGTACAATCAAAACATAGTAAGTTATAAATAAATGATAAATAAGCAAAGAAAAACTCACTTATCATCAGCAAAGCACAAATCAGGGTAAAATTCACGCAAAACTTTCTCTATGTCGTTTAGTGTTGTCACAACAGGACCGTCAATGATATATCTACCGCTGGCGAATGAGTTCTCTATCGCCTTGATATGAGCTAGAGCAACATCTCTCACGTCCACAAACCTATATTGTTTACTATTAAAAGGATCGTTACCGTTAATAAGACCCACAACCACGTTTACTGAGAAGTTAAGAGATTGTTTTTTTTTTTTTTTTTTTTTTTTTTAAGAGATTGTTGTAAGACTGGTCCAATCACAAGTCCTGGATTCATTACAACCAAGTCGATCCCATTGTCCCTTGCATGTTGCCATGCAGCATTTTCGGCCAAAGTCTTTGAAAGTGGATACCATAGCTGAAAAAAAAACAAAGTAAAAAATTATAGAGAGAATTCTCATGAAGTCATTAATGTGTTATAACATTATTTTTTTTGGGTGCAAATATGAATGTGTGTGTTATAACATTATTTTCAAGACCTTTTTCTCTTCACAAAACTTTGGATCAGAGAAGGTGGTTTCATCTAGTACGTCGTTCATTCCATTAGGGAACGGCTCATGAGCAACTATTGCAGCAATGGACGATGTTAAGACGACCCTATTGACCAAAGACCTTTTACAAGACTTTAGGACGTTTAAAGTACCCTTGACTGCTGGATCGATCAGCTCAGCCTGGAAAATCCAGAGTAATTAACGGTTAAGTGTTACGAGTATATTGGCAAAGATTGTGTTGGTGAGGATAAAGTGTTGTCGTTGGTGAACCTGAGGATCATCAACATCGAGTGAAACCGGCGAAGCAGTGTGAATGACATAATTGCATCCATGGATTGCCTGCTCGAAAGAACCTTCTTCTAAAAGGTCTGCTTTGAACAATTTGAGTCTTTCTTTTGCGCCATCAAGGGCAAGAAGATGTTCTGTTTTCTTTTGATCATCTGCCGAAGAAAAACACAATAAGTCAAGAGAGCTTCTTTAATTCTATTCTTCTTTCACTTGTGTTGATGATATACAGAAAAAAATGATATTTAATTTATATAAAGGAGGAGTGAGAATTGGAAACAAACTTGGGTCTCTAACGGTGGCCCTGACGGTGTAGCCACGTTGAAGCAAAAGCTTAACAATCCAAGACGCTATATATCCGGAAGCTCCGGTGACGCATACCACCTTTCCTACGCCGATCATATTTCTTCACTTCTAGCGCAACTCTAAGGATGGGAGCAGTGTTCATGACTAGATCGAATGTGGTTTTAATTATATAGATACTGTATTTGGTCAACTACGGTATAAAGAAATATTTTAATAGAAAACATTATTTACCTTATTCGAAATCAATATCAGAAATGAATTAATTCTCTAAGAACACCACAAGATTAGTTACCACTTTTGGCATCTCAAACTTTGACTAGAGTCTTCACTCTTGAACTCCTAAATACAAACATTTTGTTCACTAGAATGTGGTTTTATATATTTGGTCAAACACATATAAGGAAATATTTTAATAGAAAACATTATTTACCTCTATTCAAAGTTAATATCTTAAATTAACTAATTCTACAAAAACACCACAAGACTACACTTCTGTTGATATTTCATACTTCGACAGTTCGACGTGTGTTACTTTTGAGATCTTCACTTTTGAATTCTATAGAGAAACTCACTTACATATTTAATTTTGTTCTTTCAAGTTTCTCTTCTTTTACAAGACTATAGTTACTTTTTCGTTTAAATTTTTTGAATTATGGATCTTATATTCTTGTCACATACTTGGATCAGAGAAGATGATACAATGATCATTTAAGTTTTTTCTCTTTGGGGTTGAGTTTACTTGTGCTCGGGTATGTGGAAAAAAACACATCTCTCATTTTCAAAGAAACGAGTAGAGAGACAAAGTCACAAAGGAATATTTATTCTAAAATAGAAAATGATATATTTGTTTTAAAATATATTTTGCAACATATTTTAGTATAAATATTATAACAGTCAATCAATGCCTAAAACGGATTAACATAAGATTATGCAAAACAACCACATGACAGATAAGTGACATCCGGAGTCACTTTGAAGCATTTTCCACCTATAAATTTCAAATCAATGCAATGCTGATTGCAGTCCGGAAACTCCGAGCATCGACCCTCCACAACAATTCTAGATTTCTAGTTCTATCCGCTTTTGCAGGTTCTGGAATTTATATTGTTTTGTAAAAATATAAAGAATATTTAGGCAGGGATCTCTCTCCATCACTTACAAAATGCAATATCCCAATGTGTAAGAATAAAAACGGACATAATATGAAGTATGAACAACTATAAGTATATAAGAAAGGAAATATACACAATACAATATCAATAGGAAATACAAAATTTTAATTTAATTTTTCATACTTGGGATCAAGAGAACAGCCAAGTATAAGAACACAAGACCAAAAAAGGTATGTATGTGGCTTAGACGCTTAGTGATAGTTAGATTTTAAAGTTTAAACATTGGCATACCTGGGGTGAGGAGAACAGCCAAACATAAGAACACAAGGAAGAAGCATTTGCCCGATGAAGCCATTTTCTTGTTTTGTTTTGTTTATTTTTATAAAAAATATGCTGATGAAATTGAATAGTATTAGAAAGCCTTCACTAATATATATATATTTATAGAGAAAGTTTGATGGGTTCTTATGACTAATTTTCTTAGTAAAATTAGATTCACTTCTATATCATGGTTTCTGTAATGTAGGATATGGCACTCTATGACTATGACTCTATGAGGTTACCTTATTTTGTTTCTATATCTGAAAGTTTTGATTATGATCTGGGATGAGATGGATTTAATGTTGACTATAAAATGTAGATTGAAAACAAAATTTATTCCAGATTTACAGCTATTAAATGAGCTTTACTGCTATTTTGTATGTGGGACACTAGTAGTAAACTTAAATACGATTTCTTGTCTCAAATAAGGTACATGCATTGCATGAGAAGAGAGTAAGAGATTCACATTATCCTTAAATCAGGGTCAGTTTTAAGCAAGTGTCATATGGGACAAAACACATGACTCATTTTCTTTTTTTGAATTTTTCTTAAGGTTTTAGAGTCTAAAGTTTCCCAAAAATTACAAACATATCCCAACTTTCAAAAATTGACTACAAAATCCTTTTGATAACAAGGCCCAAAATTTATCGACCATTACTGGCTATATAACCTTTGTTCGCAGCTCAAAAACCTATGAATGAGGCAAATGAGACGATAAGCCATAATTTGTTCTTGCCTTCTTGGTTACTGAATCAACTCTTGAATCATCATCTAACAGTTTTTTGGTTAAGGAACTGAATAACTTAATCTTACTTTTCAATAAAAATTATAGAACATTATTAATATTAGTGCTACTAATTTACAACCTAATAAAGCTAGCTTAGCTCACGCGAGCAGCAAATATAACCAAAGCAAAGCTACGTCAGTATCTACCACTATAAATTATGAATAGAGAGTAAAGTAACTTTTTATATTTTTTATTGGTCCAAAGGGAGTAAAGTCACTTTATGCTACATCATTACCCACAAATTTCAAAAACCATTGGATTATCAATTAAGTATGTTCATAAAAAGAGTAGATATGGTAGGAAGGTTCCTCGAGGAGAAACATTGTGCGTCGACGAGTTGCTGCCTCTCACACTTTCTTCATTAGAATAATTCAAAGTAATCTTAATTTGATCGTCTCTCGTAATGGTCCCCTTCATTCCCTCTACTCTCAAGTGTTTCTTGACTCATCAAGCTCTCCATTAAAACTTCTCTTTTGCATCGTTCTATTTGTTCTTTCTCATTTAAAAAAAAAAGCCAAATTACCCAATATTTTGTTAAAGATTTTGTTTTTTAGCTAGATATCAAAATTGGCAAAAAGATGTGAAACATGCATAGACTACGTTGTGCGTTTGTACGTCTGTTATTTATACATATAGTGTAACATAGCTTGTTATGAAATAAAATAACTGATACTTGTTTCAATTCTCGAGAAATTCGTATGAATTTTTTTTTAATAAAAAAAGACAAGACACGCAATATTAGCTTCTATATATTTGCTATTTTGCTATCCATCGTTCTTTTACAAATATATGAAGCTAATATTTGGCTATCTATTGCATCGTCTCTTAAAACAATTCAAAAGTCAAAACTCAACAACCAAATTAATGACTAAGAATACAGTTTGATTTACAATAACATTATTGCTTGAGTGAAATGAGACTTTTATCACACCACTAATGAGAAAATGTTATAATAAAAATTACATGTATACCACTTAAATTTAGTTTTAAGTGCGGTCACTTATACTAAATTTATTCCTCTATAAAAATCCAATCAAGACTGCATCTCATTTATACCATCATAAGTCACGACACAAAGACATCACAGTTTTGCTCTATAGATGGCTGGTTTTGTCAATAACCTACCGTTTGAAAACCCTAATTCAGAGTTCTTTAATAATCGAGTTCCACTTGTAAACTTGTCTCCCACGTCATACAAGTCTAGCGGGAGTCCAGAGGATGATGAACGGAAGCGGAGAAGGAAGGTTTCGAACCGTGAGTCAGCTCGGAGATCGCGTATGCGGAAAAGGCGACACATGGACGAGCTGTGGTCCATGCTTGTGCACCTTATCAACGAGAACAAATGTCTGGTCGATGAGCTAAGCCGAACAAGCGAGGGTTATGAGAAGGTTGTAGAAGAGAACACGAAACTTCGACAAGAAAATTCTGTAGGAACGCAATTTCTACAATGAACAACTGATTAATTGTAAAGTATAAATATGAACAAATTAATATAACAAAATATTAAAATGATATAAAATAAACAAGAATTAAGGAAATAAAACCGGATTTGCAGAGTCGAGATATGATCTCTTTCCTTAATTCTGTAAACGCCCGTAGTGTGACGGTTGCATGGCGTTCCGAATCCCAGGATAAAACTGCACACTTCTTATGATTGCATCACTCAATACATAAGCTTGTGAACCATGTTTTCTGTGATGTACTCTCATAAGAAAAACAAAACAAAAGAAGAGAAGTGAGAAATTGTTTTATAGTTGTTTGATATGTGATTCATCTATATGACTTATCACAAGGAAATGAGAGACATGGCTTTATATAGCATTATGCCAATGTACTCCAACGTACATTAAAGTGGAATGGTCAATTCTTCTCCTATGACCTTAATTTCTTTAAATGTTACAAAATCAATAATAATTGACTATGCACTTAATTGTCACTTGAAATATTAATTAGAGAAGATATTTGTTGACTTAATCAACATCAAAATTCAACAAGAATTTCTGGCCAAAAAGAATTAACTTATGGACCTTGGCCCGATTGCCAATCCCGAGGCCCGAGACACAAGTCCCGTCCCGGTAATCATCTTTCTCTATTAATACACAAGTTTTTAAACTTTGCTTTAAATTCTCCACTTTATATACAAGAGGATTTCACCTCAAACTTCCAATATGGGACATTTCATAAATGTTACATTTTATGCTATACAAGCAACCCACTTGGACCTCCATTTCTCATTCAAACCAACTTCATTTTTGACATATAAATATACTATCAAAAATGAGTTCCAACAAATTCCAATTCGAAGAAGCTGATTGGAGAGATAAGAGTTAACATGTTTTGTTAACGTAGAAGGTAATCGGATTTGTGGTTACAATACCATTTGGGTTTTTTGATTTTTTTCGTTTTTAATTGTTTTTAAGAAGACCGACATATATTGATATATACAAATATTTCATAATTTCTAGGAAAGAATCAAATATTTTGCCAATGTATACATATTTGATGTTTTAACCTGAACAAACACAAAATTGGATTGAAAACACTGAGATACATATGAATGTTATAAAACCTATGTAAAATTGAGGCTAGAAGACAGCAATATTCTTAATTGTTTAACCAAAAGAGCATCCAAGGGATTTTTGGGATATGAATCTCAATGTGATTTGCATGAGCATATGTACATAACATGTACCAGAATGAAATAATGTCTCAGACACGCTCGTCAAGGAATGTCTCATGCGATTAAAATTTATTTCCAATGAATTGTGCAAGCTTCCATGAACTTCCTTGCAAGGAAAATCGAGGAACTAGCTACATGGACAGATTAGTATGGTAGCATTTTGAGAAGATTCAATGAAAGAATAATCCAAGGTAGACAAATTATAAATTTGAGATTAACTGTGTCTACATCTTTACACATTTGTAGTGACACCAATACTAAATATTATGAAATATGGATATTTGTTTATATTTTAAATCTGCAGCCCCCACATTTTAGAGAAAAACACTTTAGTTCAAAAAAATTTCTTTTTAGATAAATTAATATTGAAAATTTTATTATGGTTTAGTTAGTATAGTCCAAAATATATTAATGAGAAAGTGTCGACAAAAAAACCGCTGATTAGTCAGCTCCTCAGCATGTCTCTCGCTGCATTCAGGCGCTGGGTCTTGGAGAGGTATGAATCGTAAATCCCTTGAATCCAACATGTGTTTTTGCTTATTTTTGGTCTTAAGAACCTGAGTTTTTGTTTGTGTTTTGTATTGCGTTTAAAAACCTGAGTGTTTGTTTGGCTTTTTGTTGGATGTATGTTTGAACTTGAATGTTAACGTATTTTAATCCTCATCTTAATCTTTTGAACGTCCACCACATCTTACTTAAACCATTTTTCACACAAAACATGTACTATATATAATTAACCTCTATGGCATGTGAGCTCGGTCAACAAATTTGAGAAGAGGAAGAAAAAGAATTTAGTTTTTTTTTCTGAGTATTTTGAGTTGTAGTTTAATACACAGTAAATTATAGATCTATCATATTAATTTATAGAGAAATCTGGTAAATGTTTTGATTTTTTTCTTACTCTATTAATATATATATATTTTTTTTTGTTAAAAGGCTTTCTTGAATATGAATAAGAATTATGATTACATGGAAACAAAGCAATTCATAACCCAAAAAGGGAGGGAAAGATACAACACATAGCAGAGAAGCAAATGGATAGATATAAGCTAGGGATGCTATGTATTGTATCAGAAGAATGGCCTGTCAATTGATTGACAAAGCGCAAGAGCTTTGTCTTTGATAGTTTGAATGATTTTCTGACCAGTTCGGCATGGCGGAAGAGTAATACCTTGATGATATCTTATGTTTTTTTTCCCACCAAATCACTTATAGTTTTCTTGATTACATGCTCTTAGTTATGTTGGATATAGCTCGTTTCAACGTCTATAAATCTTGAAATTACAAAAAAAAAAAATACAAAAACCATAGTATAAATTATCATACGACTTAAAGACTGATTTGTAGTAAATTATTAAATTTGCTCCGAAAAAAAAATGTTAATTAGGTAGAGTGCAATGAAGAAGACTGATAGTATAATTAGTTTTCTTTTGCTACGATAGTATAATTATTAATTAGTAAAACATAATTATGATTGTTTTGAATACAGTACTATTCAAAAATATTATTATTCCGACAATTGAGTGAAATATTGTTACAGACATTTTATATTACACACAGTTAGGTGAAATATAACATACGTTGTATTTATTCTGGTAAATGGAAATGGGCCTGACGGAATGGAAGCCCAAGATGGTTACAATACTAAAAGCCCAATGACGAAGTTAAACAACAACAACGGTCACTCACTTTGCATTGACTCTGCAAAACGACAAGTCAAAAGCAGAAGCAGAGGAAAGAAAGAAAGAGCGAAACAGCTCAATAATGGTCGTCGTACCGAACAATGCAGTCAAAAATTCAAACCAGATTTTTCTCTCTTGTCGTTCTTATCTCAAGAGTGAAGCGGATTGTGCCATCTGTCTTTAGGGTTTTACAAAAGAGCCTCGAACATTGTCTCTGTATATATACTCTCGAAAACACAAAGCTTTAAGCTTTTTCGTTGCCCAAAAAAAAAAGGGAAGCTTTTTTACTTTCAGAGTAGTCTCAGGCTCACCAGCGTCGTTTCCTCTCCCCTTTCTCCGGTAAGGTTTATTGACCTCTCTCATTTCGTTTCTTAGTTTGACTTCCTTTAGCTTTCTTAGTTTTTGTAACTGATCCTGCTTGTGAGCGTCGATTAGTGTTATTTTTTAGTGTTTTTGTTTCCAAGTTGGGATTTTTTTAGCTTTCGTAGGTTTTGTTAGTGATTCTCTGCTTGTGACCGTCCCTTGTAAGTGCGATTAGTGTTACTTTATAGGGTTTTTGTATCCAAGTTGGGATTTTTTTAGCTTGCCTTGGTTTGTTACAGACTATGCTTGCCTTTTCCAGTGTGATTAGTGAACAATTTTTGCTTGGAACTTTTTGATTACGTTTAAAGGTTTAACCTTTTTGCTTTGGTGATGATTGATGTCAAGAAAGCTACGATTTTTATCCAAGAAAAACTCCAATCTCTCTTGCTTTTTCGTTTAATCCCTATGAACATAAAATTTTGTGAGAAGTGGTTCACTTTTGATTAGGTTCTTAATTTCTTAACTGTTGTTACTTTGCAAGATTTCCAGATGGCACTCCCTCCCTATGATCCGAATTTCACAATCGCATTTGGACGCGAAGGGTTCGAGACAGAGGATGACCAAGAGCACGGTAACAACTAACTTGTATCACTCTACAACATATACAATTTTATATATGATATGTAACATTGACAACATTTGTGTGTGTTGGTCTTTGCAGATGCTTCTGAATCTGCTACTGTGGTAGCAGCCGAGCTGATAAGCTCAACAAGGCTTGCACTTAAGCTAGACAGTGAGCGTACCGAGTACTCATCTCGGTATTTGCTTGACAATGCCGCTTCTCGCTCCAACCTCACTGTCAAGAAGTGTCTCGAGTTCGCGATCAAGAACGGCATACCCAAAGCAGAGGACTGGCCACTTTTGGGATCTATGGTCAAGAAGCCTCCACCTTCCTACAAGCCTGATCTGGTTTTCACGAAAGGAGATGTGTTTGAGACTAAAGATTTGGATCAAGTGCGTGAGCTGATGAAGTATCATCCAGTGGGAGCAAAGCTTCATGTGTTCAGTCCACACATTGAGCTTCAACAAGACGTGAGTTTGGTTACTTGCTTGTTTAGTTAAAGAATGGACAAAGATTTTTGATGATCTAATGTTATGTTTGTTTTTGTTAGGCGATTTACTGTGCTTCGTCAGGTGAGCCAGCGAGGTACGTTGGGCTTAGAGATGGGGTCATTGTTGGAGTGGAGAAGTTTAAAGGGAAGTCGATGGCGAAGGTGAAGCTTTGGTACAAGAAGAAGTTTGTGTTTGTCAAAGTGGCTTTGAGCAGGATGTTCTTCGACGAATCTCGTGGCATTGGACCAACACTTTTGCTTGTTGACTTTTGTGTCCCACTCCTATCCATCAACTGAGTAATCTTGAGAGATGAGGGAAGATTTGTTTCTTGTTCTGAAAATAACAATGTTTTAGGAGACTTTTGTGGTGTTGATTTCTATCTTGAAGACAAATTTGGGATGATCGGTTCGTTAATTGTGTGTTTTTACTTTCTCTTCCATGTTTTTTCACTCTCAAGTCCACGAGAACCATTTCTTTTCATGTGCATCAGGCTACATAAAGCGGTTCAAGCTTTAAACCGATTTGGTAAATGAATAATTCTACAAACCAGAGACAAATTCGAGAACTAAAGTATCCAAATACACTCGAACAAACAAGTATCAAGATTTCATCATTCATCATCAATCAAGTATCCAAATACACTCGAACAGAGCAGCAAGACCCAATTCCAAAGACGTTGCTGGTGGCCAGAGTTACACTGGCGATTCTTGAACGGCCCTGAGTATGACATGATACGATTATTAAAGTTCAGAAAAATTCCAAACATTTTTATATTTAATGAAACAACTGGATTTGGCTAATTTTCATTTTCGATGTTGTGAGATAGCTAGGTGGTCCAACTCGAAGGTGTTGGAATAATTGTATGCAAATACAATGGAAATATGAAGCCGCTTTTATTGTTTGGAAAAAAAAGTTCTTACGTCCATGCATACGGACCACATTTTCTGCAAGAGTAGCATTAACAATTCTCAATTTTTTCTTTCTTAAAACAACATACTTGATTTGGATTCCATATGTGTTTTCTTTTATATGATATTAAATTTTACGCATAGTGCTAAAATTGTCCCAAAACAACCTCTAACATTTTGCGAAATTTGATTTTAGACAAAATAAAGAACAATATAATATACATTTCTATTATCACCGCGAATTGACATATGTTTGCAAAATGAAAATTAAGATAGAAATGACAAAACTTTGTAATAGTCACAATCCGCGCGATAACCTAGTACACATTAAACTATGGATCTATCTGGAATATGATTTGAAATTTTTCTTACCCTATTAATATATATTCTTTTTTTGTTAAAAGGCTTTCTTGAATATGAATAAAAAGTTATGAACTTATAATTACTCATTAGCAAAAAAAAATAAGAAGTTATAATTACATGGAAACAAAGCAACTCATAACTTAAAAAGGAGGGAAAGATACAACACATAGCAGAGAAGCAAATGGATAGATAGAAGCTAGGGATGAGACAAGTATAGCAATGGAATACTATATTATGACCATTGAGCGATTACAAATGAACCAGAAGAATGGCCTGATTGACAAAGCGCAAGATCTTTGTCTTTGATATTTTGAATGATTTTCTGACGCCATGGCGGAAGAGTAATACCTTGATGATATCTTATGTTATTTTCCCACCAAATCGCATATAGTTTTCTTTATTATGTGCTCTTAGTATAAGTTAGATGTAAGTCCTTTCAAATTATATAAAGCTTGAAATTAGTCAAATTACAAAGAAAATAATACAAAAACCATAGTATAAACAGTTTCAGATTTTATTAATAGATGACAAAAGAAGAGAGGTAACCTAATTACCTCGAATCCCTAGTACTTCATCATCTCTCTTTCATAACCAGAATCTCTACATCTTCTATAGATTCACGATTTCTTCAGCAATACTCATCACCATCCCTCTTCTATTAGAACTAAGGATGTATATTGTTTTAATTTGCTCCGTTGAACGGTTTTTACCCTAGACTAGAGGCTATCCCGCGCTCGCGCGGGGACATATGTCATATATTTGTTTTTCTTAAGAACTTCGTCAATGATTCAATTTATGGTCATCATGACCAGTTTGGACAATACAAAAGGGAATATAGGAATAACATTCAAATGACAATTTTCCTGGTAGAGTTTCCTTACTAATTCATCCGCAAATTTATTGCAATGTTGTCGTAAAAGTTGTTCTTCCAGTATTGTTCAGAACTGAAAATAACTTTGTACACCTCGTTTTGTTTCACTAAAAAAAAAAAAGGATTTGCATAAACATTAAAAATATGGATTTCAGTTTGATAATGGTTTTCTAATATTGTCAGTGATCTAATAGTGTTGTTGTACAGCATATTCATCATAGTCCATCCTCGTTGAGTTTTGATATATAACGTCCATAGGATCCTCATCTTGAAGCCTCCATTATCTCCGATTCATTTAACCTGAAAGGTACAGGACAAGTGGTTAATATAAATGGTGGTGAAGTAAAGATGCAGTTTGGACATGACAATAAAAGAAGTAAATCCAGATTGATAGATGATGACCTTGTCAGGAAGTTTTAACCTTGAAGCCATGTGTGTTTCCTTCTAGAGCTGAATCGATAGACAATCTGGATTTAGCAAACATAAATTATCGAGCTTCTTGTTAGATTATGAAAAAACAAAATATACAAACCCGCTACGTAATCATGGACATATGGTGTGTCCTCCGCTTTAAGCTATGTGTTGATGGAGCTGTGAAAAAAAGAGCAAAAAGGTTCAAGAAGATATATGATTACTTTCCGATCTTTGGATTGAAATCTAAGCTTGGGAAGAAGCATGAACCATCATGCGGTTGTCAGCATCCATATCTGCCACTCCATCACCTTCATTGTAGATGTGTTCCTGGGAAAAAGGGGAGAAAAATGTTGATTCAGCGAAGAAGGTTTACTGTTGTAAAAATTTTGCAGCACCTATTTCGATTGCCCTTCCATCTGGGACCTGATCTCAGCTTTAAAACACAGTTATTAGTTCTTAGGCCTGCAATGGAAAAAATCATCACTATATTGATTATTGGATGACAAATCAAAGAGTGAAAGAACGGAAAAATATGGATTTCAATTTGATAATGGTATTCTCTTTAGAACTGGAAATAGCAAAGCGAACTGAATCCGAACCCAGACAATACGAACTCTTATGAAAGAGAAGTAATCCCTAATGAATAGAACATGATCATGGTCTAGAGTAAATTCCAACAAAAAGACACCGAAAATGGCATATAATTGGTAGACAAATAACAGAAATGTGTAGAAAAGCAGATATATGGTTGTGTGGTTGCAATCTCCAAATATATTTTGATGCTTACATCATCGGCATTGCCACTCTATCCCGTTTGTTGTCGTGATCTTCACCATGTTCCTTCGAAGCAAGTACTTGCTATGAGGGATTAAGGAAAAAACCTCTTGTGAGAAGGCGTTTTAACATTGTAACCTTGAAACGGTTCTGGACCTCTGGTAGATGCTAAAATATTGTAACAAAATCAGAGTCAAAGAGAAAGATATTTATATTGTCCTCTATTCGCATAATCCCATTTGAAGTTTTTAGGAACACGCTATAAACACTCACCCGATGATTCTCCTTTGTTCACCTCTCCTCTTGATATGGGACTACCAGTCGACTACTCCATCACCGCACTGAACCCATATATTGATTTTTTCCTTTATATATATATGTGAAAAACATGATTAAACATACTCATCGATTTCAGAATCGCATAACTTAAAGAGGAACTATACAAAACCAAAGACAAAAACAAAACATGTATACCAATGGGGATTTCGAAGCAATTGATAAAACTGAAGATGAGACTGGAATAACAAAGAATTTGTAAGCAAAGAAAGCTTAAACTAATAGGACTTGCAAATCGCTTACCGGGTAAACTCTCCCTCTGGATTCTGTAGATTCAAATCGTTTATGTCAGACTCTTCTAGCCACCCATATAGCTCTTCAATTTTGGTTGATTTATAAGAACCGCTTTTATAATTCATTCCTTGAATTGTGTTCCTCTGTTGAAGGCTGTGGCGGTTAAGACGATGATTGAGAGGATTAACAAAGGAGAGATACGACGGAGGTGGGGGCGCTTAAAGCTTTACAGGAAATTGGTTTGGGAAGTGGAGAAGGAATCTGATTCGGCGGTGAGAATCAGCGGGAAGGAGAGAAGCGGAGAGCACCGGCGGTGAGAATTTCAAGGCTGATTCGTAGAGAGCGTTGGCAATGAACCGCTTTTATAATTCATATAAACTATTGCCATCTTCGATTCTTTTATTTAGTAACGTTCATGTCAATGGAAGGCTAAAGGTTTTGAACGCGAGTGAAGGAAGAAGATCAGAGGGCGTACCAAAAATCAATTGGAAAATAATTTCAGAATCTGAGTATGCCACGTGGCATTCTGTGGCTGAGAGCTGTGAGGTGCTCTGAGAGACCCCAATTAGCTGCTATCATTTAGTAAAGATACAAAAACAATGTTGTCTATGCATCCGTTTATTTGTTTCATTTTTGAATTTATTAATTAAAACATTTATCACGACTTAAAAGTTAAAAGACTACTCCTGATTTGTAGTAAATTATTTAATTCGCTCCGAACAAAAAAAGTGTTAATTAGGTAGACTGCAATGAAGTAGACCCTTGTCTCCCTCTCTCGTACCCAAAAAAAAAATGAAGTAGACTGATAGTATAATTAGTTTTCTTTTTCTACGATAGTATAATTAGTTAAACATAATTATGATTGCTTTGAATACTGTTCAGAAATAATAGTATTCCGACAATTGAGTGAAATACTTGTTACACACATTTTAATATTACACACAATTAGGTGAAATATAACACACGTTGTATTCTGGTAAATGTAATGGGCCTAAAAGAATGAAAGCCCAATAATGAAGTTCAACAACAACAACGGTCACTCACTTTGTATCGACTCTGCAAAACGACAAGTCAAAAGCAGAAGCAGAGGAAAGAAAGAAAGAGCGAAAACAGCTCAACAATGGTCGTCGTACGACCAGATTTTTCCGTCTTGTCGTTCTTATCTGAAGAGTGAAGCGGATTGTGCCATCTGGCTTTAGGTTTCTACAGAAGAGCCTAGAACATTGTCTCTGTATATATATATATATATATATACTCTCTCAAACACAAAGCTTTAAGCTTTTTGCTGCCCAAAACAAAAAAGAAAGCTTTTTACTTTCAGCGTAGTCTCAGGCTCACCACCATCATTTCCTCTCCCCTGTCTCCGGTAAGGTTCATTAACCTCTCTCATTTCGTTTCTTAGTTTGACTTCCTTTAGCTTTCTTAGTTTTTGTTACTGATCCTGCTTGTGAGCGTCGATTAGTGTTACTTTTCAGGGTTTTTGTTTCCAAGTTGGGATCTTTTTAGCTTTCGTAGGCTTTATTACTGATTATCTGCTTGTGAGCGTCCCTTGTAAGTGCGATTAATGTTACTTTATAGGGTTTTTGTTTCCAAGTTGGGATTTTTATAGCTTGCCTTGGTTTGTTACAGACTTTGCTTGCATTTTCCAGTGTGATTAGTGAACAAAGCTTGGAACTTTTTGATTACGTTTAAAGGTTTAACCTTTTTGCTTAGGGGGTTGATGTCGAATCCTCCTTTTATGTTTTGGCATTTCTCTCGTCAACAAAGCTACCATTTTTAGCCAAGAAAACCCCAATCTCTCTTGCATTTCCGTTTAATGCCTATGAACATGAACTTTTTGTGAGAACTTGGTTCACTTCTGATTCGGTTCTTACTTCTTAAATGTTGTTACTTTGCAAGGTTTCCAGATGGCACTCCCTCCCTATGATCCGAATTTCACAATGGTAATTGGATACGGAGAGTCCGAGACTGAGTATGACCAAGAGCACGGTAACAACCAAATTCTATCACTCTAAAATCTACACTTTTATGTTTCTTTAACTTTTTTATTTTTTTTTTGAGATTTGTGTGTGTTTGTCTTTGCAAGATGCTTCTGAATCTGCAGCTGTGGTAGCAGCTGAGCTTATAAGCTCAGCAAGGCTTTCACTTAAGCTAGACACTGTGCGTACCGAGTACTCATCTCGGTATTTTCTTGACAATGCCGCTTCTCGCTCCAACCTCACTGTCAAGAAGTGCATCGAGTTCGCCATCAAGAACGGCATACCGAAAGCAGAGGACTGGCCAGTTTTGGGATCTAACAAGCCTGCTCTGGTTTTCATGAAAGGAGAAGTGATTGAGACTAAATATTTGGAGGATGTGCGTGAGCTGATGAAGTTTCATCCAGTGGGAGCAAAGCTTCATGTGTTCAGTCCACACATTGAGCTTCAACAAGACGTGAGTAATTTCTTGCTTGTTAATTAGTTAAAGTATGATGACAAAAGATTTTTGATATGTTTTTTGGTTTTGTTTTGTTCATATGTTGTTAGGCGATTTACTGTGCTTCGTCAGGTGAGCCAGCGAGGTACGTTGGGCTTAGAGATGGGGTCATTGTTGGAGTGGAGAAGTTTAAAGGGAAGTCGATGGCGAAGGTGAAGCTTTGGTACAAGAAGAAGTTTGTGTTTGTCAAAGTGGCTTTGAGCAGGATGTTCTTCGACGAGTCTCTTGGCATTGGGCCATCACTTCTGCTTGTTGACTTTTGTGCCCCACTCCTATGAGTTGATCAATGATCTCTACTTTCTTGTTTATTGTTCTAAAGATAATAACAATGTTTTAGGAGACTTTTGTGGTGTTGATCGATCTCTACTTTCTTGTAGACAAAATTTGGGATGGTCGGTTCGTTATAATCTTTGATTGTGTGTTCTTACTTTCTCTTCCATGTCTTCACTCACTCTTAACTCTTAAGTCCACGAGAACCATTTCTTTTCATGTGCATCAGGCTACATAATAACCGAAGCGGTTCAAGATTTAAACCGATTTGGTAAATAAATAATTCTACAAACCAGAAACAAATTCGAGAGCATTAAATTATCAAATACACCGAACAAAAAAGTATCAGATTCCCATCAATGAACAATCAATTGATGTTGTTGTGTTGATTTTTCGTTGAAATCCTGAAATTTTGAATCTGGTTCGGTTAAACCAATTCGTTCTTCTGGAAGTTTGGTTTACTCCCGGTTTAAAATTCATATTCATAGTCGTTAACCAAAAAACATAAACTGTTTCTCTGCGCCTTATCCAAAAAATCTCTAAAACCTCTCACCTACCATTTGCGATTCACATCCTCAGTTTTCAGGAAAATGCGATCTCCATGCGATTCGTTTCTAGTCTCGAATCCTCCGTTTCTTCTACCTTCTCTAATCCCTCGTTACACTTCCAGAAACTCCTTCAGACGAGGAAGAGAACGATTCTCCTCCTTCAACAAGTCTCTTCGTGTTTCTCTTGCACGACGAAACATCGAGGTTGGTTTATTTCTTCATGCCAACAACATGGAGTTAAAATTCGTATCCAAAATTGATTTGGGTTTCTGGGTTTTTGTTGTATAGATCACTCAAGGAGTGCGATTCGATGGACCGATTACCGGAAAAGACGATTTGGAAGTGAATGAGGATGATGATGTAACGGTCCAAGCGTGTGTGACTCGTACATTGCCTCCAGCTTTGACCCTTGAGGTTGGCCTCGAGAGTCTTAAAGAAGCTGTTGACGAATTGAAGACTAATCCTCCAAAGTCATCTAGTGGCGTCTTGCGATTTCAAGTACTGATTTTTCACATCTTCTCTTTCCTGTTGTTAATCAGCTTTTTGACATTGTGTGGTTTTGGATTTGTGTAGGTGGCTGTGCCTCCAAGGGCCAAAGCTTTGTTCTGGTTTTGCTCTCAGCCTGTGTCTTCTTCAGGTGTGTTTCCTGTGTTTTTCCTCTCCAAGGAAGAAACTGTGAAGCCTTCTTGTAAGTCACTCTATGTGAAGGAGCCTCATGGGGTTTTTGGAATTGGGAACGCACTCTCCTTCGCTCGTCCGTCTTCAATTGATTCAAATGGACATAGCACCATAAAAACGTAAGTTTTTTTGCTTTGGCACTTGGTTTGTTATAGTTTCAATTTAATGCAGCAAGAGACAACACTAAATCAAGATGCATGCTCAACTTTGGAAAATCTCATTTGAATGCTGCATTGTACTTTCAAGCAGTTAAGCTAATTAGTTTCTGCAGATTCCTCTCAGATGAATCAGCTATGGTGACGGCCTATGGTTTTCCAGATATTGATTTTGATGAAAAATCTTCTGTCAGTTTCAAGGAAGGCTCTTCTTACTTTTTCGTTCCTCAGGTGAAGTGGCATTGACTTTTACCATCAAGCTGTTGAGTTGAATTGCGTCTCTTAACTATGAAATGCTTGTAACAAGCGTTCTTACATAGTATATGGTTGGTTTGAATGTCGAAATTTCAACAGATTGAGTTAGATGAGCACGAGGAGGTCTCTATACTAGCAGTTACACTGGCATGGAATGATTCTCTCTCTTACCATTTTGAGCAAACGATTAGTTCCTTTGAGAAATCGATTTGTCAGGTATGTTGTTGTTCTGACATTTTGTTTTTAGTGCAAATTCGTATTACTTCTGTCAATCAAAAGTGGAAAGTTACATATTGCTGAATGATGATGTCTTGAATGTGTCTGTTTCTTCTTTGTCCTGTTGTTCTTTTTAATCTCACTTTTGGTTAACATCAATGCAGGTTTCTTGTCATTTCTGCCCAAATTTAGAGGAGCATTGGTTCAAACATTTGAAAAGTTCTCTAGCAAAGTTTAGTGTAAAAGAGATACATCCAATTGAGATGGTACATGCTCTACTTTTGTTGCCTGGACTAAGGATGTAAACTTGGTTTCCTTTTTCCTGCCACTCATTACATTATGTTTATTTTTGCAGGAGCATATGGGGTTTTTCACATTTTCTGGGAGAGATCAGGGTGACGCCAAGGAACTGGTATCTTCTCTACCCTGGTAATTTTCATCCCTGTATTTCAGACTTTAATTATCGTCCTTGAAACTCGTCCGTTGGAATTTTCTTCTCTTCATACCATTTGCATTATTGTATACGGTTTGATTTGCCAGCTTTTGTTGCAGAATATTATACAATCATCAAGTCAGTTTCATTGCAAGCTTGCACCTGACCTTGTTTTCTCAAATAACATGGTACGTAGAGATTTAAATATGGCCATAGTTTTTTTATACAAATATGATGATAGATTTTTCATACACTCATGGTATGTTAAGCTCCAAAACAAAAAATCGTGGCATGCATGTAGTGAGAGAAACTGTACTTAGGCCATATAGTTCAATTTTTTTTTAAAGCATTCTGATTACTGCACAACGAATGTTACAAAGATGCTGGGATTGTGGTTAAAGAATCGTGGCATGCATGTTGTGAAAGAAACTGTACTTCGGCCTGTTTCACAAGTGAAAGCATCGACATGTAGTTCAAATTCTAAAGCATTCTGATTATTGCACAACGAATGTTACAAAGATGCTGGCAGTGGTTTGGAAAGACTGTCTAGTTGCTGTTAACTTTTGAACTTTGTGGCTTTTCTAGTTACATCAACTTTCTAGAAACCAAAATTTATTTTCCTTTTATCATTTTTTTAATGGCTATCAGCTGAGTCAGGAGGCTGAAGGGAGCAAATTATTAAAAGATGAGGCTAACATCAATGCTGTTTGGGCATCAGCTATAATCGAAGAATGCACTCGTCTTGGTTTGACGGTGAGCTGAAACTTTTTCAACCATCTGATAAAAATCTCAAAATTTGCATGTCTTTTGTCATAACATACTGCCACAGTACTTTTGTGTAGCTCCTGGATCAAGGTCTTCCCATCTTGCTATTGCCGCTGCCAACCATCCCCTTACTACGTGTCTTGCATGCTATGACGAACGATCTCTCGCGTTTCACGCCATCGGGTATGCGAAAGGATCCCTCAAACCAGCTGTCATTATAACATCATCAGGAACTGCCGTCTCAAATCTTCTTCCAGCGGTCAGACTTGTACTTATTTATGCTTCTCTTGTTTGTTGCATGCCACATACTTCACCAAATGCATTTGTGTTCCCTCAAATATTTTATGATTTCTGACAAAATACAGGTGGTTGAAGCAAGTGAGGATTTTTTACCGCTGCTACTACTTACTGCAGATCGTCCTCCTGAACTTCAGGGAGTTGGCGCAAATCAAGCAATAAATCAAGTAAGGTCAAGAAATAGACCTTTCTTTGAAACTTATTGTATCACTGTTTGCTGGCGTATTCCGGATTCTGTATCCTAAATCTTATTTTTCCTGTGTCACAGATAAACCACTTCGGTTCGTTTGTGAGATTCTTCTTCAATCTTCCTCCTCCAACCGATCTTATCCCAGTCCGGATGGTCCTTACCACTGTAGACTCTGCTATACATTGGGCAACAAGTTCTGCTTGTGGACCAGTACATCTCAACTGTGCTTTTAGAGAACCACTTGACGATAGTCCAACAAATTGGTCACTCAGCTGCCTAAACGGATTAGACAAGTGGATGTCTAATGCTGAACCATTCACAAAGTATTTTCAAGTGCAAAGCAATAAAAGCAATGGTGTAACAAGTGGCCAAATCACTGAGGTTTTACAAGTAATCAAAGAGGCTAAGAAGGGTGTTCTTCTTATTGGTGCAATCCACACAGAGGATGAAATTTGGGCTTCGCTTCTGTTGGCTAAAGCGCTGATGTGGCCTGTAGTTGCAGATGTCTTGTCTGGTATACGTCTGCGCAAGTTTTCTAAACCTTTTCTTGAAGAGTGGAGCCCTGTTTTTATTGATCATCTTGATCATGCCCTGCTTTCAGATTCTGTTAGGAGTTTGATAGAGTTTGATGTTGTTATCCAGGTAAATTTATCATTCTTTAAATTTTACTTCATGCATCTACGATTTAAGTATTGAAGATGATCAAAGGAGGCACAAAGCTACTGTTAGGGATCTTGTAGTACTGATTCAGTTTGTTTTATGAAATCATGAATAGGTTGGAAGTCGGATAACAAGTAAAAGAGTTTCTCAGGTGCTAGAGAAATGCTTTCCATTTGCATACATTTTGGTTGATAAGCATCCATGCCGACATGACCCGTCACACCTGGTCACTCACAGGGTCCAAAGCAACATTGTTCAGTTTGCTGGTTGTGTGCTTAAATCTCGATTTCCATGGAGGAGAAGCAAGTTGCATGGTCATCTACAGGCATTGGATGGCGCTGTATGTTCACCACATAAAACGTTTACTTATAATGCCTTAAAATATCAAACATATGCGTCCTTGTAGATTGCATAAAAGATTAATTTCAACTCGTACTGCATTTATGCAGATTGCCCGGGAGATGTCATTTCAAATATCTGCTGAATCCTCCCTTACCGAACCATATGTTGCACATATGCTTTCCAAAGCGCTAACTTCTATGCATGCTCTTTTCATCGGGAATAGTATGCCAATAAGGGATGTGGATATGTATGGACGTAGCTCGGGAAACTATTCCCATGTGGTAGATATGATGTTAAATGCAGAGCTACCATGTCAGTGGATACAAGTAACTGGAAACAGAGGAGCTAGTGGCATTGATGGTTTGCTCAGCTCAGCCACTGGCTTTGCTGTAGGATGCAAGAAGAGAGTAAGATTTTACCTGATTGTTTTTCCTCTTATGCTTTCTTTTTCTGTTGCCAAATCACACTTCTTTGTGTGCTACTACAATGTCATAAATTAAAATTATATTTCCTGATTAGTGAAACACATGCATATCAGGTGGTCTGTGTGGTGGGTGATATCTCTTTCCTTCATGATACAAATGGATTGGCGATTTTTAAGCAGAGGTAGTAGCCATTTTCCTCTGTTTTATTCTTGTAATTTCTCTTTTGGTGGATTTTATAGACTGGAGATATGTCATGGTTTATAAGTCAATTTTGGCGTTTTAGTAATATGTGAAGTTTAATCTGGCTTGTTAGGATTGCGAGGAAACCAATGACAATTCTTGTGATAAACAACCGTGGAGGTGGAATCTTCCGACTTCTTCCTATAGCAAAGAGAACAGAGCCTAGCGTGTTAAACCAATATTTCTATACATCACATGACATTTCCATTGAAAACTTGTGTTTGGCACATGGGTAATTAACATTTTCTTCTCTGTTTTCCTTTCCCGCTTTGCTATTACTTCAATGCTCTCTGGTTCTTAAAAATGTAGGTTTTGAAGAAAATAAAAAATGGATAAGATATTCGTAGACGGTTAAGTTTTACAAGCTAACAATTTATTATAAGCATGAAAAAAGCACAGATAGAAAACATAAAGGAAAAGTAATACAGCATTGGTAGCGTAGATTCTCATTTGACTTAAGTGTGTAGGGTTTTTCTTCATGGTTGATAATAAGAATTAACTCTGCCAAATTGTTAAAAATGCAGTGTGAGGTATGTACACGTTGGGACGAAAAGTGAACTTGAGGAAGCTCTGTTTGTACCCAGCATGGTAGAGATGGATTGTATTGTGGAGGTTGAAAGCTCTATCGATGCTAACGCAATCGTTCATAGGTTCTTTTGGCTTATTTTTTCCGGTTTTTACATGTTCTTCGCTTTCTCGTGCACTTTGTTGACATTGAATACTCGTTCACAGTACTTTGCAGAGTTTTGCACGTCAAGCTGCAAATAATTTCTTGAGCATTATCTCGGCCAGTTCTCTTCATCCGATGATCGACAATGTACCTCTTTGCCAAGTCTCTGGAATACAATATTCGCGGTACAGGTTAGTATTTGTCCCAAAATATATCTGAATATGACCTTTCTCTTTTTCCTTTTATTCTTTCTAAGAAAAACTCTATTTGCAGAGTCCAACTGTGTGACAAACCTACCATATATTATGGTGAATCCTCTCAATTCCATCGGGAAGGGTTCATACTCTCCCTGACAATGGACGATGGAAGCATTGGCTACGGAGAGGTTGGCTATTTCATTCTTTGTAACTTTCATCACTATCGCTTCCAGTTTTTACATTTCTGCCACTTCTCCCAGGTGTCACTGACAACTATGTTCCGGTATTGTGTTTTTGATGAGTAGGTTGCACCTTTGGATGGCAATAGAGAGAACTTAATGGATGTGGAGGGGCAGCTACAATTAGTTCTTCACCTCATGAAAGGAGCTAAATTTAGTTACATGCTTCCTTTGTTAAATGGCTCGATTTCTTCCTGGATTTGGAGTGAACTTGGAATCACTGTAAGTTTCTCTATTAGGCGATACAATGCTAGTTTTTCATTTCTTTTCAATTGTGCTAGATGCAAAAACTTCTCGATCTTTGTAGTCTTCTTGTTCAAGAAATAGACAACTATCTTTCCAGGGAAGTGATAATTGAAGGCTTGTCAATTTGGTTCTTTTTTTCAGGCATCATCGATTTTCCCGAGTGTCAGATGTGGTCTGGAAATGGCTCTTCTGAGTGCAATGGCAGTAAGACATGATTCTAGTTTGTTTGGGATACTTCGTAGTCAGAAAGAAGAAAATGGTTCTGCTCAGCCACACTCTGTTCAAATATGTGCCCTTCTTGATTCTGAAGGTACTCCATCAGAGGTCGCATACGTTGCTAGAAAACTTGTTGAAGAAGGGTTCAGTGCTATTAAACTTAAAGTAAGCCAGCGTTTTTTTAATCATATAAACAAGATTTACACTCATTCATCCAGAGTAAGATAGCTGGATATATTGTTATCTCTTATGCGGGTTACTTCTTATATCTTGAATTGAGGTTGTTGGCTTTCTCATAATCTATTGATTACTGACTGAGGGATAAACCTACCTAAAATAACAGGTTGCTCGTAGAGTGAGCTCTGTTCAAGATGCTTTAGTTCTGCAAGAAGTTAGGAGAGTCGTTGGCAATCAGATTGAACTCCGTGCAGATGCAAATCGTCGCTGGACTTTTGAAGAGGCTGTAAAGTTTGGTTTATTGGTGAAAAACTGCAATCTACAATATATTGAGGTCTGGTACAGCATTGACTTATTTCCAGCTGATTGTGTTCTGAAGTATTAGTACTTGAAAATAACTTATTTCTGTTGCCTATATAACTTCATTGAAGGAAAATTTTGTATATCTCAGGAACCTGTCCAGAATAAAGATGATCTTATAAGGTTTCATGAAGAAACTGGATTACCAGTGGCACTTGATGAGACTCTTGATGATTTTGAGGAATGTCCTCTGCGCATGCTTTCCAAATATACCCATCCTGGTGTAGTTGCTGTTGTAAGCCACTGCTCATTCTTTTTCAACCTTTACATGAGCTTGAGATTGCCAAAACATATATCCTTTCTTGTTTACTGATTTCTTCTTTAATCATCTCATCTTGACTCTTTGTTTTTCCTTATTGATTTGGATATATCATCATGTTAAAGTATAGGCTAAGTCTTGTTTCATATTTGCTTTCAAATCAGTTAGTTTTGACTTTGTTCCGATCATACTTGATATTCGTAGGTTCTTAAACCAAGTGTTGTGGGAGGGTTTGAGAATGCAGCAAAGATTGCACGGTGGGCTCAGCAGCATGGAAAGATGGCAGTTATAAGTGCCGCATACGAAAGTGGCATAGGTTTATCAGCATATATTTTGTTTGCTTCATATTTGGAGATGGAAAACATCAAAATATCCAGAGAGAAAAACCAAGGCATGACCCCTCTTGTAGCACATGGTCTTGGAACCTACAAGTGGTTTAATGAAGACGTGATGATAAATAGTCTAGGGATATATCGTAGTCCGTACAGTGGATTTGTCGAAGGCTTTGTTTCTGATGCTAGCAAAAATCTAAAGGAGGTTAAGATAAACAACGATGTTATCGTTAAAACCAGTCAAGGAGTTCCTGTCCGGAGATACGAAGTGAGAGTTGATGTAGATGGTTTCTCTCATTTCATAAGAATCCACGACGTTGGGGAGAATGCAGAAGTAAGCTTGTCCTCGTTTGTGATTTTGTATGTTGTTCTTGGTCATTTTCTTTAGCTTATTCACTCTGCTTAATATGTTTCAGGAAAGTGTTGTTCTGTTTCTCCATGGATTTCTTGGAACTGGTGAAGAATGGATCCCCATCATGAAAGGTGTCTCGGGATACGCGAGATGCATTTCAGTTGATATACCTGGTCATGGAAGCTCAAGGGCACATAGTCATGCTAGTGAGACTCAGAAGGTGCCAACTTTCTCAATGGAGATGATAGCGAAGACTCTGTATAAGTTGATTGAGCAGATTACTCCTGGGAAAGTTACCATAGTTGGATACTCCATGGGAGCAAGAATAGCACTGTACATGGCTTTGACGTTTAGTAACAAGGTGTGTTCCCTTTGTCATGAAAATTCAGCATTTCTTGGTTAATATGTAATAATGAAATTCTGATGCTGTTCTAAAGATCGAAGGAGCTGTCGTGGTATCGGGTAGCCCCGGGCTCAAGGATCCGGTGGCAAGGAAAGTTCGAAGTGCAACAGATGATTCCAAAGCAAGAATGATGATTGAGCATGGACTAGAAATCTTTCTAGAGAACTGGTACAATGGAGGCTTGTGGAAAAGGTGACTTTCTTAACTCACTGACAGCTTTTTGTTATCTGGACTTGAATTCATACTCATATGAGTGGGTTTTGCAATCTGTAGCTTGAGAAGGCATCCACATTTCAGAAAAATAGTTGCAAGCCGGTTGCTACATGACGATGTCCTTAGTGTTGCAAAGCTCCTGTCTGATCTAAGCAGTGGAAGACAACCGTAAGTTCTTGTTGCTTGCAGTTAATTTTTTTCCCATGGATGTGAATCAAATGAGACAATCTTTGATGATGATGGTGTTGTGTAGGTCATTGTGGGAAGAGTTGGAGGATTGTGATACAAATATCTCGCTTGTCTTTGGAGAGAAAGATGTCAAATTCAAGCAAATCGCCATAAGAATGTACCGCGAGATGAGTAAAAGCAAGAAGAGCGAACACAATATCATCGAGATGGTTGAGATACCGGAGGCTGGTCATGCTGTTCATCTTGAGAGCCCTCTTCGCCTGATCCTCTCTCTTAGAAAATTCTTAACAAGAGTGCGCAAATGCTCTTCAGAGACAGAGCAGCTTTCTCAGAAGCTACTGTTAGCAGTGAAAGAAACATAACAATCTGCTATATAATTGTATAACAGATATGGTTTGATCATATGATATTATAATACAATTGGAATTGTTTCTTGTTGCACTATGTCTTGTAAAGTACAAATAAACTAACATTGAATCTCTCTTAACAATCACAGAAACAGTTTCCAAGATTACACTGACAGACACAGTTTCTACCAGACTTGCATTGCTTAGGGCAGTACTTGGTGCATTCACTAGCTTTCTGGCAAACTATAAGTTGTTTGGTAGTCTCTATTAAAGGTAGTACCGGCGGCGATCTGTTACAGTTCTTGTTTCCATCAGGACATTTTTGGCCGAGGCGATTCACTTCTTCCTTCTCCATCTCTCTCGCATCACCTAAAGACGAACCTTGACAAATACACACCAGACTTTTTTCTTCATTGCTGATTGTAGATCTTCAAAATGTTTTCTTGTTAATTTTGACGGTGATGAAGATAAAAAGTAGGATTGATTTCTAATGTAGAAGTAATGGTAATAAGGCAACAAAACTTGCGAGTGAAGTTTCTACCAAGTTTACTCAAATGCTATTTTGACTACACATTGTTCTTGTTCCTACTTGAGATATCTCAATTTTAGGAAATCACCTTATAACACTTTAAGTCACATTGCTTGAAATAAACACAAGAGAAAAGGAGTATTTACAACACAAATTTACTAATGGCTAATGTTATTGCCAAGAGAATCATCCAACTAGATTTTCAAATTGAAAAAGAAATTTCTTTAACAAAAAGTCAAAGTAAAGAATAGAAGAAACACCACAAAAGTTAGGGTCAAAAGCTGGTAAGTTTCTTAAGTTGCGCTTGCTCTTCTGAAGCTCTTGGTTAGCATTGAAAGAAATGTAAAACATATTTGGAACCTGTTTCAGGCTTTCACTACTTAATTGTATCGAATTCCAAATGTATTTGAGTGGTGTAAAGATATTTTCTCTAGGAGAATATAAATTGCTTTTAGACAATTGTATCAAAAAAGTATTGGAATAACCCTTGTTCGTCTAAGTAAATAGTATGGTAGTTTTCAATCTCTTAACACTCACAGAAACAGGTTCCAAAATTACAGTTAACAATCTGGCAGCCTTTAGGACAGTACTTGATGCACTCGTTGTCTCTACGGCAAGACGCCTTGATCTCTGATGTTACCGGAGAGGGCAAGCAGTTACAGCTCTTACTTCCATCAGGACATCCGCCCATGCAGTTCACTTCTTCTTTGGCCATCTCTCTTGCATCACTCAAAGAAGAACCTTCACATATACACACAACAATCTTCATTAGTCAATGCGAAACCAAAGAAAAAAAAATTGTAGCAAAGAAGAACTTATCATAGAAGAAGAAGAATACAAAATGCTAGGATTGTGAGGGAGAACAAGAATAGAAGCTTGAGGGAAGTTTTCTCCATTGCTAATTGTAAATCTTCAAAAATGTTTCTTGTTTGTTATGATTGTGCAAGTGATGATGATTAGAGAAGTCGGATATCTTATTTTATAGGAGAAAGATACACGGCAAGAAATATCCTCTTTAAAGGTTTTACCATATTAGAGAAGGATATGATACTCATAATCCTACTCAATCATAACAAGCATCTTCGTATTTACTTCTGTATATTTAGTAATTACTCCTCGTATATTCATCTTACCTTTTGTACATTACGCTCTCTGTATAAAGGCTCCTTGAGATTATGGCTCTAACTGGTGAGCTATAAAGGAACAAAATGAATGAGAAAGAATGGAATGAAGAGAAATAAAATATATGGAACTCATTCCTCCTCATATTTTATAAGGAATATTTTAACATTATAATTCCCTAATTAATATGGAATGGTAATGAATAATATGGAGTACACATTCCTTATAAATGATGTAATTTTTAAGGAATGAAGGGGAATTGTCTTATTCCCTCTCATTCCTTGGTCACCAGTTACAGCCTATGTCAATAATACTCAATCGATTCCATCTCTCTAATATGGTATCAGATACACTACTTAATTAAAATAAATACAAGAGAACAGAGTAGGTGGAAAAGTAATATTTTGCTACATCTTTTTTTATCAAATTCCAATTGTGTTAAGTGGTGCACGGATATTTTTTTCAAGGGGAATAATAAATTGATTTAAACAATCATATATATTAATATATGTATGTTTGAATTGTCTCTTGTGTCTTTCTGTCATGTAAATTATAAATTAAACACTGAATATCTTAACATTGACAGAAACAATTCCCAGCAGCACACTGACAGACACACGGATCAGGATTGCATTCTTTAGGGCAGTACTTGTTGCATTGACTATCTTCATCGCACATCTTCACATTAGTCTCCCTTATAGGTGCTACCGGCGGCAAGGGGTTACAGTTCTTCTTTCCTTCAGGATATTTGCCGCTGAGGCAATTCACTTCTTCCTTCGCCATCTCACTTGCATCACTTAAACACAAACCTTCACATATACACACACACACACCATAAACTTCAATAGTCAAATACAATAACAAAAAAAAAAAAAAATTATATAACAAAAAGAAGATGTTAACATAGAAGAAGCATACAAAATGCTATTATTGTGAGGGAGAGCAAGAAAACAAGCTTGAAAGATGTCTTTTCCATTGGTAAATTTTTTGATCTCAATATTTTTTATTGTTTACAATGATTGTGTTAAAGTGATGAGGAGATAAGTTTCTCTTCTTTTATAGATGAAAAATATATAGGCAACATATATTGTCTTCTAAAATTTTACCAAGTAGAGCCAGATACTATTTGATAAAGAGAAGTTGAATTTTCTTCTATTATATAGAAAGACGTTAGAAGGTAACAATTCTTTTGTGTGAAGGTTATACCAAGTTTAGCTAGATGCTAGTTGAAGTTGTTCCAAAAAAAAAAAAGTTAGATGATATTTGACATCCAATATATAACACATTGTCTTTTTTCCTACTTGAGAATTATCATCCAAAAATAGATTTTCAAATTGAAGATTTTTTTTCTTTAACAAAATCCATAGCAAAGAATGAAATAAATATCACAAAATTTAGGGCAAACAACTGGTAAGCTTCTCAAGTTGCTTGCTCTTCTTATCTCAGTGTTCATGCTACTCTTTTCAGACACAGAATGGTTCTCTGCACAGACATGCAGAGCTTTCGGAAGCTCTTGTTGACACTAAAAGACATGTAAAACATATATTTGGAATCTGCTTAAGGCCTTCACTACTTATTTGTATCAAATTCCATATGTATTGACTGTTGCAGATATTTATTTTTGATAATAAAACAATTATATCAGAAAAGTTATTATAAATTTCTTGTCTTATAAGTAAATTATGGTGGTTTTACAATCTCTTAACACTCACAGAAACAGTTTCCTAAAATGTTAACATACTTGCAACCCTTAGGACAGGCATTTTTGCATTTTTCGTCTCTACTACTGGACTCATTGGTCTCAGAACCTTCCATTGTATGTGTTACCGGCGTGGGCAAGCAGTTACAGTTCTTCTTTCCATGAGGACATCCACGGATGCAGTTCACTTCTAGTTTGGACATCTCTCTTGCATCAACCATGGAAGAACCTTCACATATACACATAACAAAACGTCAATATATACAGAACCAAAGCAAAAAAATTAGTTATAACAAAGAAGAACTTTTCATTGAAGAAAAAGAAGAAGAAGAAGAAGAAGAAGAAGAAGCATACAAAATGCTAGGATTGTGAGGGAGAAGAGGAAGACAATCTTGAGAGATGTTTTCTCCATTAATGCTAGCTAATTGTATAATCTCAGAATCTTTTTCTTGTTTGATTTGATTGTGTTGAAAGTGATGAAGAGATATATAGTTAGTTTTCTCTTCTTTTACACAAGAAAGTCACAAGGCAACATATATTTTGTTTGAAGTTTTTACCAAATTGAGTCATATACTATTTGATTAGACATTGTTTAATTCAGATTCATGCAATTTAGTTACACAGTGTATTAGGATATCAGTTAATAACTTGCTGAGTTTTTTTTTCTTTTTTCTTTTGTAGAAGGAAATAAACCAACAGTTAGGATACACTGAAGAAAGAAATACAAAAGAACAGAGTAGCTTCAGCATCCCCATTTTAGAATAATAGTTTCTACATAATCATTTCTTTAGTGTTGCAAAAAGTTAGGATACACTGAAGAAAGAAATACAAAAGAACAGAGTAGCTTCAGCATCCCCATTTTAGAATAATAGTTTCTACATAATCATTTCTTTAGTGTTGCAAAGCTTCTCTTGGATCTAAGCAGCCGGACACAACCGTAATTTCATTTTACATGCAACTTTTGTTTTCTCCATGGATTTGATTTAAATGGGATCATATTTTGACAATGATGATTAGGTCAAATATAAATTGGTTTAATTGATATGTTATTAAATTAAAATTTGCAAAAACATATTGAAAAATTTATCAAATATAACTTAAAAATTCAAATATCTCAGATATTTTGGTTATTTTGTTCTAAATAGAAATAATATATATTATTTATAATTGTAGTTTTAGATATTTTGGTTATTATAAATCTAAATATAACTAAGATTTTGGGTATATAACTATATTTTTGTATTTCAAATATCCATTCAATTTTTGGTTCGGGTTCAATTCGGTTTTGTGCTTTCGGGTATAGAAATTTTAGATAAATAGGGATAAAGGCACGTTGGTGGTAAGGGGTCAGATGACCCCCACTAATTTATAAAATGTTGTTTATAAGCCCATGTTCTATGTGATTATTGTGATCAATTGGTCTGATTTTTTTACAATTGACCCCGGTACTTTTTGTTATAATTTGCTTCTGCACCCATATAAGAATGATATATACTTATTTATATTTGTTTCTACACCCATATAAGCATGATATATACTTATTTCTATATGTTTCTGCACCTATATAGTCATGATATATACTTGTTTCTATTAAATCATTTGACGTGTCCATTGTTTCCTTTCTAAAACAGAAAACAAACTAATTCTCTAGTTCACTTGAATATTATTTTTTGGGTAAAGAGTTCACTCGTATATCATTCAATTCTCTTATCTTTAATTCATATCTTTCTTTTTTTTTTTTAATTTTAATTTAAATGTATATAATTTAATTAATTATCAAAATTAAATATGACCCCGGTAAAATTTATTTCTGGCTCCGCCCCTGATTTTAGATGTCTTCTCCATTGGTAAATTTTATAATCTCAGAATCTTTTCTTGTTTATTTTGATTGTGTTGAAGTGATGAAGAGATAAGTTTCTCTACTTCTATAGAGGAAAAGATATAGGCAACGTATACCAAGTGGAGTCAGATGCTACTTGATAAGGAGAGAAGGTGAATTTTCTTCTATTATATAGAAAGATGTTAGAAGGTAACAGTTATTTCGTGTGAAGGTTATACCAAATTTAGTTAGATGCTATTTGAAGTTGTTCAAAATAAAAAAAAGTTAGATGCTATTTGACAACACATTGTCTTTTTTTTTCCTACTCGATAATCACCCAAAAATAATTTTTCAATTTGAAGAATTTTTTCTTTAACAAAATCCAAAGCAAAGAAGGAAAGAAATAGCACAAAATTTAGGGCAAGCAACTGGTAAGCTTCTCAAGTTGCTGCTCTTTTGATCTCAGTCTTCATGCTACTCTTTTCAGACACAGAATGGTTCTCTGCATAGACAGAGCTTTCTCATAAGCTCTTGTTAACACTAAAAGACATGTAAAACATATTTTTGGAATCTGCTTAAGGCCTTCACTACTTAATTGTATCAAATTCCATTTGTATTGACTGTTGCATAGATCTTTTTTCAAGAATAATAAATTGATATAAAACAATTCTATTAGAAAAATTATTTATATATTTCTTGTCTTATAATTACAAGTAACTTATGTTGGTTTTACAATCGCTTAACACTCACAGATACAGGTTCCTAACATACAGTTAACAAACTTGCAACCCTTAGGACATGACTCGATGCACTCGTTGTCTTTACGACAAGACGCATTGGTCTCATAACTTTCCATTGTATGTGTTACCGGGGGCAAGCAGTTACAGTTCTTCTTTCCATCAGGACATCCGCCGAGGCAGTTCACTTCTAGTTTGGACATCTCTCTTGCATCAACCAAGGAAGAACCTTCACAAATACACATAACAAAACGTCAATATATACAGAACCAAAGCAAAAATTTAACTATAACGAAGAATAACTTCTCATAGAAGAAGAAAAAGAAGAAATATACAAAATGCTAGGATGGTGAGGGAGAAGAGGAAGACAAGCTTGAGAGTTGTTTTCTCCATTGCTAATTGTATAATCTCAGAATCTTTTCTTGTTTGTTTTGATTGTGTTGAAAGTGATGAAGAGATAATTAGTTGGTTTTCTCTCCTTTTATAGAAGAAAGTCACAAGGCAACATGTCTTTTTTTTTAATGTTTTTACCAAGTTGAGTCAGATACGATTTGCTTAGACACTGTTTTATTCAGATACGTGCAATTATATTACACTATTTATTAGGATATTAGTTAATAACTGGCTAAGTTTGTCTGTTTTTTTCTTTTGTATAAGGAAATAAACCACCAGTTGAGATACATTGATTAAAATAAATACAAAAGCATACCCATTTTAGAAAATTAATTTCTACATAATAATGTCCTTAGTGTTGCAAAGCTCCTTTAGGATCTAAGCAGTGGGATACAACGTAATTTCATATTGCATGCATGAAACTTTTTTTTCTCCATGGATTTGATTTTAATGGGATCATATTTTGATAATTATTATTGTCAATTATAACTGGCTTAGTTTATATGAAAGTGAATTAAATTTACAAAAAAATTGAATAATTTATTAAATATAACTTAACTTATTTACCCCTTTAATTATCTCAGATATTTTGGTTATTTTGTTCTAAATATAAATATTACATTTGATTTATAATTGTAACTTTAGATATTTTGCTTATTATAAATCGAAATATAACTAATATTTTGGATATATAATTATATTTTGAGTATTTTGGATAATCATTCAGTTCTCAGTTCAGTTTCGGATCAGGTTTGGTTCTGTCGGGTATAGAAATTTTTGGACCCGTTCAGGTATTTGTGTCGGTTCATGTTCGGGTTGAAACAACCAACATTTTTTTTTTAATAAATATTAATCAATTCTAGCGAAGGTCTTAAAAATAAATTAAATAAATAAAATATCAATAACAAATAAATCAGCTCAGCGGAAGCAAATAATAATTAAACAAGTCTAGCAAAATAATGCAAAACAATAAAACAGTAAACATCCTATCATCCCCCTCTTCAGCCTTGATTCCGCGATCACACAAATCTTTTACCTGCAACACATTGGAATGGAGTTGCGTAAGTATTTAATAAATACTTAGTGAGGCAATCACTCTGCCTACGAGCCATTTACGCAATTTACTAGATATTTAATAATATTTATAAACTTCAATAATTATTAAATACCATTTTCCAATTATTAAATAATTTTTAATAATTAAAACTCAATTTCTCAATTATTAAATAATTCTCATAATTAAATAATAATTTTCCATATTTTAAAATAATTAAAATAATACCAATTAATTAAATAAATATTATTTAATTAATTAAATCCGAATTAAATCTATTTAATTCCATTAAACCAATTAAATTCAATTAAACCAATTAAATTCAATTGAACCAAGATAAACCAGAATCAAATCAATTAAATTCAATTAAACCAATAAACCAGATTAAACCACACAAACACACAATTCATCACATGAACAACCAAAATATCATAAAAATAACAATTAAAACATAAACTCATCAAGAACAACCACAAACCAAATCTAATCTAGCAAATCACGGACCCACAGTCATGCACTCACCTTGACAATGATTGAAACTGAAGGAAAAAGGAAGACGATGAACAGTGCCGAATCGCGGATGAACAGTAACCCGTGAACAGTACCGATGAACAGTAACCCGATGAACAGTGCCGATGAACAGTAAAATTCGAAAATCTCTCCAAAAACTCAACTTTTCTCCTCTACAGCATCTGAACTCGAAAATTCTCCAAAGAGAAGACGGCTGCACTCTTTAAACTTGATTTTAGGGCTTTCTCCACTAAACCGACCCAAACCAATTCACTTAAATTGAACCGACAAAATTCCCAATTTTTATTTTTGGTTTATGGATGTTACAACTCTTCCCCACTAAACTGGATTCGTCCTCGAATCCCAACGCAAACGTCACAAAGACCACAAAACCCAACCTCGCAAGGCCGCAACACCGGAGATCCTCACTTGATCCCCGAGACAAACGTCATATCTTATGTCATAAACACGTTCCAAGAAAATTTCACTCCTAACTCATCATCCAAACACACCAAACAACTTGTACTGAGGCCCACTTGCACCCAGACAAGTCCACACCGGTCCGCACTGAGGCCCACTTGCACCCAGACGAACCCGAAAACGTCCATACTGAGGCCCACTTGCACCCAGATGAACTAAACTGCTTATACTGAGGCCTACTTGCACCCATATAAGCTACACTCAACTGAGGCCTACTTGCACCCAGAGAGTCTGCCAGAGAACGAAGTCTCCAAAAACATGATGAGTTATTCAGGATCGCAATCCTTAGAGTAAAAATTCCGGAAAATGTCTATAACCATAAGATTAGACCGTCTCACAACCAAAAACTGGTCAAACATGTGTAACATCCGAATACCTTTTCACAACACAAGGCAAAATGAGGAAAAACTGCATCTCATTAAAACTCCAAAATGTATATCGTTACAACGAAAACGAAAATACAATAACACCAAAGCCAAAAATAACAACTGAGGCTACAAAGATGAAATAAGCTCACTCCTCGACCTGCTTGTCGAACCACTTCCTGAACTTCAACTTCATCTTTGCCTCTGGCTCCCAAGTCTCCTCTGTAGAACCACTGCAATCCCACAAAATCCTCAGTAAGGGAATCCTCTTGTTCCTCAGAACCTTTTCCCTCCTCTCTAAAATCCTCACAGGCACTGCCGGCACTGTCAAATCTGGCTGAAGATCCTCTGGAATCCTAGCCACTAACTCCTCTGTAGGGTGAAGACACTTCCTCAGCATCGACACATGAAAAACCTTGTGAAAGGCTTTCATAATCTCAGGCAACTCCAGCCTGTAAGCCAATGGCCCAACTCGCTCCACTACTGGAAACGGACCCATAAATCGCGGACTCAGCTTGTTCTCTGCTATGGATCTGTTAGGACCCCTCAACATAGCCATCTTGAGATAAACTCTATCTCCAACCTGAAACTCAAGCTCTCGTCTGCGTCTATCTGCATAACTCTTCTGCCTATCCTGAGCCTCCTTCATGTTCAGCCTCACAACACGAACCTTCTCTGTCGTCTCCTGAACATAAGTAGCTCCATACATGCTGCGCTCCCCCACTTGGGTCCAGCATAGGGGTGTCCTACATGGCCTCCCATACAAAGCCTCAAATGGAGCCATGCCAATACTCGCCTGAAAGCTGTTGTTGTATGCAAACTCAACTAAGCTCAGGTGATCTGCCCAATGGCCACCCCAATCCAACACACACATCCTCAGCAAATCCTCCAAAGTCTGAATAGTCCTCTCTGACTGACCATCTGTCTGCGGATGATAAGCTGTACTCAGATGCACCTTAGTGCCCATCTCTGCCTGAAACGCCCTCCAAAACTCTGAAGTGAATCTGGGATCACGGTCTGACACAATACTAGCTGGCACTCCATGCAGCCTCACAATCTCTCGCACAAACTTCCTAGCCAAGACAGCAGCTCCATCTGTCTTCTTGATGGCCAAGAAATGTGCAGACTTAGTCAACCGATCCACAATCACCCAGATAGCATCGAAAGTCCTCGAAACAGGTAGTCCAACCACGAAATCCATCGTAATCCTGTCCCACTTCCACTCTGGAATGGGTAAACTCTGCAAAAGACCACCCGGAACCTGATGCTCTGCCTTCACCAAGGCACAAGTGTTGCACTTCGCAACCCAGTCTGCTACATCCCTCTTCATCCCGACCCAATGATAGTACCTCTTGAGGTCATGGTACATCTTGGTCGCTCCCGGATGAATGGAAAACTTGCTCGCGTGAGCCTCTCCCAAAATCTGATGTCTCAACTCCACATCCTTAGGCACACAAACTCGCCCACGAACCAAGATAGTCCCATTCGCAGAGACCTCATACTCAGAACCAGTCACTCTCGTCGCATCTAGCAAACTCTGATCACTCTGCTGAGCAACTCTGATCCTGCTAAGTAGATCCGCCTGATCCACTGCCTCTAAACCCAAAGGCTCCTGCGAAATGGCACACAAACGCAAGGTACTGATCTCGCCAACTAGAGACTCCACATCTCGCTCAACTGCGGAATCATACCTCCGTCTACTCAACGCGTCCGCCACTAGGTTAGCCTTGCCCGGATGGTAGTTAATGCTCACCTGATAGTCCGCCAAGAACTCAACCCAGCGCGTCTGTCTCGCGTTCATCATCGGCTGAGTGAAGATATGCTGCAAACTCTTGTGATCCGTGAAGACCTGTACTGTCTCACCTAGCAAGTAAGACCTCCAAATCTTCAACGCGAAGATCACTGCTCCCAACTCTAAGTCATGTGTAGGACGGTTACGCTCACTGCCCTGCCACTGTCTCGAAGCATATGCTATCACTCTGCCCTCCTGCATCAGCACACAACCAAGACCAATGCCTGAAGCATCTGTATACACCATGTAAGGCTTCCCTGGCTCGGGTAACGCCAACACTGGTGTAGTAGTCAACATCTCCTTGAGCTGACTAAAGCTCTCCTCACACTCAGCTGACCAAATAAAAGGGACATCCTTCCCGGTCAACTTCGTCATCGGCTGCGCCATGGTAGCAAACCCCTTGACGAACCTCCTGTAGTATCCTGCCAAACCCAGAAAACTCCTGATCTCGGTGGCACTACTAGGTCTAGGCCAATCTCTGATAGCCTCAATCTTAGCCGGATCCACAGAAACTCCCTCTGCAGAAACAATGTGGCCAAGAAATCCCATCTCTCGCTGCCAGAAACTGCACTTGCTCAACTTAGCAAAAGCTTCTGCTCCCGAAGCTTCTCCAGAACCAACCTCAAGTGAGTCGCATGCTCCTCCTGACTCCTCGAGTATACCAGAATATCATCAATGAAAATGATGACGAACACATCCAAATACTCCCTGAACACGTCGTTCATCAATCTCATGAAGGCTGCCGGCGCGTTAGTCAAACCGAAAGGCATAACCACAAACTCAAAATGCCCATAACGCGTCCTGAAAGCAGTCTTCCTGACATCTGCCTCATCTATCGGGATCTGATGATACCCCGATGCCAAGTCAATCTTGGAGAACCAAGTAGCACCCCTCAACTGATCCAAACTCATCAATCCTCGGGAGTGGGTACCTGTTCTTCACAGTGACTCGGTTAAGACCTCTGTAATCGATACAAAGTCTGAAACTGCCATCCTTCTTCTTCACAAACAACACCGGTGCTCCCCACGGTGAAACACTTGGTCGAATGAACCCCTTAGACAAAAGGTCCTCTATCTGCTTCTTCAGCTCTGCCAACTCAGCTGGCGCCATCCTGTAAGGCGTCTTCGATATCGGTGCTGTCCCCGGCTCTAACTCAATCGTGAAAGGATCAGACCGAGATGGTGGTAATCCCTTCAGTGACTGAAAGACATCCTCAAAATCCTGGACAACCTCAATATCTCCCATAACAACTCCAGCTCCTGACTCAGACATAGAAATCGTCGCCAGATACGCCTCACAGCCCCGCTCTAACAACTGCTCGGCCTGAATAGCAGATATCACAATACTCCCGGAAGTCGGTCTCACTCCCTGATAAACCAACCTCCCTGCATCTCGCTCGAAGACCACTCTACCTCTGTAGCAATCCAGATGAACTCTGTAGTGTGACAACCAGTCCATCCCGAGAATAACGTCATACAGCTCCACCGGACTGATGACTAAGTCTGCTGGCATTGACTGCCCCGCAATCTCGATCTCGACTCCTCTAGCACGGCCCAAAGTAGACAAGAATCCACCTCCCGCCACCTTGACCATGCCCGCGCTCTCGCCCGCGCTACTCCGGATGCCACTCTTCTCGGCACGCTCCGGTGTAATGAAGCAATTCGATGCTCCAGAGTCGAATAAAACGTGGGACTCAAAACCGCCCACTAACAAGGTCCCTACACATTCAATTGCGTTGAGAACCTCCACAAGACTATCACAGATAAAAATGACTAACAGACAATACACAACAACAATTCTATACTAAGAATTTACAAAGTCTGAGTCGAAGATTTACCTGTGATCTGTCCGGTCTGACTAGTCCCGCCAGTCTCCACCGAAGAGTAACCCCGCGGCGCCGGTGCAATCTGACCCAACGGCTGCACTGCTGCGATCTGACTCACTGGCTGAGCCGCTACTGGCTGAACCGAAGCCACCGACATACTCCGCAACTTAGGACACATGGGCTTGATATGCCCAGGCTCCTTGCAGTAGTAGCACACCTCGGTGCTGACTCTCTCTTGGGACAACTCGAAACACGATGCTCCGTGCTCCCACACCCAAAACAGGAACCACGAGGAAACTGACTAGCACCAGAAAACTCCTCTCTACTCCTCTTCTGACCCTGCGCAGGCAAACCGCCCCTGCCAGAACCAGAACTGAAACTCGAACCACCTCTGCGCTGCTGCTGCTGCTGCTGTCGCGGCTGCTGATGCTGACCCCGAGGCTGGGTAGCAGAAGCAACTGCTGACGGCACAGCCACCGGACCAACTGGCCCACCAAGATCCGCCTCAACCGACGCGGCCAACTCTACCAGACTCGCCCTCGAAGTGTGCATACTACTCCTGCATAGAGTCCGAATATCCTTGCGAAGTCCCTCCAGAAATCTGTTCGTCAACTGATGCTCAGACCTCCATACCAAAGCCCGCATGCACTAACAGACGGCTGAACTCCTCATCATACTCGCGTACAGAACGCGAACCCTGCTCAATGCCCATAAACCGCATCTGAAGACGATCACGAGCCTGCCTCGGGAAATACTTGGCGTTGAACTCCACAAGGAAGTCGCCCCAAGTCCAAAATGCCCTCCGGCCCACCGCGGCCTGCCACCACAAATGAGCATCGCCACTCAAATAGTGGACCGCTAACTCCACCCAGTACTCTATCGGACAACGGATCGAATGAAAGTTCCGCTCCACTCTCTGACGCCACGCGTCTGCCTCCTCTGGACCAACTCTGCCCTCGAAGAAAGGCGTACCAATCTCTGCATGTGGCCCATAAACTCCAAATAACGGTCACACCCGCATCCACAGCCTCCGGCTGCGCAACGCCTGCAGCAACATGCTGCACCTCTGCCACTGGCGGTACTCCTGGAGCCCCCTGTGGAACCACCGGCGGAAAACGAGCCAACAGCTGCGTCAGCAAACCCACCACTAAGTCATCATGACCCGGAGCCGGAGCGCCACCCCCACCCGGAGCAGCCCCCGCTCCCAAACCAACACTCGCACTGGCATCACCCGCCAACGGAACTGACTGGGTCACCGACGCAGTATGCACACTCGGTGCCGCACTCTCTCCCGACTCCTCCGGAAGTCCACGACCACGACCTCGGCCTGCTCGACCTCCAGCTCTACCACCAGCTCTGCCGCCACGGCCAACTCTGCCGCCACGACCTCTAGCACCGCGCCCTCTCGCGCCACGACCTCTAGGAGCTCCGTCCATCTCACTGCATGGACCCGAACATGAGCAACTAGACAATAACACAAAACACAAACACCAATAACTCACCGCGGAATCTCCTTTAGCTGAAGGGGATGATACTAAGCCTAGCAATTCTAGCTGTCCTAAAACCGTCTAGGCTCTGATACCAAAATGAAACAACCAACATTTTTTTTTTTAATAAATATTAATCAATTCTAGCGAAGGTCTTAAAAATAAATTAAATAAATAAAATATCAATAACAAATAAATCAGCTCAGCGGAAGCAAATAATAATTAAACAAGTCTAGCAAAATAATGCAAAACAATAAAACAGTAAACATCCTATCATCCCCCTCTTCAGCCTTGATTCCGCGATCACACAAATCTTTTACCTGCAACACATTGGAATGGAGTTGCGTAAGTATTTAATAAATACTTAGTGAGGCAATCACTCTGCCTACGAGCCATTTACGCAATTTACTAGATATTTAATAATATTTATAAACTTCAATAATTATTAAATACCATTTTCCAATTATTAAATAATTTTAATAATTAAAACTCAATTTCTCAATTATTAAATAATTCTCATAATTAAATAATAATTTTCCATATTTTAAAATAATTAAAATAATACCAATTAATTAAATAAATATTATTTAATTAATTAAATCCGAATTAAATCTATTTAATTCCATTAAACCAATTAAATTCAATTAAACCAATTAAATTCAATTGAACCAAGATAAACCAGAATCAAATCAATTAAATTCAATTAAACCAATAAACCAGATTAAACCACACAAACACACAATTCATCACATGAACAACCAAAATATCATAAAAATAACAATTAAAAACATAAACTCATCAAGAACAACCACAAACCAAATCTAATCTAGCAAATCACGGACCCACAGTCATGCACTCACCTTGACAATTGACTGAAACTGAAGGAAAAAGGAAGACGATGAACAGTGCCGAATCGCGGATGAACAGTAACCCGTGAACAGTACCGATGAACAGTAACCCGTGAACAGTACCGATGAACAGTAACCCGTGAACAGTACCGATGAACAGTGCCGATGAACAGTAAAATTCGAAAATCTCTCCAAAAACTCAACTTTTCTCCTCTACAGCATCTGAACTCGAAAATTCTCCAAAGAGAAGACGGCTGCACTCTTTAAACTTGATTTTAGGGCTTTCTCCACTAAACCGACCCAAACCAATTCACTTAAATTGAACCGACAAAATTCCCAATTTTTATTTTTGGTTTATGGATGTTACACGGGTCATTTTCATCTAATTCGGTTCAGTTCTGGTTCGATATAGAAATTTAGGATCAATTTGGGTATTTGTGCTGGTTCAAATTCGGGTCATTTCCATCTAATTCGGTCCAATTCTGGTTCGGGTCTTCGGGTCTCAATAAAATGTGAATGCCTAAATTGATGATAATGTTGTCTCCTTTGAACAATATGTCATTTTTAGAAGAGCTGGAAAACTTGTATTATAAATATCTCGCTTGTCTTTAGCGATAAAGATGTCAAATTCAAGAAAAATACTACAAAATGAGCAAGAGCAAGAAAAGACAAAACAATATCATGAAACCATAGCAAAGAGAAACATAACAATCTCTGAGAAAATGTATAACAGATTTGGAACATAAAGACATTGTTTGATCATGATTGGAAAAACTATGGTGGTCTCTCGAACCTCTTAACACCCACAATAACACTTATTCGATTGGCACGAACAGCTACAAGATTTTCCAGGATTCTTGCACAACGTAGGACAGTATTTATAGCATTCAGAAGCTTTACCGCAATCCCCAGCGACCATTATAGGTGACACCGGCGCCAAGCTAGGACCGTCGTCGAGGTAATTCATTTCTTCCTCTGCCATCTCTCTTGCATCACCCAAGTACGAACCTTTACATATACAGATGTTCAATAATCAAATAATATACCGAACCAAATATATATAATATAACCAAAGAAGAAGCATACACATTGCGATGACTGTGATGGAGAACAAGAAGACAAGCTTGAGAGAGTTTTTCTCCATTGCTAATTGTAAATATTCAAAATGTTTTCTTGTTTATTTTGATTTGTACAAGTGATGAAGAGATAGAAGTACGATTGGTTTCTCTTATATAATATTTGTACAAATCGTTGGATTCAATGTCTGACCAAGTTGAGTTAGATACTATTTGACTACATCTGTGCTTTAATTAGTCACCTTTAACTTGTCTCAGTCTTTAGGAAATCACTTTATAACCGTTTGAATAATAATTTGAGATAAAAAAATTGTTATATGTAACTTTAAACAACTCTTTTTTCCTCTCTTGTCTTATAAATGGTTCTCTCAGTGTTTAGGAAATCACTTATTAATAGTTTGAATATTATATTGAGATAGAACAATTTTGTTATATGTAATTCTGAATTATGATTTAGGAAAGTACTATGATTGTGAGGGAGAACAAGAAGCCAAGCTTGAGAGACGTAAAATTATGATTTTTTTAACTTCTCCTTTGCTAGTTATAACTTAAAAAATCATTTCTTATTTGTTTTTATTGTGTTAAGTGATGATGATGAGAAAAGTCGGACGAGTATCTTCTATTATAGAAGAAAGTTAAACGGAAACATATATTTTGTTTGAAGGTTTTACCAACTTAAATCCTAAATATTTTCTATTGGTTCACTCGCTATGACTCAACGAAAGTTAAAAGCCTAAATATTGTATCTATATCTTTTTTGTGTGTGTGCAAATGTGAATATTGTATCTATTTCTTACGTGAACAAAGGTACATATGAGATGTCCCTAGTATTGCAAAGCTCATCTCGGATCAGTAGGAGACAACCGTAAACTTCATGTTGCATGCAGCCATTTTTTCCATGGTTTTGGTTCAAAAGGGATCATATTTGATGATGATGATGATGATGTTTCCCATGAACAATATGTCACTGTGGGAAGAGTTAAAAAAATTGTGTTAAAAATATTTCGCTTGTATTTTGTGAGAAATATGTCGATTTCCATGAAATTGCTACAAGAATGTACGGTGAGATGAGCAAGAGCAAGAGCAAGAAATATATCACAGATTTGGAACCTGTTTCAGATTTTAGTACCTAAATTGTATCAAATTCCATCTGTCTTGAGTGGTGGAGAGATATGTTTTTCAAGGGGAATGATAAACTGATTTAGAAAAATCGTATACATTTGAATTGTTTGCTCATGTTTAAATCGTATAGTTATAAGTAAAAACTATTGTGGTCCTCGAATCTCTTAACACGCACAATGACACTTTCTCGAACGACACGAGCAGATACAAGATCTTCCATGAGACGTGCAGGCCCTAGGGCAGTTCTTTCCGCATTCAAGATCTTTATGACAAAAACCATTGATCACCATTATAGGTGATACCGGCGCCAAGCTAGGACCGTCGAGGTAATTCACTTCTTCCTCTGCCATCTGTCTTGCATCACCCAAATACGAACCTTCACATATACACACCACCAATATAATGTTCAATAGTCAAATACAAAAATACAATACCAAACCAACAAAACAAAATTATATAACCAAAGAAGAGAACCATACACATTGCTATGACTATGAGGGAGAACAAGAAGACAAGCTTGATAGAGCTTTTCTCCATTGCTAAATTTAAATATTCAAAAATGTTATCTTGTTTATTTTGGTTTGTAGTTTTGTGCAAGTGATGAAGAGTTGGAAGTCAGATTGGTTGCTTTTATACTAGAAGTTTTTTTAAAAACAACAACAACTCTTTGGATTGAAGGTTTGACCATACTATTTGACTACCCCATTGTATTCTTGTCGCATTTAAGTTCTCTCGCTGTTTAGGAAAATCACTTTAGAAAGTTGAATAACAAAATGAAATTAGCAATTATGTTATATTTAATTTTGAATAACTCTTGTTTCTCTTGTCTTATAAATGATTATCTCACTGTTTATGGAATCACTTTATAACAGTTTGAATAATAAATTGAGATGAACAATTTGTTATATATAACTTTGAATGACTCTTGTTTCCTTTCTTGTCTTATATATCAACTTTGGTGGTTTTACAATCTCTTAAAACTCACAGAAACAGGTTCCAAAATTACAGTTAACAATCTTGCAGACCTTAGGACAGAACTTGATGCATTCGCTGTCTCTACTGCAAGATGCACTGGTCTCATGACTGTCCATAGTAGGTGTTACCGGAGAGGGCAAGCACTTAGAGTTCTTCTCTCCATCAGGACATCCGCCGATGCAATTCACTTCTTCTTTGGCCATCTCTCTTGCATCACTCAAAGAAGAACCTTCACAACATACACATAATAAAACGTCAATACAAAACCAAAGAAAAAATATTATAACGAAAGAAGAACGTATCATAGAAAAAGAAGCATACAAAGTACTATGATTGTGAGGGAGAACAAGAGTACAAGCTTGAGGGACGTTTTATCCGTTGCTAGTTGTAAATCTTCAAAAATGTTTTCTTGTTTGTTTTGATTGTGTTGAAGTGATTAAGAGATAAGTTGGTTTTCTCTTCTTTTATAGAAGAAAGTCACAAGGCAACAAATATTTTGTTTGATAGTTTTACCAAAATGAGTCAGACACAATTTGATTACACACCGTTTTAGTCAGATACATGCAATTTGATTACACATTATATAAGGATATCACTTAATAACTGGCCGATTTTTTTTTTCTTTTCTTTTTTAGAAGGAATTAAACCAACAGTTGAGATACGTTGATTAATGAAATAGATACAAAAGAATACAGTAGCTTGAGACTTCATCCCCATTTTAGAAAAATAGTTTCGACATGATAATTTCCTTAGTGCTGCAAAGCTCCTCTTGGATCTAAGCATGCGACTTCTTATTTTCTCCTTGATTTTTTTTAAATGTGTTCACTTTTTGATAATGATGATGATGCTGTCTCCTTTGAACAATATTTCATTTGGAGAAGAGTTGGAGAAATTGTGTCACAAATATTTCGCTTTTGTCTTTGGTTATAAACTTATAAAGATGTCAAATTCAAGAAAATTGCTACAGTAGTACTGTACCGCGAGATATCAACAGCAAGAAAATCGATAACAATATCATGAAACCATAGCAAAGAGAAACATAGAAAGGTCATGAGAAATGTATAACTAACAGATTTGGAACATGAAACATAGTGTGATCATGATTGGAAAACCTATGGTGATCTCTCGAATATCTTAACACCCACAGAAACACTTTCTCGATTGACACGAACATTTACAGTGTTTTCCAATAGCCGGGCATAGCTTAGGACAAAACTCTTTGCATTCAGAATCTTTACGGCAATCCCCAGGGATCGTCATTGTAGGTGATATCGCCAAGGTGTCACCGCCGAGGTAATTCACTTCTTCCTCCACCATCTCTCTTGCATCTCCCAAATACGAACCTTCACATATACCCACCACAATTTTCAATAGGTAAATACAATACCAAACCAAAAATATATACATATATATAGCCAAAGAAGATAGGCATACACATTGCTATGACTGTGAGGGAGAACAAGAAGACAAGCTTGAGAGACGTTTTCTTCATTGCTAAATTGTAAATCTTGAAAACTGTTTTCTTATTTATTTTGATTTTACAAGTGATGAAGATAGGAGTGAGATTGTTTTCTTTTATAGAAGTAAGTTAAAATAGGCAACTAGGTTGAGTCAAATACTCTTATTAGACTACACCATTGTATTACTTAGTCTCGTTTAAGTTCTCCCAGATCTTAGAGAATCAGTTTATAACAGTTTGAATGATAATTTGAGATAAACAAATTTGTTATATGTAATTTTGAATTACTCTTTTTCCTCTCTTGTCTTATAAATGGGTATTTCAGTGTTTAGCAAATCACTTTATAACAGTCTGAATAATAAATTGAGAAAAATAATTCTGTTATATGTACGTATGTAACTTTAAAAAACTCGTGTTCCTCTTTTGTCTTATAAATGGTTCTTAGTGTTTAGGAAATCACTTATTTATTTACTACAAATCATTCATTGTAGGTTGCTGCTTGCTGCAAGAAGTTACAAGTATTTCCTTTAGGACATTTTAGACCGATGAAATTCAGTTTTCGTTGGCCATCTCTCTTGCATCACATAAAGACAAACCTTCACAAATACATATCACAAAAACTTCAAAACCAAAGAAACAAAATTATATAACAAGGAATATCCTAATAGAAGAAGAATAAAAAGTACTATAATTGTGGGTGAGAACAAGAACAGAAGCTTAAGAGACGTAAGATTATGATTTTGTTTAACATCTCCATTGCTAGTTGTAACTATTTTCATGTTTGTTTTGATTGTGTTAATTGATGATGTTGAGAGAAGTCGGACGAGTATCTTCTATTATTGAAGAAAATTAAACGGCAACGTATATTTTGTTTGAAGGTTTTACCAAGTTAAGTCAGATACTATCTAATTACACACTTTATTAGTCCAGCTTGAGATCTCTCAATTTTAGGAAATCACTTTATTTATGAATTTTTTATTTTTGTCTTTTTGTAGAGAGTAAATAAACCAACAGTTGATGAGCTAGCTACATTGCTTGAAATTAAATACAAGAAAATAGAGTATTTACAACACAATACTGAACAAATGTCTAATGCTAATGCCAAGAGAGATTAATCTCCAAAAATTGACCTTAACCTTCAAGAGATACCAGGGTTAAGCTAAAGCTTAGCCTAAATATTTTATCTATTTCTTACGTGAACAAAGGTACATATTACATGTCCTTAGAGTTGCAACGCTCTTCTCGGATCAGTAGGTGACAACCGTAAGTTCATGTTGCATGCAAGCTTTTTTTTGTTTTTTGCCATGGATTTGGTTCAAAAGGGATCATATTTGATAATGACGATGGTAAATTGATAATATTGTTTCCCTTGAACAAAATGTCATTGTGGGAAAAGCTGAATTAAATTTGTTACAAATATCTCTCGCTTGTCTCCGGTAAGAAATATGTCAAATTTAAGAAAATTGCTACAAGAACCGAGAGATTAGCAAGAGCATGATCAAGAAATTTATAAGAGATATGGAACATGAAGACACTGTTTGATCATGTGACTGAACATGTTTCAGGTTTGTCTTGAGTGGTGGAGAGATATGTTTTTCAAGGAGTGTAATATAAATTGATTTAGACAAATCTTTTACATAACCATATATTTGAATTGTATATGGCTCATGTTATGACTTATAAGTAAAAAAGTATTGTAGTCCCACGAATCTATTAACACCCACAATGACACTTTCTCGAACGACACGAACAGATACAAGCTCTTCCATGAGAGGTGCAGGACCTAGGGCAGTACTTTCCGCATTGAACATCTTTACGACAAAACCCATGGATCACCATTATAGGTGATACCGGCGCCAAGCTAGGCCCGTCAAGGTAATTCACTTCTTCCTCTGCCATCTCTCTTGCATCACCCAAATACGAACCTTCACATATGCACACCACAATGTTCAATAGTCAAATACAATACCTAACCAAATAAATAAATAAAACTATATAACCAAAGAAGAAGCATACACATTGCTATGACTGTGAGGGAGAACAAGAAGACTAGCTTCATAGAGTTTTTCTCCATTGCTAATTGTTAATATTCAAAAAAATTATCTTGTTTATTTTGATTTGTACAAGTGATGAAGAGATAGAAGTCAGATTGGTTTATTTTATACTACTTTTTTAAAAAGACAACAAATCTTTGGATTGAACATTTTACTAAGTTGAGTTATATACTAGTTGACTACAGCATTTTATTATTTAGTCACATTTGATTTCTCTCGCTATTTGTAAACACAAAAAATATCGTGTTTTTGATGAACGTTAAGTGTTCAAGCCGAAAATAATACAACAGTTGAGATGCAGAATATAGAGTATTTTGAGAATCATCCCCATTTTAGAAAAATAGTTTCTGATAATTGTTAGATCCGAGATAGCACTCGTCAAGATGGGCTATCAAAGATGTGAGTTTAGGAAACTGGAATGCTTAATTCGACTCTTAGATTATCAAGAAAGTTACAAGGAAGTAATCTCGCTAACAACCCTAGTGAGATTATAGTGATGAACAAGAGGAGAGAGTGAAGGCTGGTGTGAAGGCCTAGTGATTCTAGATGATTTCGGATGCCTTTCCCCATTGGGGGGGTCTTCAATATATAGTGTTGACAACTCGACCGACCAATGAACATCTTATTCGGGTGAGATGGAAAACTTACTCTTTTGCGATATGGAAAACTTCCTCTTGTCCTTGATCTCTTTCCATTCCTTAAGTCGGCATGAAGATTTATTTATATTTCTCCATGGATTGTGCCTTTCTTCTCAAGTCTTGCCTTTTATTGAGAAGGCTAGAACTAAAGTCAGATTGGGCTGTGACTTTACTAATGATGACGGGCTCAGGGAAATGTGCTAATTTCTCCTCTAACAATAATTTCCTTTGTGTTGCGAAGCGCCTCTTGGATCTACGCAGTTGGACACAACCGTAAGTTCGTGCATGCAACTTTTTTTTCTCCATGTTTTTTTTTTAATTTTGTGTACAATTTGATAATGATGATGATGTTGTCTCCTTGGAACAATATTTCATTTTGAGAAGATTTAGAGAAACTGTTTCACAAATATCTCGCTTTGTCTTTGGTGATAAAGATGTCAAATTCAAGAAAATTGCTACAAGAATGTACCGTGAGATATCAAGAGCAAGAAACGCGAAAACAATATCATGAAACCATAGCAAAGAGAAACATTGAAAGCTCATGAGAAATGTATAATTAACATATTTGGAACATGGAGACATAGTTTGATCATGATTGGATTTCGAGAAACTATGGTGATCTCTCGAATCTCTTAACAAATACAATAACACTTGCCCGAATTACACGAACAGTTACAGGGTTTTTTTAAAACAGACTTGCATAACGGATGACAGAATTGAGTGCATTGAGAAGCTTGAGTGCAATCACCGATCGCCATTATAGAAGCTCCCGGCACCACGGTGTCACCTCCGAGGTTATTCACTTCTTCCTCCGTCACCTCTCTTGCATCACCCAAATACGAACCTTCACATATACACACCACAATGTTCAATAGTCAAATATAATTCTAAACCAAAAAATATATATATCCGAAGAAGAGAAGCATACACATTGCTATGACTGTGAGGGAGAACAAGAACACAAGTTTGAGAGACGTTCCCTTCATTGCTAAATTGTAAATCTTCAAAAATGTTTTCTTATTTATTTTGATTTTACAATTGATGAAGATAGAATGGGATTGTTTTCTTTTATAGAGGTAAGTTAAATTAGGCACCAGATTGAGTCAAATACTATTGAGACTAATAGAGGTAACAAATCTGAGACTAATTACTACAATGGTGTAGTCTAATGTATTTGACTCAGATAAAGGTAACAAATCTAAGACTAATTAGTACAACAATCCCATTCCTCCTTTAAAGTTCTCTCAGATTTTAGGGAATCACTTTATAATAGTTTTGTTGGAATCTTTATCTTTAATTAATATAGAAATTAATTGAAGATGAGATTCCAACAAGTTTGAATAATTATTTGAGATAAGCAACCTTGTTATATGTAATTTTGAAAACTTTTGTTGTCTTATAAAATTGCTTTCTGATCATGAGTGTTTAGGAAATCACTTTATAACAGTTTGAATAATAAATTGAGATAAAATATTTATCTTATATGTACATATGTAACTTTGAAAAACTTTGTTTCCTCTCTTGTCTTATAAATAGTTCTCTAAGTGTTTAGGAAATGACTATTAATACTTTCAATAATCTATTTGAGATAAAAATAAATTTGTTTTATGTAATTTTGAATAACTCTTGTTTCCTTTCTTGTCTTATAAGTAAAAACTATGGTCGTTTTCTAATCTCTTTAGTCTTAACACGTAAAAATCTATTTGTTACATATGTAATCGTATAGATATCCATATATTTGAATTGTCTCTTAACACGCACAATGACACTTTCTCGAACGACACGAACAGATACAAGATCTTCCATGAGACGTGCAGGCCCTAGGGCAGTACTTTCCGCATTCAAGATCTTTATGACAAAAACCATTGATCACCATTATAGGTGATACCGGCGCCAAGCTAGGACTGTCGATGTAATTCGCTTCTTCCTCCGCCATTTCTCTTGCATCACCCAAATACGAACCTTCACATATACACATCACAATGTTCAATAGTCAAGTACAATAACAAACAAAAAAAAAAAAATATATATATATATATATAACCAAATAAGAAGCATACACATTGCTATGACTGTGAGGGAGAACAAGAAGACAAGCTTGAGAGAGTTTTTCTCCATTGCTAATTGTAAATATTCAAAAATGTTATCGTGTTTAACCTGGTGTGTACAAGTGATGAAGAGATAGAGTCAGACTGGTGTTATTTATATATATATATATATATATATATATATATTTATATATATATATATAACCAAATAAGAAGCATACACATTGCTATGACTGTGAGGGAGAACAAGAAGACAAGCTTGAGAGAGTTTTTCTCCATTGCTAATTGTAAATATTCAAAAATGTTATCGTGTTTAACCTGGTGTGTACAAGTGATGAAGAGATAGAGTCAGATTGGTGTTATTTATATATATATATATATATATATATATATTTTTTTTTTTTTTTTTTTTTTTAAAAAAGACAACAAATCTTTGGACTGAAGGTTTGACCAAGTTGAGTTATATACTATTTGACTACACCATTGTATTATTTAGTCACATCTAAGTTCTCTCGGTGTTTAGGAAATCATTTTGAAAAGTTGAATAACAATTTGAGATTAACAATTATGTTATATCTAGTTTTGAATAACTCTTGTTCCTCTCTTGTCTTATAAATGGTTCTATCAGTGTTTATGGAATCGCTTTATAACAGTTTGAATCATAAATTTTGAAAATACACTAATTTGTTATATGTAATTTTGAATAACTTGTGTTCCTTTCTTGTCTTATATGTTCTCTCACTGTTGAGAATATATATATATATGGAATCACTTTATAACAGTTTGAATCATAAACTGAGATAAACAATTTTGTTATATGTAATTTTGTATAAAGAGATGAAGAGATGAAAGTCCGATTGGTTTCTCTTATATAATCATATACTCCCTCCGTTTCAAATTAGTTGTCGTTTTGGCAAAATTTATCTGCAAATATTTGGATGTATCTGGACGTGTTTTGTATTGCAGATACATCCAAATAATTGCATATACATTTTCCCAAAACGACAACTAATTTGAAACGGAGGGAGTATATGAATAGGGGCCAACTCTCTCCATCTATGTGACATGTGGACAATTTACTGATTGACACATGGCATGACTTTTCATATTTTTTCAGTTAACTATAAATCTTATTTATTTGCTAAACATTTTAATTAATTGTAATTAAAACCACTCTATCACTTTAAGGCTATTACCTTTTGACTTCCATCTTGAATTACTATTAAATATCTAAATCTCATAACATACAGTCTAAATCTTCTAATATACAGAGAAACAAATTTAGTGAAGAGCTATGGTAAAGAAGCAAAGTCCATTTTTATGGGGAGAAGTAAATAACAAGAGTTGATGGTATAGAGATGTATGATATGTAGAGTTAACAGTTGTTAATTAAGTAAGTTGGAAATAAAATGTTATAGTTTATAATATTAATCACAAATCTATAATTAGTTTTCATTATTTTTAAATAATTATAACAGTAGAAAAACCCGCGCGTAGGCGCGGGCAATAGTCTAGTATATTTTGAAAAAAGGCGACAACTCGTTAGAATGTTTAACCAAGTTGAGTTAGATACTATTTGACTACACCAGTGCGTTAATTACAGTAAAACCTCTATAAAGTAATAACGTTGGGACCACAATATTTTATTACTTTAGCGAGATTATTAATTTATCGAGGGATAATTAAACCAAAAACTGAATTCGGGACTTGAAAATTCTATTCATTTATCGAGGTATTACTTTATCGAGTATTACTTTATAAAGGTTCTACTGTAGTTACATTTAAGTTGTCTCAGTCTTTAGGAAATCACTTTATAACAATCTGAATAATAATTTGAGATAAACAATTTTGTTATATGTAATCTTGAACTTTTACCAAAAAATATATGTAACTTTGAACAACTCTTGTTCCTCTCTTGTCTTATAAATGGTTCTCTCAGTGTTTAGGAAATCATTTTTCAATAGTTTGAACAATATGTTGAGATAGAACAATTGTGTTGTATGTAATTCTGAATAAATCTGTTTTCCTTTCTTGTCCTATAAGTAAAAAACGATTGTGGTTTTCTAATCTCTTAACACTCACAGAAACAGGTTCCAAAATTACAGTTAACAATCTTGCAGCCCTTAGGACAGAACTTGATGCATTCGCTGTCTCTTCGGCAAGATGCATTGGTCTCATGACTGTCCATTGTAGGTGTTGGCATGCAGTTACAGTTCTTCGCTCCATCAGGACATCCGCCGAGGCAGTTCACTTCTTCTTTGGCCATCTCTCTTGCATCACTCAAAGAAGAACCTTCACAAAATACACATAACAAAACGTCAATACAAAACCAAAGCAAAAAAGTTATATCAAAGAAGAACTTATCATAGAAGAAGAAGCATACAAAGTACTATGATTGTGAGGGAGAACAAGAATACAAGCTTGAGGGAAGTTTTCTCCATTGCTATTTGTAAATCTACAGAAATGTTTTCTTGTTTGTTTTGATTGTGCAAGTGATGATGATGATGATGAGAGAAATGTTATCTATTTTTATAGAAGAAAGATAAACGGAAACAAATATTTTGTTTGAAGGTTTTACCAAGTTGAGTGAGATACTATATGACTACACATTGTATTAGTCAAGCTTGAGATCTTTCAATTTTAGGAAACCATTAAAATTGTTTGATTTTTGTTTTCTGTAGAGGGAAAATAAACCAATGGTTTGGACTTTGGAGATACATTGCTTGAATAGAAATACAAAAGAATAAGAGTATTTACAACACAATGTACAAATGGCTAATGCTGCTATTGCCAAGCGAGAGATACAAACACACTATCAAATTGAAGATTTTTTTCCTTTAACAAAAGCCAAAGCAAAGAATGAAAGAAACAGCACAAAAACTATGGACAAAAGTGGTATGCGTCTCAAACTGCTTGTGCTTCTGATCTCATTGTTCATGCTACTCTTTTCAGACACAGAATGGTCCTCCGATTCAACATCAGTTTCTTGTTCTTCCCTTGTTCTCTCACCCTCCTGTTCAAGTTAAGAGAGCAAAAACCACATAACATTAGTACAAGAGAGGCTCTGGTTTTCACATCCCACAATGCTATTTATCCATCATTCTTATGAATCAACCAACTCTTGCAACGATTTTCACTACACAAGAAATTATTAAGAATGTCTCGTTTGTCTTATGGAGAAAAACTAAATACCTGCCTGCAGACTTTCAGCAAATGCCTCTACTCCGCCACCATCTGCATGAAAAGTCAGCTCTTTGTCACCAGCATTAGGTTCATTTCTTTGGCTTTTACTTCCTGCTGAGCATTGATTCACTCTCAGTTTTTCATTTTCCTTCGCCAAAGAATATAGCTGCAAAAACACATTAATGTATCAGCAATGGTTTACTTTAATATGTGTCCTTTGCTTGTACAAAGAAAACTATCAGGTGCATAGCCTAAAAGTACCTGTTGTTGTATACGTTCCCTTTCACTAGATAACTGCATCACCATATCCATCAAAAGCTTGTTCCTCAGAGTTATCTCTTGCGCATTTTTCTCCTTTTCTTCGAAAGCTAGATCCAATGATGCTTCCAAGGACTTGGCTCTTTGCCTCAAAGAGGTCACTTCTTTGTTAAGTACAGAGTTTGTCGTTGAAATCACAATGCATTGCTCCTCAACTGTCTCCGTCCTACTCTCAGCTTTTGAGGCTTTAGACTTGAGATCTTCGATCAATGTCTCCATGTCCCATATTGCTGAATACAACATGTTCTGCTGTTCTTGACTTGCTTCTGATGACACCTTGGAGTTCTGTAACTGAACTTCTAATTCCCTGACTTGCTTCTCGAGCGTATTCACCTTCTTTGTCTTCTTGTCATCAGCATCTTTGAGAAAATTTAACTCCTCGGTAAGTTCAAGATTCGCAGCGTTTAGCTCTTTAATCTTGGTTTCTCCACTCTCAGCTCTTGTTTCAGCCTCGAAAAGGCTTTCTTTGATAGACTCATTCGCATTCTCCATTTCAGCAAGATGCACCAGAATCTCTTGTTTAGAGGCATTGACACTTTTCAGCTCAAGCTCGGTGCTTTTCAGTTTTTCCTCAGATGACTTCACACGTTCCCTTAAACTGACTACTTCTGAAACAATCTCTCTACTTTCTGCAATTTTCCCCTCAAGATTTTTCACAAGAAGATCTTTCCTTTCGAGCTCTGCAGTGCTTTCTTCAAGCTTAGCCTTAAGTTCTGTTTCTCGTTGTGCTGACCCATTCTGACTAAACTGCATTACCTGAAGACGACCAACGAGCTCCTTTGAAATACCCATTAGCACCTCTGAAGAATTCTCTGCTTCAAGAAACCGTCCCCATATAAACTCTGATGCTTCTTCCATCCGAGAAGACACCTCCTCCGTGTAATGTAGCTTCAGTTTCAGCTGCTCTTCGTTCTGCTGGAACTCCATTAACTTCTTCTCAAGCTCCAGCTCTCTTGACAATGACTTCTCCAACATCCTCAGAGCATTTTTATGCCTTAAATCCGTTGGTCTCAGCGCATACTTCTGCCTCAAACTCTGACCGTTTCCTGAAAACTCCTCGTTCTCACCTGTGCCAACATGTTTGTCAATACTCAACCAGAAGCTAATAAATCCAAAAAAAGCATATGAAAATAAGTGATTACTTGTTCCGTTTCTTATGTAATGAAGTGTTCTCCGAAGCTGAGCTAGTTGCAAAGTGATATCTGAGACTTGTCCTCTAGACTGCTTCAAGGACTCAGCAGACTCACCCAACTTCCCTTCCATAACAATATAGTTAGCGTTTTTGCAAGTGGATAACTTATAAGAAGTGTCAACAATTTGTGCTTCAAGCTCATCCAAAACCTCGTCCACCTGTTTCAACTCGGACTCCAATACACCGCACAAAAGATCAAACGTCAAAGCTTTCTCAAAAGATGCTTCAGAGGAATCAAGTGTCCCCATTCCTTCAAGATCATTGTCCCAAGCCAAAAGGTGCATTAGGAGAACATGCAGGTTCAACAGCTTTTCACAAGTATAAGCTGAGTCTATCTCTAGCTTTGTTAACATCTTCAACATCTCCTCCATCTTTTGCTCCTCCTCACTCATACTACACATGGCTTCACCGTCATTACTCACATCTTCCTGAATGATTTCCTCCATTCTTGGCCTGGAATCCAAAATCTTCAAAGCTTAGATAGAAACAAGAACGGATACTCAAGTAAAGGCACTATCTTTCCAATGGAGTTATCACATACTCAGTCCCATGATTGAAATTGTTCCAAGAAACACATTAATAGTATGTGTAACCAAATAAAAATGCCTACTTTAGACAAAAACCACTATGCTAAAGAGAACTCAAATTGAGAAGAAAGTTTCTTTGATTACATTCACTTGTTAGTTAGTGCTATGTTGCTACATACTTGAAAGACTCAGCATTTCAAGGAGATCCACCAACAACTACTACTGATTTACTAATTTAATACCATAAAGATTCAAACTTTACCATTAAAGATCAAAATTCAACAAGCCAAACAAAATGGTCGATTTTCCTTTACTTGGAACAGAGAAGACAGAGAGCTCGAGGGTCAATTAGGATCTGGAAAGAAAAAAACTTACCAATGAAAATCTACAGAATTCGGGCCGATTAGGAAGATGAAACAGAGAGCTTTTCTCCGTCAACGAACTTGAATTTTGGGGATTTCCTGGAGACTGGAATGATGATGCTAAAATGCGCGGGTTGTTTACAAGTCAGCTAACGAAAAAGAAAGCGCGCATAGTTGAAGATTTGGGAGTGGGGATTGTGCGCAAGTTAGCAGGAGGCTCTGTGGTGGACGTTAAATTATTGGAGGAGCCGAAGAAACAACTTTTTTGGTCTTCTTTTATTGGTTACAGCCAGAAAAGTTCTAAAAATGACAAAGTATTTTTTTTCCTGTGATAACTGTAACACACCTTGAGATATGGTTAGACAATTTAATGCAAATTTTGTAAAAAATTAAAAACTTAATATTTTTGATTTAGCATATTTCTTCTCTTTAATGTATAGATAACATAATGCAGATTTTGTAAAAAAAAATAAAAACTTAATAATTTTGATTTAGCATATTTTTCCTCTTAAATGTATAGATAACATTATTACAACTCGCTTGTAAGATTTTTGATTTTTTTATAAGTAGTGATCTAATGTATTTCTAATGCGAAATTTTAAATAAATTATTTTAGTCAAGTACAATTTTATCAGAGAAATTCCCTCAAATATCACTAAAACAAACAAAAAATTTCCTCTTCTCATACTATCAGTAGTTTTTTTTTTCATATATACCATAAACTTTAATAGAGATTTATACCTTAAATATTTGGGTTTGAGTTTTGTATTTAGGGTTTATGATTTAATATTTAAGGTTTAGGGTTTAGCTTTAAAGGTTTACAGTTTTTTTGATAAATTATTTTTGTTTATTTGTTTTCATTATTTCATATTTTGGATATCGTCTTTGTTATACAAAACTACTATAGTTTCATCCCTAATAAGCTTTAACATTACATATAAGCTAAGCTCAACCACATTTGCTTCTCTAGGTTCATTGTATATATTCAAAGTTTTTGAAAGTTTACAGATAGTTTTAAGTTTACATTATTTATGAAAAAATAGTATGGATAAAAAAAAATTAGTGATGGTAGAAAACTTGTTTTAGTGTTATATATACATGAGAATGCCCATTTTGAGTCTGAAAGTTACTGCAATTTTTGGTAGAACGGCATGTTTGTATTTTCATTAACTAAAATTATGGTTTTGCTTGAGATGGTTGGGACCGTTGGGTCTGAATCTATCTACAAGTATCATAAACCAAAATTCTAAGACATGATAGGTGGGCGTGGTTTCGCATTACGAATGTGCTTTAGGCATAATATTTGAGTTATATTATTTTGATGACATCTGGGACAAATGGTTGGAACGAGAGTCGAGAGTGAATGTGATTAGGCTCGTGAGTGACCGTGACTACAAATGGAATCGCGAGTGTATTAGAGACCATGCTAGTTTGATTGTTTACTCAGAATTTGTTAAAATGGATAATTGGTTGTATATATGGATTAAAAATGATCGTCTCACCAAGCGATATTTTTCTTTTAGCTTATGCCCTTCTTGTAGTGCATGTTAAGAATATGAGGATAATGTGATTTGGCTAGAGATTTGTGGTAAAGAGACTATGCGCACGAGATTACATAGCTATTGGGACGTGTCATCAAGGTTGTCTCAGATTCCTTAAAAACGTGTACGATTGTTATAAGCTTTCAGATATAGATTTATTTTATTAATAATAGACCAACTCCCTCTATTAAAGTTGTGGTTCATGCATGGTAAAGTAATGTTGGGTTTCTAAGAAAAATACGTTAAATGATTAGGGTCTTGAGATGGTCGAGATTATCCTAAGCCTTTGCTTTAGTCGGAGAGATTAGTAAACCTACTATTCGAGAGAGTGATGTTTTTTGCATGTCGATGTCATAATCGTATATACAATGAGCATGTTTGACCCAACAATTTGCTATTCACTGTTCACTACAAAATTAAAAATAGATGTATCCAAATTACAAATACATTAGTAATCTGCAATACTGACTAAATCATTGTTTCCTATTTTGAGTTTCTTTTTTTTACTTAAATTTCCATTTTTCATAAGAAACAAAAAAATTACATCCCCTCAAGAGTTACAGCACACATATCATCTGCATATCATATGTTACATGAGTTATAGAATTACAACAATCTGTATATCAAGCTAACCCAAAAAAAAAGAGGTTACAACAATCTTCATATCAAGAGAACCCAAAAAAAAAAGAGAATCGATTACTAGTTTGTAATTGTGTTTGAATTTGCTCTTCATGAAATATAAAATATACCCTATTACTAGAGTTCTTGCTTAAAACTTTTTTTTGGGGGTAAATTGTTGCTTAAAAACTGATAATTTGTTTGATCGTCGAATCTATATTTTAGTATACGTATTCAACTTGGAAAATAATATTTAATTAAGTTGAAATGAAAAAAGTACTTACACCATGTGGTGATGATGAGTGGAGTTTTGGTTCGTAAAATCAACTCAAATCATTTCGTGCTCTTATATGTCGAATTAAAAAAGAAAGTAGGTACATAGTAGGAATAAACAAACGAATAATACTGACAGTTAATAATAATGCAGCATATAGTTAAACTATCGGTCAAAAAAGAAAATATTATAGCTGTTGAAAATAAAAAGGTTATAAACTAAAACTATGGTTGATAATTAGAAATGATAAAGTGAAGGTGTGGGCTGGAGATTCCATTATTATAAGGTTTCCTTAGGTTTGGAAATTGCGAGTCCCAAGGCCAACTAATAATGACTTCGATCTTTGTGCTAACCAGACCGTCCATCTACTCTTCCTTTACTTTTTTTCCCTAATATTTTATTTAATCGTCTCTTAGTAGTTAATAGGTTTACACTTGTTTCATCAACCAATAATCATACATATGAAAAGAAATCAATCTTCTCCATATTATTGACATATGGATACAGGAGAAAATGACACATGTCATATAATTTTCACTAAAAAAACAAAAATTCAAAAGTTTAATATTCCATCCGTTTTTTTTTAATGAATTTTCTAGCCATTATGTGTTGTTTCACAAAGATAAAATTTTTACATTTTTGATACACTTTTTCAGTTTTCAAGATACAATGATTATATTTGTTGGATTTTTATTGGTTTAAAATTATAAAAAATTGTTTTATTGCATAAATATATGCACTAATGATTGAAAATCAACTTTTTCTTAATCTGTGTGAAAAAACTAGAAAATTTATCTTTAAAAAAACGGAAGGAGTATAACATTAATGCAACTTTTGGTCTTATGTGATTATTGTAACTTACAAAATACATTTTTATATAATTTTCACTTTAAAAAAACATATCCAAAAGTTTAATGGAACTTCAATGCAACTTTAGTTTTTTTTTTTTGTCTATTGTAACTTATAAAATAATTAAAATTATTATATCAGTTTAAAATTATTATCTTTGGCCATTAATCTTGAATCACTATTAAACATTTAAGTTCTCTTAATATACAGAAAATTGGATTCAGAAAAAAAAGCAATGGCAAAGAAGCAGAGTGTGTTCCACGTAGTCGTGAATAAATAAAGAATGTCAAGGGTATGCAAACATGTGGTATTATGCAAAACTATATATTTGAAAGTCTAAGGAAGCAAATAAGAATTAAAATACAGGTATTATTTGGGTTAAAAGATTAATCACAAATCTATAATTGTTTTATATTTCAAGCAAATAAGAATTAAAATACGGGTGTTATTTGGATTATTTAGAGTAACATTTTTCTTAAACTATAACAATAAGAAAACCTGCGCATATGTATGGGCATTGGTTTAGTATAAAGTAAAAACAAAGAATTTGTGTGAAGAAAATGTAAACAATTTGCGTCATTGAGCATTTACCTAGTTAGTGATACAATACATCAAATTGTTACTATTAAAAACTAAACTTACGTAAGCTATTTGGCCATTGATTGGTAGTTTTGGATGGAGTTTCAGAATCAAAAATGTTATTGATCAGATTATAAGTTGTTGTGAGACTATGCAAAAATTGATAGGGTGGTATATAAGATAGTTAAACTCCAAATAAATATGAAGTTTGGATTTTATAGTAAACAATTATCTTTTTCATAATATAACTTGTTTCATGATTTTTATATTCAATTATATAACTTGCGTACGGTTGCAATTTTCAAATTTGATTTTACTGTTTCAATGTTTCCGTTGACATTAACATAAAATCAAAATGTATACCATTTCACTTAAAAAAACTTAATTATTACTCTAATTTGTTATATTTTTTCCATTTTAATTACTATTATATACTCTTACTTATACCACAATGTAATCAATCAGAACATAATTATATTCTTGTTGGAAAAAAATAACAATGCATTTTTTAGCGTTAGGACAGATCTTACGTGTGCTTTGATCTTTGACCTCATCGCAAGCTAAGAGATTAGCAGTAGTATAAATGCACTGAATGAAATCGTTATCACTTCGCTGATATCATATGAAGGAGCGTTGGAATATGCAAAATAGAATTGGCAGGCTCAAATTATTAGGCCCTTTATTGTATTTGACGGTCGATTTTTTTTTTCTTACAAACCAAAGTGTAGGGGTTAGCATTAAAAAAAGACTTATAAAAGAAATCAATAATTATTCACCCTAATCAACATCTAAACCACCAATAAACTAAAAACCCCAAGACTCAACTGAAAGACTATCCCACACATATTAAAATTAAATTAACCAAAACACTGTTGAAGAAGACATGATTAGAAAAAACAACTTCAAATACAATTGAAACACCTAATCAAGGCACCTAGACTCCACAACAATACACACACAAGGAATATAAAAGAAAATATAAATTGCATTTCATCAAAATATCATTTACACAAAGAAATGTGAAAGTGCAAAAGATTCCATTATCGAGAAATCCAATAGATATTTTGACTAAAAAGATTCATGTGACGTGACCAACTTTGGGGATACTTTATACTTTAAGGTGACTAGCTGACTACGTGATTGGAGACTGGTCAAGTCTTAGCGATTGCAACTCACAGTGGAGTTTGTTGGCTTTGCGACCAAGTGCAAAAGTTGCTGAACCTGCACCAACAATGGTTTAACTAATGAGACGAAACAGAACCGCTTTACCAATTTTTTTTTTCTCAATTTCTTCACTCTTTTGTTATCTTTACATTTTATTCGATAAATTCAAATAGATATTTTAAAATATATTTTAAAGTACTTCGATTATATTCTTTGCATCCTCTATAGATGATTGATTATAGGAGAAAACGGAAATAGAAACTTCAATAGATCAAAGTTGATTAAATTAATTTTTGAAATGGGGCAACGTCTATACCTCTCACTCCATTTAAAAATGAATCATATCAGTGTAAAAACTTACTTGGAGAAATTCCACTACGTTGCACCATAATAGAAGGATTTTTTTTTTAAAAGGCTTAAGATAAGAACTTAATGCAAATTTTTATCTTGCTAACAAAATAATTGTAACTTAAGACCTGTATCAACCACGAAGATCTAATAGATTATTTGACTAATTCAGACGTACGAATAATTTTTATTTGAACAAAGCGTCTCAAGTTGCCTAAGCAAGCTGACAGAATGTAACAACTTGAATATCTACTTAAACTATTGCAATCGAACAGTAAAAGATTAAACTATGTCTAGTATTGAAATATTATTTTCTTATCGAAATCTTATTATATTTGCTATGAAATCTTTTAGTAAGTCTTAGCAGTACTGTTTACAACTAGACTCGAGCTGCAAAAAAATATTCTTCAGCGAAAGCAAGCGGTCAAAAGACACAAAAATAACTTTTTTATTTAATAGATATCCAACAAACCGTGCATGGTATAATAAAGGCATTTGTTTAAGAATTACCTACGATTCGGTACAAAATCCAAAACATTGAACATGAAACCAATAATTGTGATGATTATTCGCAAGCATTAGACCATATATTATATAAACACCGGGCGATTGAAATGTTAGTCTATCTTTTTACATAAAAAAAACATTTGAATATGGAAACTTGAACTTATTCAAGCTGATAAAAGTATGCACATGACTGACTAAAAATATATATACATATGTCAAACATTAAGCTTATAATCATAAGTAAAAGAATATTGAGTTATATAAGGCCAAATAACTATGACTATACTATCTTTTCATTACTAGAAGGGGATTAATGATTACTTATGTCGGTAATTTTCAATATTTGGTATGCAAAAGATGGGAATTAAAGGTACAAAATGATTTTGGAATTTTTTTTTACCAGACAAACCCAATTCATTAATTATTAAAACAAGAAAAGAAATCATGAAAGCCTGTTTCTCGAGGATTTTAATAACAAAAAATAAAATAAAAGAGAGAATAAGATAACCCCAAAATGAAAGTTGTCACTGTCAGCCGATTGCTAGAATTGGAATAATTACGTTCTAAACTCACACTAATTTAATTGATTAATTCGATTTTTAACCAATCTTTGAAACTAAACCTTTGACAAAGAACAAAAATATTTTTCTTTTCCCCCTGCAAATTATAATGCTTGGATACTTTGGCTATGGCGGTGTTTATGTTTAATGATCAAAAAGCTCTGTTTTTTATGCAAGCGTGGGTATAAATCCAGAACCTTTTGCGATTTTTTTTTCTCTCCCTTTCTTCTTCTTCACTTCCTTTTCTTTTTCTCTCCATTTCTAAAAAGTCACTCCTTTGCTATCTCTCTCTCTCTCTCTCTGCAGCTGAAGAACAGAGAAAAGGGGTTTTTATTATCTGACCCAACGACCCATTTCCAATTAAGCTTTTGGTGAGAAGAAATTGAGGAAAAAGATTTCAAGTTTGTACAGAAAAGTGGCACAGATTCTGAAAATGGGTATCTTTCTCCTGTCTCTTTTAGCTCGATTCTCTGCTTAAATCTGGTCTAGGGTTTTTCAAAGCTGCAATTTTTCTCTGTTTGTACGGATAAATCATGATCTTTTTTCTCTCTTCCGTTGACTGATTCTTCTTCTAAGCTTTCTTAAATTTGCTCTCCTCTTTAATTTTATCTCTACTTGGCTCCTCTTTAAGGTATATGTGTGTATTGATTGGGGCTTTCTCTTGTTCTTGAAGGTGGATTGTGCCTTGACTGCATCTCTAGAGACGAAAGTGTGAGTCTTTGTGTGGCAAGTCTTATTGGTTTGTAGTGGGTTTTTGATTAGCACTGTTTAGAAGAAGAGATGGATGATACAAGTGAGAAAGAAGAGTTTTCAGCAGAAAAGAGGAACACTTTGAACTTTGATCCGGTTAACAATCAGCCTGTAGATTGGAGAGTTTCTGGATCTTCTAATCCGGTCTCTGATTCATCATACCCTACAGAGAATCTGATCTCAGCTTGTCCTTCGTCTTGTTCACCGTCTCAGATGATGGAATCATTTGGGCAAACTCTTTGGTATGATCCTCAAGCTGTAGGGTATGGTGGTTTCAGTGGTGGTAATGCTTCTTCTTCCTCCTTTAGGGGTAATCATCATATTGATAGATCTCTTGAAATGGGTTGGAATCTGCCTACTCTGTTGCCTCCTAAAGGCAATGGTCTCTTCTTGCCGAATCCGAGTAGCTTCTTACCTCCGAGTATGGCTCAGTTTCCGGCTGATTCAGGGTTCATAGAGCGTGCAGCGAGGTTCTCGCTGTTTGGTGATATGGTGAATCAACCGCTTGTGAATCCGGACTCTATTGGTTTGTTTCTTCAAGGGCAGTGTCCAAGTAATGAAGTGAATATTGGTGGAGCTCACAATGATGCAATGAAAGAGCCAAATGTTGGAGGTAGTGAAAAAGCTAAGAAACCGAATGTTCCTGGATCAGGGAATGTATCGGAGGATACTCAGTCTAGTGGCGGTAATGGTCAGAGAGGCGGTGGAGAAACTTCTTCTAAAGGATTTGATTCAAAGAAGAGGAAAAGAAATGGACAGGTGAGAGAAGATTTGAAGTTAACTCTCTTTTGTTTTTGGTTCTCTCTGGCTCTCCTTTTAACATTTTGGTAATGTTTCTGTTTGTAGAAATCTGAATCACAGAGATCTCAGCAATCTGAGGAAGAACCAGAGAACAACAATGGTGATAAGAACCAGAGTCCAAATTCACAGGGGAACAAGACAAACAGTGGGAAACAACAGGGGAAGCAAACGTCTGATCCAAAAGATGGATATATTCATGTGAGGGCACGTAGAGGCCAAGCCACTAATAGCCACAGTCTTGCAGAAAGAGTAGAGTTTCTTAAAACCATGACTTGAAGTTGAATAGAGAAGCAAATCTCTCTCACTGGTGGTAATGTGATGTAATTACTTGTTTGTGTGTGATTATAGGTGAGGAGAGAAAAAATCAGTGAGAGGATGAAGTTTCTCCAAGATCTTGTACCGGGTTGCAACAAGGTAGAGTCTTTTTAGGTTCTGATGGATATGTTGTCAGAAGTAAAACAAAGCTAATCCAGAAAAACTAATACTTGTGTGTGTGCAGGTGACAGGGAAAGCAGTTATGCTTGACGAAATCATAAACTATGTGCAATCATTACAACGCCAAGTTGAGGTTTGAAATCTTAAACTATGTGCAGTGATTACTCTTTGTGTTTTGCTTATTGTAATCTCAGTTTGCATCTCTTTCTTTTGTGTGTGTTTAAACAGTTTTTATCAATGAAACTTGCAACTGTGAACCCACAAATGGACTTTAACCTTGAAGGTCTTCTTGCAAAAGATGTAAGAGATTTATCAGAACTCTCTTCCTCAAAGTCATCATAAGACTCTTTATAAACCAAACTTGTATATTGCTGCAGGCACTTCAACTGCGAGCTGGTTCTTCATCTGCAATACCATTTCCTCAGAACCTGTCAATGGTTTATCCTCCATTACCACATGGTTTCATGCAACAGACCCTTGCCAACATCGGTAGGACCACTACTAGCTCTCCGTTGTCTCCCATGAATGGTGGATTCAAACGACAGGTACGCTTATAACAAGTCTAGTGAAACGAACTAATCCGAGCTCATAAACCTGATTTTGCTTGTATTGGTGATTGTTTGTGAAAAAATAGGAAACAAGTGGATGGGAAGGTGATCTTCAGAATGTGATCCACATTAACTATGGAGCTGGTGATGTCACACCTGATCCTCAAGCAGCAGAGACAGGTGAAGAAAACTTAAAACCTCTCTTTCTTTCTTTTACCAAGAACTTTTTTGTTTTGTTTTGTTAAAATTTGTTTATTTATTACAGAATCTGTTCCAGCTGCAAACATGAAGGTTGAGCCCTGAAGATCTCCTCCTGTTAGATAGAATGTTAATTTCTTGTAATTTTTATTTTTAAGTTACTATGTACTATAATATTATAACGATGTTACCATTAACGACTAGTATACTACTATTTACTACTAAGCATTTAAGATTAGAGAAAGAATGAGTAAGATCTACAATGCCAAATAGTTGTTCTGTTAAATAACCTCGTTATAAACTTTTATAATTTCAGCTTCTACCAAATCTCTACTTTGGCTTTTGGTATGTTTTTTTATTCTACGGAGTGTCTGATGACTACCGATGCTCAGTTTTTATATTACAATCCATGTTTACGCAAAGTGAAAATGTAATTTCTTGGCCGTCAAGTTGCTGGCGATAGTAATTCACAAAACAAAACAAAAACGACGAAAACTAAAATCTATTCATGTCAGATTGGATTGAATTATATTTATTGCATCGATGTTACATGGTTTGAGTTTCCAGAGTCAAAGAAGGTTTGAGTTTCCAGAGTCAAAGAAGCTTGAAATCAAATATTAGAAGACATGTCGTGATAGAAGATCTAAATAAAAACATGAGTATACTTCATGAAAACTCAAAAAATAATAATAATAATAAAAATAATGTTTTTAGTTTTTACTCTTTCTAAAATGAACTTGGATCATGCGGTTGACAAAAAAAATGCACTTGGATCAATATTAGTCGATATGGATAATTGAATCAGAACCTTATTGAGAGGTTTCTCTCTTTTCTTCTGTAGTTATCATCATAACACAAGAAAGAGAAGACCAATCAAGTGGTCAGATTTATAAAGAGAGAACAAGCTCAAGCAATTTCATGCAAAAAGAGAAAAAAAAAAAAAAAAAACAGAAACCCAAAAGGCAAGCTTTGGCTAAGTAAAAAAGGTAAAAAAAAAAAAAAAAAAAACGTCAAGTTTCCTTATCAAACGTTCGGCAACGCCGATATGTCTTAAGATATGAAAGTTTCTTGTCGAAAAATTTATAATTTACGTTCCCTGTAAAAAGATTTCCAGAGAAATTAGTATCGGTTGGGCTTTCCTAATTGGATTGACAATCAATACCTTTTTTGCTTCTCCAAAATTTTACACAACCAATCGTCCATGTCAACTTACGAATTGTGACAGTACCGTTTTGTGGTCTAAAACATCTCAAAGTAATTCAAAATCTAAGATAATTGGGTCCCTAGGTAACATAATTCGTTAAGTCAAGTATGTTTCAAGTTTACTAATAGAATTCATTTACGATTTGAGAGTTCAAGCATTAATGAAGCATGATTCACTAAATTTGTAATCTGGTTGGGTGGTCTGTCATCCGTATCAGCTTCGAAGCGTTGAAGAATGATATTTTATTTCTCATCGTTGTTCTTATTTTCTGAGAATCAACTTGCGTGAAAAAGTTTGGTTGTGGAGATAACTATCAATTGTAATTTATCCAATTTTTCAGACAATACACATTTTGTTCAAATGAACAAACCTAAACTATATATATGTAATATGTTGTAATCATTCTTAATGGTCTTAAGTTTAACAATAAAATCAATAAACAAGAAAGATAATTCTTTCTCAAAGTTTAACATTAAAATCAATAAACAATAAAGAGATTTATTTCTCAAAGTTAAGTCTTCGATTCTCCGTGATTTGTGACGAAGAAAAGTATTTATCTAAATCCATTTATCATCGTGAGACTTTTGCATATTCCGCTGCAACATGTTTAAACTTTAAACCAAATCTTTCCCAAAAAAACTTAAATATCTGAATGTTCTTAGATATACTTTTAAACATTAAACGTTTTTTCTTGCTATGGCATGCCCGTGCTGGACCTCTCGTAACCTTATTCTGGTTATTGGTTTAAATTGAATCACTTGAAATTGTGATGTATTGTTAACATGCTCATTTGCTAAACTTGGTATGTTAATTGGACATGCTCATTCGAGAGTAGCATCGAACACTTCTCCACAGCTTAGACTTGAACTCATATATGTCAACCTCTGATGATGATTTGCCTTTAATACTGATCCTCAAGATCTTGTAGGTGTCACGTGATACATTGTTGTATTACAAACCGTAGACATCAAGAGTTTTGTAAGAATATTAGGGCTTGATCCATTTGACTCGGCTCAAAACCGGATTCCAAACCGCGAGCTTCCTACTCGTGTCACCATGCTTACCTCTCTCAACACACTTACATAGCAATAAACCGTCGCAGTGAATCGTTTATATAATAATATAGCTATGAAACTCGTCTAGGGTTGGTTGACATATATAAGAGAGTTTTTGTCTCTAGATTGAAGAGTTGAATCGATTTGTGATCGACTAGTATACATTGTTCGTGGGAGTGATCCTAGTGTTTGTAGATGAATTTTCTTGTCGTTAAAGAAAGCATTCGATTATTTGAATCGATTGTCTATGGAGTGGAGTGTCTGATGACCTCCGATGCTCAGCCTTGATATTACAATCCATGTGTCCTGTAAGTGAAATTCCAAATGCAATTTCTTGGCCGTCAAGTTGCTAACGATAGCAATTCACAAAACAAAACAAAATGACGAAAGCTAAATCTATTCATGTCAGATTGGATTGAATTATATTTATTGTATCGATGTTACATGGTTTGAGGTTCCAGAATCTAAAGAAGCTTGAGATCAAATATTAGAAGTCATGCCGTGATAGAAGATCTAAATAATAACATGAGTATACAATAAAGAAAACAGAGTCTTTTGAAAACTCTGAAAAACAAATAAACTTATATGATTGGTTACATAATTGACATTTTTTTTTTGTTAAAGTACATAATTGACATTACAACTTGTACTACCATGTCAAATTCATCAAATAATTGTCTAAAAAGGCAAAAGCAACCAAGGAAGACGTATTCGCTAGTAATCCTATTTAGTTATGGAAATCTCTTACTTTTTTTTATCATAAAAACGTAGTCTATCTTGATCCCTAATGAATAACGTCTAGAAGATCGGGTCCTGTGAATTCGGATTGAGTCGATGTCCAATGAAGCGGCCAATAAACGGAGGAAGGTTTCTACGTCGTTTTCAGGGATATGGTCGTTGCCAGACGCGGTGGCTTTGACCATCCTGTCCCAGGTCTCGAGATTTGACCGTGGTGCCTTGCCTGTCGCCTGCAAGAGCCACCGCTATCTCCTAGCTTCCCCTGAGCTCCGCGGCTTGACATCCATCCAAGAAAACCTCTACGTATGCTTGCTCTTCTTTCCTGACCCAAACCCACACTGGTTCATCCTCAACACCACGCTGCGTCGGCTATGCTCGATCCCTTCAAACCCTAATCCGGCTCAAGAATCATCATCCTCTTACGTGGTGGTGGGTCAGGGCATCTATGTACTCGGTGGTCTCATAAACGACGAACGCTCTTCGGACGTTTGGTTCCTCGACTGTTTCTCTCACAAGTGGAGCCGCGTCGCGTCCATGAAGATGCCTCGTGCATCCGCACAGGCGAACATTTTCGAGGGGAAGATTTACGTGTTTGGAGGGTGCGGAGAGGTCCATAACTACTCAAACTGGTCAGAGGTATTCGATCCAGAGACCCAAACTTGGAGTGACTGGACTGTTCCCGTGCTGCCACACAGATACAATATCCACCATAGTGTGGTAATAGAGGAGGAGAAGAAGTTTCTCGCTGTAGATGAGAAACATCAATGCATGTACTTATTTCCTGTAAAATCCATGTTTTGGGACATGGGACCACCACGCAGAGGTTTTGAGCCAGGGGACAGAAACGATTTGTGTTATATAGGGGAGATTTTATACTGCCGTGCTAGTCACGGAAGAGTGATGTGGTGTGACCTAGAGGAGTTTGAGTGGAAAGAAGTCAAGGGTTTGGAAGATCTGCTGCAACCGAGAGAAGAGCTTTGTACTATTAAACAATGCACGATCATGCCCTGTCAGGTCGAGTGTTATGATATCCTCAGGCTCGGTAGAAACTCTGTTGGCAACATTGTCATATTTTGGAACGATAGTGAGCGTTTTGAGCTTTGGTCTGCCGAGATATCCGTTGAGAAACGTGAAGGATCCGAGGTTTGGGGGAAGATTGAATGGTCTCATCCTGTCTTTGAACTTGAGTTTCTCTCAGAGGTTGAGGTCTTATTTTCTGCTTCTGTGCTTGCTTGAAATTCCAATTTAACCTTTTAGACTATTGCTTTTATCTCATCTTCTCAATGAATGATATTGCGGGACATAAAGTGTTTTTATCTCACCTTCTCAGTAAACTAATTATTAAATGTATAACTCTTAACTTCTTTGTAATTTTATTTTTACTTTTTGTAAGGGTCATTAATGTTAGGACGTCAGGCATAAAAATCAAACAAACCAATATTTTTGGTTATATTTTTAATATTCCAGATACATTTTCTTTAGTTTTTCCAAGTTTTCTGAGTATATTTTCAATTTTCAGGTGTATTTTTTTTTATATTTTAGGAATTGTAGATAATAAATATTCTAATTGTAAACCGAAGTGAACTACAAAAATACTCAAACAGTTAAAAAAACTTAATTCTCCGAAAATTAAAATCTCCAACCAAAAAACCGATCCGAATTACGGGAAGATATATCCAAACAGATGATAGCTTCAATATCCGAACATACCGAACCAAAACCAAAATATCCGAATGCCTAGGGCTAATATTAATGTCAAATGATACAAGTACTTATACATAATAGAGTCGGTTATCCTGAAAACCACCAATTTTTACCATCTGTGTCAGCGACCTGTAACAAGCAGAAAACGCAAATTTTAACCACTACGCACATGAAGAAAAAGAAAATGGTCAATTGGTAAGTACCATGCATAAGAAGATGCAATACTTTATGTGACTGGTTTAGAAAAAATGATGGATTAAAAAAAAGTTTTAATAGGAATAAAAATCTACCACAGGTTCATCACGTTTGGCTTTCACTTTCAGATGTCTCGATCATAGACGCAGTAGCTGTTGACTCTTCACGTGTTCTTCTCTCCTACGCGTAAAACACAATTACCAAAGTAACATTCAATAGTTCTAAAATACCAAATATAGTAAAAAAGAGTGTTAACATACCGTGTTTTTCTTGGATGAAGATTTGCTAGTGACTACAGCCGGACGTTTGGTAGTTCCATAAAGTTGTTTGATGAGGCTCTCCTCAAGTTTCTTTAGTGGTTTGTAGAACATAGTCTCCCAATAATCTTCGAAAAGAGTCTCCCAACGATCTTCCAAAAGAGTATCCCAAGGAGCTTCCAAATCGTCAGAGACATGTCTCCTTTTGATCTTCTTCTTCCGTGGTTCCTTTACTGAGTAGTCATCTTCGGTCTGAGATTGTTGTTGAACATCATCAGAGATACCCATCGTTTTGAGCTTCTTCATCAGTGGTTCCTTAGCTGAGTACGAAGAAGAAGAAGGAGCAGAGACTTTTGTCTTTCGTTTCCAAGATTGCTGTTGAACATCATCATCATCATCATCCTCCAACGAATCTTTTTTCTTTTGGTCTTTTCTTTTCCCATTGAAGTGCTTCTCTTTCTCCACTTTAACAAGGCCAGTTCCCAACATGTCCTAAGAAATTACTGAAAAGGTTATGCATAGATAATAAAAAAAATTGTAACAAATTTTACAAAAAAAAAAAAACGAATGGGAGTAAATAAAGGGATTTACCTCCTGGTGGTGGCGGTGAAGACAGAACAAACTTCGCCGGAGACAAAGAAAATAAGGACTAGGTGTTGGGGAGAGAGCAAGTTAATGAACAGTGAAATGGAGAGAGTGGGAGAGGCGCTTTATGAGGGCTTTAGTGAAATGGACTAGATATAGTACAAAACGCAAACTGGGTCAAGTAATAGGAAACCTAACCAAATGGAGAAAGGAGAAACTAAACTCGGTATTACTGTTCGCAGTGTTGTTGTGAGAGATAACGACTTTGCCGACTTTGCCCTCCTACACAGGCGATATCAAGTTGACGTAGATGTTTAAGAAAAAGAAAAAGCAATTGTTGTAAAATATAGGTCATGATTATTACTCGCCGTCGCAAATCGTAGAGTAAGTCTGCATGCATAGTTCCCAGACATATGTACGTTGCTTTCCAGCCTCGCCAAACATTAAATGCGCGATATCTCCCAGATTTCCCTTTATACATGTAAGTGCATGTAGCTAGCTATTTTATTTTAATGTATATCTTAATGTTATGGTTTAAATAGATTAAATTGTTAAGAAAACCAAGATAAAATTTATAGGGTGTGAATGGTATGTCTTGGAGTAAATTAGAGTAAAATAATTGGGTGGGAAGAAAAAAATAAATTGTTAGAATAAAAGAGTTGGAAAGTAAAAATTGTTTTTCTCCAAAAGAAAGTGGAGGAACAAAATAACGCTAATTCTAGCGTTAATAGTCAAAACATCATTTCTCCATGGATTATAGAGGAAGTGAGAGTAAAAATATCTTTCCACTCACATATTTACTCTTAACAATATTACAATACCATCCATTCAGAGCCATAAACTTTTGTCGAATAGAATAAATGAGGACAATTATATATGTAAATGCAATGCAGAGCCTGAAGATTTCAGATACAGCGTCATTTCTGTCTTGTTACTGTCTGCCAAATTTTGAAAATGGCCTCTGGAGTGTCTAGACACTGCACTCTGAGTTTCTGTTTTCCAATGCAGAAAAATCATGACCTCTTCTAATCTGTAATCAGTCTACTCATGAATCATGATAAACTGTTCTTAGAAACCATGAGTTTTATTACTTTTCCCTTCTCTGGTAAAAAGTAAAAAAAAAGATGGAAATTTAGCAGCCTTACCTTAGAGCATGTCCATCGGTGATACCCCAATATGGGTATCACTGTATTTTTTATTATTTTTTTGTTTTGTTTTTTTGTTTAAGAGACGATAGGTTCATATATATGTTTTGTGCTTCCAGTGGTGATACCGAGTATCTAAAAAAACTAAGATTTCATTTGGCTTTTCCAATCTCTGTAATTGTTTCGTGTTTCGTAAACAAGACCCACCTTTCATTGGCTTTTCCCGCCGATTTTACCATCACAATCTCTGTAATTGTTTCCAGAGGATTCTCCGGTCCGGTGAGTTGGTGAAGGTTCAACGAGAAACAAAAAGCCAAAAACAAATCATTAAAATCACATCCAAAATCATAGAAACTCACAAGCAGCTACAAATCTATATGGAAAAGATATCGTACAAGAGCTTGAAAGTATAAGTCAAAGAACTAGCTCTGTATAACTCTAATGAAGTGTTTACCTTTAGCTACTATTAACAGTTGAGATGGTATAGCAACAAAATGCTCGAAACTTAGTAGAAGTTAAGCCATGTTCTTCCCTGAAACAGACGAAGATAAAGCAGCACTGTTTGAGTGAATCAGATACATCAGCAATCCCAAATCAAAATTTACATCAGATACATCATACACAATAATCAGAACCATGAAAAGAGGAAGTTAAAACCAAAATCTGGAACTCAGAAAGATGGAGTTCAACAATCCTATCATAAAGCTACAATTTCAATCAAGCTCAATTCACAACTCAAAATCGTTCTTCTAATCATAACTACAAACACTCTTTCTCTTCCAAGTTCCAAGCTACTTCTTCCAAGTTCTAAGCTACCTAAAGTAACAAATCACAAACCTTTGTGCAATACAAAATCAAATTCGAAACTTTTCAAAGAAACCCAGAAACTGAAATCGAGAGTTGGTGAGATGAGGTTGATCGGAGTCGGATTCGGCGGTTTTGTTGAACGGATTCTGAACTCTCTCCGACGGATTCGTCAATGGAAAAGAGAAATTGTGATCGACACATCATCCATTTTCTTTCCTTTTTTAATTTTTAATTTATTTTAAATAATCGTCCAATGTCGGATTGACACGTATGCGTCTCTCATACCCTCCGAAAATCTCTTCGGGAAGAGACGTCTCACAATGTTATTTCGATTAAAACATTTCTTTTAATCATATTTAAGTTGACAGCTCATCCTGATACCCTCTTATGAGACCCGATGGACATGCTCTTAGAGCATCTCTAACCCAGCCCAATATTTCATTTTTATTGTTATTTTGGAGTCAATATTGCTCCAATCCAACCCTATTTTCAATCTCAAAATGGCAAAATACCATATTTTTTCCCAAATTGAGGTTGATCCCATTTTCATTTCTATTTTGGAGTTGAAGTTTTTAAATTATTTAACAGTCTTTGAAGTTTTAAATTATTTCAGTTTATATATAAATAATTATTTTAATGTTTATTTTTACCCTAAAACACAAATAACACATATTTAATAGAAATTTAATTATTTAAACTAATAATAAATTTAAAAAGAAAGAAAAAGTATCATAATTAATTTAAATAATTATAAGAAATTGTGAATGTTTTAGAGAAAAAAATATTATGGGGCAATTTGTAATATATATAAATATACAATGTAAATTTAGTAATTAATAAAAGTTTTGGAGTAAAAAATGAGGCAATACATTGGAGCAAAACCCAACTCCATTTTGAGATTTCTTCATTTTGGAGTCAAATATGAATCAATATATTGAAGATGCTTTTAGCATGAGTACTTCTTTATTTTATTTTTTTGAGTAATTTCTTTATTGTTGACAAGAAAAACTAATTTCTTTATTTAGCTGTCTATTTAATTAAGTTTTAACAATTATAAATATGTTTATTTATATATATATAATAAAATATAGCTGAGACCCGCAATGAGGAAAAGAATTGCGATAGCTAAATGATGATGTGCTCGGAACGATTTTACTGACCGGATTTATTACTACTTTAGCTACATCTTGGGTTGACATATAGTGGACTTAGTGGAGTGGCCTTCTTTTTTATTTGAATTTAGATATATATCTATTAGAGCCTGTTGAATAATTTTGATGGATTTGTCAAAAAAAAAACCTATAACGAAATGAGTTGTCATAACGCAGGCAATAGTCTGGCTTTCTGCCCTGAAGATGATGTGATGTTGATGAAAAGTGAATTATTAATAATCTCCCAGTTCTTTTAAATTTTTAGTAAGTCAAACAACTCCTAATAAAATGAATGAGTTCTAATAGTATCCCTGTTTAAAACTAATAAAAGCCAAGCAATAGAGCAGAGATATTAACTAATTAACTTGACGAAGAAGAGCATCAACACTAATAAAAAGTACCAAGCAATATTTTATAGTCAGTGGACAAATGAAGAAGATCATTAAAAAAGAAAAGCTTTGATTGACGATTTGCCTTCGAGAGTAGCATCAACACTTCTCCACAGCCCAGACTTGAACTCGTATATCTCAACCTTAGATAATAGTTTGCCTTTAATATGAGACTCGGTAAGATCTTGTAGTTCTCACGGGATACATCATACATTGTCGTATCATAAACCGTAGACATCATCAATCTTGTAAGAATTAGAGGGTTTGATCCATTTGACTCGGATATGGTCGTTGCCAGACGCGGAGGAAGGTGTCTACGTCGTCGTCTGGGATATGGTCGTTGCCAGACGCGGTGGCTTTGACCATCCTGTCGCAGGTCTCCAGATTTGACCGTGGTGCCTTTGCTCTCGCCTCCAAGAGCCACCGATCTCTCGTAGCTTCCTCTGAGTTCTTCGGCCTGAAAACATCCATCGAGGAAAATCTCTACGTATGCATGCGCTTCTCTCCTGACCCAAACCCAAGCTGGTTCATCCTCAACACCACGCTGCGTCGGCTATGCTCGATCCCGTCAAACCCTAATCCGGCTCCGGATTCATCATCCTCTTACGTGGTGGTGGGTCGGGGAATCTACGTACTTGGTGGTCGCATAAAAGGTGGACGTCGCTCTTCGGATGTATGGTTCCTCGATTGTTTCTCTCACACGTGGAGCCGCGTCGCGTCCATGAAGCTGCGTCGTGCTTCCGCACATGCAAACCTTTTAGAGGGAAAGATTTACGTGTTTGGAGGGTGCGGAGGTAGACACTCAAACTGGGGAGAGGTTTTCGATCCAGAGACCCAAACTTGGAGTAAATGGCTTGACCTGCCATACGTAAAAATCAACATCCACCAAAGTGTGGCGATAGAGAAGAAGAAGATGATTTTCGCTGTAGATAAGGATTATGGATACGTGAAATTATATCCAAGAAAACACATTGATTGGTGTTACATACGGAAAGTTTTATACTGCCGTGGTAGCCACGGAAGAGTAATGTGGTGTGATCCAGATGATATTGATTGGAAAGAAGTCAAGGGTTTGGAAGATCTGCTGCAACCGTCGTGGCAACCTCTCTGTACTGATAGTCCATGTGGCAGTCAGATGCCGTGTTATGATATCTGCAGACTCAGCAGAAACTCTGCTGGCAACATTGTCATCTTCTGGAAAGATCTTGAGAGTTTTGAGCTTTGGTGTGCCGAGATTTCCATTGAGAAACGCCAGGGAATAGAGATTTGGGGAAGATTGAATGGTCACATCCTGTCTTAAAACATGAGCCTCTCTCAGACGTTGAGGTCTTATTTTCTGCTTCTGTCCTTGCCTGAAATTCCGGTAATTTCACTCCAAAACTATTGCTTTTTGTTTAGCTCATCTGCTCAATCAGGTGAGTTGTTTTAGGAGTTTTGACTATCTTTTTTTTTTTTTTTCATCTGCTCAATGAACCATATAGCTTTTTTCTCGTTACTTAAGTTTATATATTAAGATTTTCCAACAAATAGCGAATCAACTTTATCTTTGAACCTAACTTGAGACACAAGTATAATATTTTGTCAATGATGGCAATGCGCCGATGCAGTATGTGTTACATGGCTTTCCTGTATCCAGCTTTTTTTTTCCATAAAGAAGTCAAATCACAAAGAGTTGCTTCTGCTAACTTGAGAGACAAGGAAACTCCAACTCTTATTAACGCTAAGAAGAAGAAATATATATCATTCAATATAGGTAGATTTACCAGACGATATAAGAAAAAAAGACTGCATGGCCGTTTAAAAAGGAAAAAAAAAAAACAAAAAACAAAAGTAAACTGTAGAAGTAAAAGGAAAAAGAATTTGGGTTTTCACTAGTAATCCTAATTAGTTGTAGAAAAGGAAAAAAAAATTCCTATAAAGGAGGTGGTCTCTGGAAGGAAGATAAGGTTCATGTGAATTGGCATTGACGATGTACAACGAAGCAGCCAATAAACGGACGAAGGTTTCTAAGTCGTCGTTGTCTGGGATATGGTCGCTGCCAGACGAGGTAGCGTTGAACATCCTGGCGCAGGTCTCGAGATTTGACCGTGGGGCTTTGGCTATCGCCCCAAGAGCCACCGCTCTCTCGTAGCTTCCCCTGAGCTCTTAAGCTTGAGATCCAAGGAGGCATATTTTTACGTATGCTTGCGCTTCGTTCATGACTCAAACCCACACTGGTTCATCCTCAACACCACGCAGCGTCTGTTGTACCCTATCCCATCAAACCCTAATCCGGCTCCGGAATCATCATCCTCTTACGTGGTGGTGAGTGGGGGCATCTATGTACTCGGTGGTCTCATAAACGGCGAACGCTCTTCGGATGTCTGGTTCCTTGACTGTTCCTCTCACAAGTGGAGCCGCGTCGCGTCCATGAAGATGCCTCGTGCTTCCGCAGAGGCCAAACTTTTAGACGGGAAGATTCACGTGTCTGGAGGGTGCGCAGAGGGCGATAATTCCTCAAACTCAACAGAGGTTCTCGATCTAGACACCCAAACTTGGGCTGACTATATTGTCCCCAACCTGCCATACATATTCCACCCACGTTTGGGCCTCATCAGTAAGCTTCTCGCTAATCTTCTCGCTGTAGATTCGAACCCAGGGAACAGAAACAATTTGTGTTCTATAGGGAAGCTCTTATACTGTTGTGGTAGTGGCGGGAGAGTACTGTGGAGTGACCGAGAAGAGATTTACTGGAAAGAAGTCAAGGGACTTGACTTGGGATATCTGCTACAACCGTCGAGACAAACCCTCTCTATTGTTAATCCATGCACCCTCATGCGCTCTAAGGAGCCGTGTTATGATATCTGCATGCTCAGCAGCAACTCTGCTGGCAACATTCTCATCTTCTGGAAGGATATTGAGTGTTTTGAGCTTTGGTCTGCCGAGATTTCCATTAAGAAACGACAGGGACCCTGTTGGTGAGTGTGTAAGCTTGGGTCATGATGTTGGTAAAGCCCAAGATGGAGAAAAGCCCAAGCTCAGTTTGAAACCTCAAGTGACGACAAACTCTGCAACGGATACTTTGAATGAGAGAAAGAAGGAAGAAAAGATGCTCAAAGATAATCGCTTTGAAGCTCTGCTGTCGTTACTAATGACAGCTAAGGATTTGGATAAAAGAGACAGCTAAGGCACCGTATAGTTAAGATCTTATCTTATGTAAAGTCTATAAATATGTTTGTCCTCTGTAAATGAACGTTATCGGAAATAAAGTGAAAATTTCAGTAAAGCTTCGTTCTTCCAAGCTCTAACAGGCGAAAGAATGGCAGATCCATTGTCCCCTTACCCGTTTCCGAGCAATGTTCATGTCCTGAGCTCAGTGACGCTCAAGCTCTCCGATAGCAACTACTTGCTTTGGAAGACGCAGTTCGAGTCCCTCCTGTCCAGCCAGAAGCTTGTCGGCTTCGTCAATGGTTCGATTGCTGCTCCTCCGACCACTCATACGGTCGTCGTTGGTGGTGTCCCCACACTGGAGCCAAACCCGATGTTGACGCGTGGTTCTGTACTGACCAGTTGGTCAGATCTTGGTTATTTGGTACCTTGTCTGAGGAAGTCCTCGGCGTGGTTCACAATCTCGCGACGTCCCGTGAGGTCTGGTTATCTCTCGCGGATCACTTCAATCAGAGCTCCCTCGCTCGACAGTTTGCTCTTAAGCGTCAATTTCAGTTTCTCACCAAAAAGGGGAAAACTTTAACGGCTTATTGCAGAGAACTGAAATCAATCTGTGATGCTTTAGCAGCTATTGGGAAACCAGTTGAAGAGGAATTGAAGATATTTGGATTTCTCAATGGCCTTGGCAAGGAATACGATCCAGTTTCCTCTGGTATACAAAGGGATCTCTCCAAGCCAAATCCACCATCCTACAACGATGTGGTTACGGAGATTCAAGCTTATGACATCAAACTTCAGGCGTATGCAGCAGCTGAAGCAAGCAACACACATCTTGCCTTCAACACCGAGCAGCCACAGTACAATGGGAGTTATAAGCAAGGCCCTCAGAACAACAATCAAAATTACAGAGGTGGCAGAGGTCGTTATGGTCAGCGTGGTGGCAGAGGTGGCTATACGTCCCGTGGTCGTGGATTCTCTCAACATCAGACGAACCCCAATCCATCTGGAGAACGCCCTGTGTGTCAAATCTGTGGCAGGACTGGACACACAGCTGCAAAGTGTTACAACCGCTTTGACAATAACTACCAGGGTCAAGATCCAGCTCAGGTGTTCTCCACTCTCCAGTCGTCTGATGTCACAGGGAAGGAGTGGTATCCGGACTCCGATGCATCCACACATGTCACCGCTTCCCAAGAGAATCTTCAGACATCTACCCCTTACGAAGGTAATGATACGATTATGGTTGCGGATGGAGCCTTCCTCCCAATCACTCATGTTGGTTCCACCAACATAACCTCTGCTACAGGTAACTTGCCTCTCAAAGATGTCTTGGTTTGCCCTGAGATACGAAAGTCACTTCTCTCTGTATCCAAACTGTGTGATGATTATCCATGTGGGGTCTGGTTTGATGCTAATAAAGTCTGTGTGATTGATGTGAATGCTCAGAAAGTGGTAGCAAAGGGAACCTCGAGTTAAAGGTCTCTACACGTTGGAGAATCAGAGATTGGAGGTTCTCTACTCGAATAGGCAGTGTGCAGCAACTGAGGATATGTGGCATCATCGTTTGGGACACTCCAATATCAAAGTTCTCCAGCAGTTACAAAGCAGCAAGGAGATTAGTATCAATAAGAGCAGAACTAAACTCATTTGTGAGCCTTGCCAAATGGGGAAATGTAGTCGTTTGCAATTTTTTCCTTCTTTGTCTTCTCGTGTATTAGGTCCCTTAGACAAAGTTCACTGTGATCTTTGGGGTCCTTCTCCGATTGTATCAAACCTGGAGTTTAAATACTATGCAGTTTTCATTGATGACTTCTCAAGATTCTCTTGGTTCTATCCATTAAGAGCCAAATCAGAATTCTTCTCTGTGTTTACTGCATTTCAGAAGCTTGTTGAAAATCAGTTTGGTACTAAGATAAAGGTGTTTCAAAGTGATGGAGGAGGCGAGTTTGTAAACAAAGAGTTGAAACAACATCTGTTAAACTGTGGCATTAGCCATCTTCTCTCATGTCCATACACACCACAGCAGAATGGCTTGGCAGAGAGAAAGCATAGACATGTTGTCGAACTGGGTCTATCAATGTTGTTTCACAGCAATACACCACTAAGCTATTGAGTTGAGGCGTTCTTCTCTGCGAATTTTATTTGCAACCTTCTCCCAATGGCTATCTTGGGAAATTGCAGTCCTCATGAGGTGTTGTTCAAAGAAAAGCCGAGTTACACTATGCTAAGAGTCTTTGGATCAGCGTGCTACCCATACCTGCGTCCTCTGGCCGATCATAAACTTGAACCACGGTCTCTACAATGTGTGTTCATTGGTTATAGTGCGCAGCATAAAGGTTATCGGTGTCTCTATCCACCTACAGGAAAAGTTTACATTTGCAGACACGTGATTTTTGATGAAGAAAGCTTCCCGTTCAGAACGCAATATGAGTCTCTGGTGCCGAGATATCACAGCAAACTCTTAAAGGCGTGGCAATCTTCAGTCTCCACAGAGAATGTTCCAGCCTCAGTAAATCAAGAACAAATACCACGAGCTCTTCCTACACTGCCACGAGAACCTGAACCAGTCGAAACAGAGGATACTCTGGGTAACATTGGGTCTCCAGCTGCTTCTGAAGCAAACTCAGACCAGTTGGAAAACGTTGTTGTGGAGAACATTCATCCTATGACCACAAGGGCTAAAGCAGGCATTCACAAGCCAAATACAAGATATGTTCTTCTGGCCTCAAAGTTTGTACCGGCAACACCACGAAACATTGCAGAAGCGATGAAACACCTGGGTGGAACATTGCAGTAATGGATGAGATGGGTCGCATTCACATGTTGCATACGTGGAGTTTGGTTCCGAGAACGGAAGACATGAATGTCTTAAGCAGTAATTGGGTCTTCACTCCAAAGATGAAACCCAACGGTGAACTCAACAAGCTGAAAGCTAGACTTGTGGCCAAAGGATTTGAACAAGAAGAGGGGTTAGACTACTTAGAGACATACAGTCATGTTATCCGCACTGCCACTATAAGGATGATTCTAGATGTCGCCACAGCCAAAGACTGGCCCATCAAACAGCTAGATGTCTCAAGTGCTTTCCTACATGGCGAGTTGAAAGAACCTGTTTTCATGTTTCAACCTGCTGGTTTTGAGGATCCGAAAAAACCAGATCACGTTTGCAAACTAACCAAAGCGTTGTATGGTCTCAAACAAGCACCGAGGGCTTGGTTTGACACTTTCAGTAACTACATCATCGATTATGGTTTTGTCTGCAGCAAGGCTGATCCATCTCTGTTCACGTACTACAAAGATGGTAGATCAATGGCTCTTCTACTGTATGTGGATGATATGCTCCTGACGGGAAGTGACTCAGCACTGCTCCAAGATCTTCTTGACTGTCTCAACAAACGATTCTCAATGAAGGATCTTGGTAAGCCACATTACTTTCTTGGTGTAGAGATTGAGTCGTATGATGGAGGCATGTTTCTTCATCAGACCGCGTATGCAAAAGATATACTACACCACGCTGCTATGTCTGATTGCAAACTAATGCCCACACCTCTCCCTCTGGAGCTGGACACTCTCAGTCAAGAGCCGTTTCCGGAACCAACATACTTCAGAAGTCTCGCGGGCAAACTACAATACCTCACCATTACAAGACCTGACATTCAATATGCAGTCAACTTTGTGTGTCAACGGATGCATTTGCCTACTGTCTCTGACTTTCTTCTAGTGAAACGCATTCTGAGATACGTCAAAGGCACATTACACATGGGTTTGCACATCAAGAAAGATAGAGAGATGCGTCTCCATGCCTTCTGTGATAGTGACTATGCAGGTTGCAAAGACACAAGACGCTCAACGACAGGGTTCTGTACAATGTTGGGGTCTAATCTCATCTCTTGGTCTGCCAAAAGACAACAAACTGTCTCCAAGTCATCAACGGAGGCAGAGTACAGAGCTTTGACGGCAACAGCTCAAGAAATAATGTGGCTCTCGTATCTATTGAGGGATCTTCGAGTGGAACAACCGGAGGCTACAATTTTGAAGTGTGATAACCTCTCAGCTGTCTACTTGAGCACAAATCCTGCTCTGCATAGTCGCTCAAAGCACTTCGATACAGATTTTCACTACATCAGAGAGCAGGTGGCTTTGGGGATGATTGAGACTCAACATGTTCCTGCGGTACAACAACTTGCAGACATCTTCACAAAGTCGCTGCCACGAAAAGCCTTCTTGGAGTTGAGAGACAAACTCGGTGTAGCTGGTCCACCTACGCAGAGTTTGAGGGGGAATGTTGGTGAGTGTGTAAGCTTGGGTCATGATGTTGGTAAAGCCCAAGATGGAGAAAATCCCAAGCTCAGTTTGAAACCTCAAGTGACGACAAACTCTGCAACGGATACTTTGAATGAGAGAAAGAAGGAAGAAAAGATGCTCAAAGATAATCGCTTTGAAGCTCTGCTGTCGTTACCTAATGACAGCTAAGGATTTGGATAAAAGAGACAGCTAAGGCACCGTATAGTTAGGATCTTATCTTATGTAAAGTCTATAAATATGTTTGTCCTCTGTAAATGAACGTTATCGGAAATAAAATGAAAATTTCAGTAAAGCTTCGTTCTTTTGAGTTCCTTTCAGACCCGAGGTTTGGGGGAATGTTGAATGGTCACATCCTGTCTTCAAACATGAGCCTCTCTCAGACGTTGAGGTATTATTCTCTGCTTCTGTCCTTGTCTGAAATTCCGGTAATTGCACATTTGCACTCTACAACTATTGCATGAGTTGTTTTAGGTGTTTTCACTATCTTTTTAATTTTATTTAGGACAGATATATATATATATATATATATATATATATATATATATATATATAATATATATATATATATATATATGTGGTGGGGGTGTTCTTCTTTCAGGCATATATGTTTCACTTGTGGTGGATGAAACTGTAGACCAACTCTCTGCTGCTTCTATATTATAATCTCGATTCTTTTTCAACCATGGACCATGGTGGTCGATGTATAGCTAAAGCTTAACTAATCAAGTACTCGATGGTCCTGTCCTGGTGGTGCAAATTTGATTGGGGCAAAGAAGTTCTCGTAAGTGGCCCGGTTTTTTCTATTTTATATCAGTCCCGACTACTTTTTATATGCTAAGATATTTACAACTATTTGTTAGGGCTTAGCTACATTGTTTTACATTCTTATATATACTTGGGTATTCTAGTCTTTCATAATTTTATTTTATAGGTTTCCTCATTAATTCTTTCAAATGTGAACCCACAGATGGAGTTTAACCTTGAAGGTCTTCTTGCAAGATGCAACAGATATAAGAGATCTATCGGAAGGCTCTTTAGAAATTCTCCTTATGACCGTATCCGTTAACCTAAAAATATTGACTACGAATATATTTCTTTCTTCTTTTTTAACCAAGATTCCACGAACACATTTTTAAATCTCTAGCATACATATTTACTCGAATGACTCATAATGTAAATATTTTTACTATGCAGGTTAATGTACACGAACATGTGTGGCTAAGAAGAACTTAGATGTACTCCATCCCTTCAACTGTCCATAACTCATAATCGTATTATGATATTTGTTATCATATTCCTTTTGTGTTTACTTCTTATGATGTGAAATATGTGATTTGTTTTTTTTTATCACAAAACGCATCCACCAGTTTCTCCACATAGGAAAACGCAGCTTTGAACTTTGATCATCAGACAATATATTGAAAGTCGTTATGGACATCTCAGCAGGGATGGATTACCTCCACAAAGACACATTATTTCATGGAAATCTCGCAACCTTCTTGTGGACACATAGAGAACAGTCAAAGTTGCTAACTTTGGACCTCTTTTTTAGAGGGAAAGATTTACGTGTTTGGTGGGTGCGGAGGTAGACACTCAAACTGGGGAGGGGTTTTCGATCGAGAGACCCAAACTTGGAGTAAATGGCTTGACCTGACATACGTAAAAATCAACATCCACCAAAGTGTGGCGATAGAGAAGAAGAAGAAGACTTTCGCGGTAGATAAGGATTATGGATACGTGGACTTATATCCAAGACAACACATGATGTGGATGCAGATGGGACATATTAATCTCGTTTAATTATAATAACTGTAAACGATCTTGGCTCTGATAATACAAAACTCTTAATTTTTTGATTTTCCCCAATTTACAAACATTTTTAATACAAATGATAATAGTTTCACTCACAAATATTACAAAAAATATATTATCTTGATCATATTAGAACATACAAAAGATATATAAATAATGGTAATAGATAATGTAGGCTCAATTTCTAAAAATATGGGTCTCAATATCAAATTCAAAAAATCTGACCCAAACGATTTTACAATTTCTCAGAAGGTTATCGGAATTTCGCGGTTAAACTGGTCAAACCACAGTTGACCAGTTTTTAATACTGATCTTACCATATTGCTACAGTTTATTCCCGGTTTACTTTATCATCGGCCCGTTTTTATCACTTCTCACCTATATTTTGTACAGAGGCAGGTATTAAAGGTACCTGGTAAAAAAATATTATTCAGTTCGGAAATTTTGACCAACGACTGAATATTGTTCTAAAGACAAAAGCTTAACTGGCCGTTAAAAAAATATATAAAAAAAAAATTAAAAGACAAAAGCAAACTGTAGAAGGAAAAAGGGAAAAAATTTGGGTTTTCACTAGTAATCCTAATTAGTTGTAGAAAAGGAAAAAAAAATTCTTATAAAAGAGGTGGTCTCTGGAAAGAAGATCAGGTTCATGTGAATTGGCATTGACGATGTACAATGAAGCGGCCAATAAACGGAGGAAGGTTTCTAAGTCGTCGTTGTCGGGGATATGGTCGCTGCCAGACGAGGTGGCGTTGAACATCCTGGCACAGGTCTCGAGATTTGACCGTGGGGCCTTGGCTATCGCCTCCAAGAGCCACCGCTCTCTGGTAGCTTCCCCTGAGCTCTTAAGCTTGAGATCCAAGGAGGCATACTTTTACGTATGCTTGCGCTTCGTTCCTGACCCAAATCCACACTGGTTCATCCTCAACACCACGCAGCGTCTGCTGTGCCCGGTCCCATCAAACCCTAATTTGGCTCCATATTCTAACCCAGGGAACAGAAACGATTTGTGTTTTATGGGGAAGCTCTCATACCGTCTAGGTAGTGGCGGGAGAGTACTGTGGCGTGACCGAGATGAGTTTAAATGGAAAGAAGTCAAGGGACTTGACTTGGATTATCTGCTACAACCGAGACAAGCCCTCTGTAGTATTAATCCATTCACCCTCATGAGCTCTAAGGAGCCGTGTTATGATATCTGCATACTAAGCAGCAACTCTGCTGGCAACATTCTCATCTTCTGGAAGGATCTTGAGAGTTTTGAGCTTTGGTCGGCCGAGATTTCCGTTAAGAAACGATAGGGACCCGAGGTTTGGGGGAAGATTGAATGGTCACATTCTGTCTTCAAACATGAGCCTCTCTCAGACGTTGAGGTCTTATTTTCTGCTTCTGTCCTATCCTGAAATTCCGGTAATTGCACTCTAAAACTATTGCATGAGTTGTTTTAGGTGTTTTGACTATCTTTTTATTTTATTTAGAGTTAGTATCTTATTGAACATATATATATATATATATATATATATATATTATATATATATATATATATATATATATATATATGTGGTGGGGGTGTTCTTCTTTCAGGCATATATGTTTTACTTGGTGGATGAAATGGTAGAGCAACTCTGCCACTTCTATATTATATATCTCAATTCTTATTCAACCATGGACCTGTTGGTCCATGTATATAGCTAAAGCTTAACTAATCAAGTAGTCGATGCTCCTGGTGGTGGAAATTTGATTGGGGGCAAAGAAATTCTTGTAAGTGGCCCGTTTTTTTTTTATATCAGTCCCGACTACTTTTTATATGCTAAAATATTTACATTGTTATACATTCTTATACTTGGGTATTCTTTCATATTTTTATTTTGTAGGTTTCCTCATTAATTCTTTCAAATGTGAACCCACATATGGACTTTATCTGTCCCAGATAAAGTTAAGGACAAAATTGCAAACAGTTGTTTCTTGGAGGCCCTCTTGCAGAAAATAATTTTTTTTTAAAACATTTTATTTATTTTCCGAGATAAAAACACCCCAAACAGAGTGAGGAAGAAGACTATGGCGTCAAACTTCTACTCTGCTCAGATAAAGCAATGCATTGAGCTTGGATCTAGAGACCAAATCCGCCATTTGAAGACGATCCATGGCCACATTCTCAAAACTCTTCCTTTCCCAGAGACGCTTCTCCTTAACAACATCGTCAACGGGTACGCATCCATCAGAAACTCCACTTACGCTCGCCGAGTGTTCGACGAAATTCCCCAACCAAACCTCTTCTCCTGGAACAACCTTCTCAAGGCCTATTCGAAATCCGGGCGTCTCTCTGACATGGAGCGTACCTTCTCAAAGCTTACACATCGCGACGGCGTCACATGGAACTTGCTCATCTCCGGCTATTCCGAGACCGGTCTGGTTGGTGAAGCTGTCAAGGCCTTTAACACGATGATGATGACGAAAGACGGCTCTTTTAATCTGACTAGGGTTACGTTCATGACAATGCTGAAGCTTTCTTCCTCCAATGGACATGTTAGTCTCGGCAAGCAGATTCATGGGCACATTGTGAGACGTGGGTTTGAGTATTATCGTTTAATTGGGAGCCCACTGTTGGATATGTATGCAAAATCTGGTCTTGTCTCTGATGCAAAGAAGGTTTTTGACGGTATAGAGGATCCAAACACGGTTATGTACAACTCTCTGATGGGAGGGCTTTTAGCTTGTGGGATGATCAAAGATGCACAGAAGTTGTTTCAAGGGATGGAGAAAGATTCTGTTTCTTGGACAGCGATGATACAAGGTCTTGCTAAGAACGGACTTCCAAAGGAAGCTATTGAGCTTTACAGGGAGATGAAAAGGGAAGGCTTGAAGATGGATCAGTTTACGTTTGGAAGTGTGTTACCTGCTTGTGGAGGATTAGGAGATGTAAACCAAGGGAAACAGATTCATGGCTCTGTGATCAGGAGCAATCTTGAGGATCATGTACATGTAGGTAGTGCTCTCATTGACATGTATTGCAAGTGTAAGTGTATAGACTACGCAAGGAGAGTTTTTGATAAGTTGAAGAAGAAGAACGTTGTGTCTTGGACTGCAATGGTTGTTGGTTATGGACAGACCGGTCGTGGTGAAGAAGCTGTTAGGGTTTTCATTGATATGGAGAGAAGTGGGGTTGAGCCTGATCATTATACTCTAGGGCAAGCGATCAGTGCGTGTGCCAATATAGCAAGCTTAGAAGAAGGGTCACAGTTTCATGGGAAAGGTATAGTTTCTGGGTTGATACATTACGTCGTTGTTTCGAATTCGTTGGTGACTCTGTATGGGAAATGTGGAAACATTGATGATTCCACTAGGCTGTTTGATGAGATGAGTGTTAAGGATGAAGTCTCTTGGACTGCAATGGTTTCAGCGTATGCACAATTTGGAAGAGCCATTGAGGCTATTGAGTTGTTTGACAGAATGGTAAAGCATGGGTTAAAGCCTGATGGAGTGACTTTAACCGGTGTTATATCAGCTTGTAGTAGAGCAGGCTTAGTGGAGAAAGGTCAAAGATATTTTGAGCTAATGGTAAATGAATATGGAGTAGTACCGAGTAGTGGTCACTATTCTTGCATGATCGATCTCTTCAGTCGATCTGGAAGGTTAGAGGAAGCCATGAGTTTCATTAGTGAGATGCCTTTTCCTCCAGACGCAATTGGTTGGACCACTTTGCTTAGTGCATGTAGAAACAAAGGTGATTTGGAGATAGGTAAACATGCGGCTGAATCACTCATAGAGCTGGATCCTCATCATCCTGCTGGATATACGTTACTATCGAGCTTATATGCTTCAAGAGGGGAATGGGATTGTGTGGCGCAGTTGAGACGGGGGATGAGAGAGAAGAAAGTGAGAAAAGAACCTGGACAGAGCTGGATCAAATGGAAAGGAAGATTGCATAGTTTCTCAGCGGATGACGAGTCAAGTCCATATCTGGAACAGATATATGCTAAGCTTGAGGAGTTGAACCAGAGAATCGTCGATGATGGTTATAAACCGGATACTAGTTTTGTCCACCATGATGTTGAGGAGCCAGTGAAGATAAAGATGCTTAACTATCACAGTGAAAGGCTCGCAATTGCGTTTGGGTTGATATTTGTACCCTCAGGGTTACCTATTAGAGTAGGGAAAAATCTTAGAGTGTGTGTGGATTGCCACACTGCCACTAAACATATCTCCAGCGTCACTGGTAGAGAGATCATTGTTAGAGATGCTGTTAGGTTTCACCGCTTTAAAGATGGAACTTGCTCATGCGGAGACTTCTGGTAGGTTGCATGGTGTCTGACAAAATCAGAACAGAGTAGGGAAGACTCAGTTGTACTGTAAGCCAGTTTACTTGGACTAGGAGCCGCTCCATCACCTATCTTGAAGACTTTCAAATGAAGAAGAGGAACAGGTAAGACTTCTCCTTCTCTGCTTCCTATATTTTCAGTAGGATTCTGAGTCTGATCAGGCGAATTGGCCAAGATATTTCAGTAACAAGCATTTTATGAAATTTTGAACTTTATAATTTGACTACTAGGAGAACACTGTAGTTCTTTTACCTTTTATTGTAAAAGTTTTATATAACATATGTGTATATATGTATGAAATGACAATCTGGCTTATAGGAGGATGTTAATCTAAAATTCTCTATATTTGAACTACTTATTTTCGTGTGATCATAACGTAATATCACATTCAAACTGAAACCTTTATGCACAGTGAGTACAAAGAGAGCAATAAATCATAGTAATCAGGCATTACGTGGTTCCTCACATTTCATTCTTCTCTGTCATATAGATAGAGAAACTAGGCATCTTGTCCAAACGCCTCAAAATATTTTCTGCCATCTGCCTTGTGTTACCATCTCCACGATGGAAGGCACTAACCAACATACCTGAGAGCATCCTGTCTTGCGATATGTCAAAGGCATACTTCTCTCCGCCTCGGATCAAGAACTTGTCAATCATCCAAAACGCTTTCTGCAGTAGAGACTCTTTCTTGTGTTCTTTGACTGCATTTAGAATAAGCTGCACTGCATTCATTCCACTCAGCATGCTTATACTCTTCTCCACATCAACTTTGTCATCCAATAGCGTGCATATAGCAGATAATGCTGACTCCACTACCTCCACTTTATCACTCTGCAAACACGCTAGAAGCTTTGTGACTGCATTTGCTTCAACCAAGCAAAATGTGTTTTTTGCAGAACATACTCCTCTGTGGATTGCGCATAACTCTATTTGCTTCTTTTTCGATGAACGGAGGGAGAATGATCTTGAACTAAGTGATGTCATGAACTTTGTGCTCCTAGCTTGGGGTGGCCTGGATAAAGTCATAGTTGTGGATGATAGATTTTGTAGTCCAGTTGCTGATAGCATTTGAACTTCGTCGCTTGATGTTTTCATCAGTAGATCAGCAAACACTGATGCCAAATCATGGTTTTTGGCTAGGTACATCATTTGGGAGTCGTACAGTGTAGTTGTGAATCTCACTAAGATGCCAACGAGACCTTCCAGGAAATCAGTTGCGTACCTGCTTGTTCTTGTTCCGCTTCTTTGAATCAGATAGATCGCATGCAGAATCTTAGAGACTATGCTCTCGCTGACCAATGCTAGATTAAGAGTCAGGTTTTGGTGAGGCAGTTTAGCTAGCAACTTGGCTGAAACAGCGTGCTTCTCTGTTATCTGATTTGCTTCTACTGGGCACTGGATGAGATTCTCTGGCTGTCCTCTAGTTTTACATAGTCTCTCTGATAGTGTGTGACCGATGAAAGGTGTGAGTGCTATGAGAAGCTTTAATGCTCCAACCCCTAATTCTTCATGAGGATTGTTGATGAGCTCTATCATGGCAAAGCTTGCGTCGGTTTCTTTGATCACTGAAACAATAGTTTCCATTGCTCTGGCTGATTTGGACAAGGAGATGAGAATCCTGATCAGATCAATGTTTAGATCATCCGGGCTTGAGTTCTTGAGCATTTGGATGATGTTGTATACAAAGTAATCAGAGCCTAGTGTGTGGCCATGAGTGTTCACCTCAAAGGTCTCATGTTCAACCCCGGACTCAAGTATGTTTGCAAGTATTGTCGCAGCTTCGTTCCTTGAGTTCGTCAGATCACTGAGCATCCGCTTGGTGAACATCTCTTCGACCATGATCTTGATGATGCCGATTTCTACAAGTATCTGATTGTTGGGGTGATACAACGAAATATGAGCAAGAGCTTTGAATGCGGCTCTTCTAGCCTCAGTGTTCTCACTCTGCACTAGCTTAATGAGCGCAGGGCAAGCCTTCTCAGCTACGTAAGTTTTCTTCTCATGTCCAATATCAATCTCCACAAGGTATGCAGCCATTACCACCTGCGTCTCTTCACTTCCTGCATATTAATCCGATATTAGTCCAGGTTATGCTCGTATGGCAAAAGCGGTGAACATTTACCTTCTGCTAGATGATTGAGAAGAGGATCCAAAAGTCCACTCTCTGCCATTTGCTTCATGTTATTAGGGAACTTCTCAAGATTTTTCAAGATTTGGTCTGCTGTCTCAGACGCAAAGGCATCCGACTCTTTGTTATACTTTGAGGTAACTAACATCAATATAGCCCCTGTAGCGTTCCCAATCTTCTCACATGCATGTTGAGATTTTGAAAGCTCAAGCAGTAAGACTAGTGCTGCATGTCTTACAGGCTTGTGACTGCTTCCCAAAAACTTGACTAAGCTTGACATAGTTATCGTCTTCACAATCATTTCCTGTAAAATAAACTTTGAAATATAAAAGTCTATTGACACAAGAACCAAGTTTTAAGTAACAGAGATCCAAACCTTTCCGTCATCAGTGTCTTGATCTTCGGCAAGTGTCTTTAACAACTGCAGAAGTTCACACCTCACATCTCTACTTCTGTACGTCATGTATCTGTCGAGCAACTGAATGATTCCAGCTTCACGGACTAGTACCTTGTTGTACACTTTCCCTTCACAGGTCATTTGCAGATCTCTTAACGCCTCGATAACCATGCTCTCTGAACCACCTAAGGACAAAGCTGCGTGAGCCACCTTGATTCTTGCTGCCTCGTTTCGTACTTTCCACTCCTCAATGATGGTTTTCAAGACAACATTGGGACTTAACCCGGTTGTCAGCTTCTGCCCTGTGACTGGACAGGTAATCTCATCAGAGTCTTCAAATCTGTCAAACCACTCTGTGATTGCTTTTCTTTCGCAGGTTACTCTTGTTTCTGTTGTGACTGGATCTTCCATTATCTCTTTGGTCAATGGGCAGATGAAAGCTTGGTATGGTGGCTCCATGAACTGTGTCACCTGTGGTAACATTGACAAGGACTCGCTCAATACTCCATACTTTCTCTGGCTGCTAACATTTGTGCTCTGGCTTGGGATGTCAGGTTGTGATTCACTCAGAGTTCCATACTTTCTCTGGCTGCTACCAATTGTGCTCTGGCTTGGGATATCTGGTATCTCGCTTATCTGTGATTGTGATTCACTCAGGAAACTTTCATAGGAACACTCAGGATCAGTGGGGTAAAGATCTGACTCTACTTGCTCTGACACCATTTCCTGTGTATCATCCCTTGGAGATACCTTCTTCTGCACGTTATGTAAGATCTCACTTTCACTACCATCTCCAATGTTAGCATTCTTCATCTCATTTGAAAGAGTCTGGACAACGACTCCTATATATTCTTCCTCTTTGGTTGTTGATTCAGGTATGGACTTCAAAGTCTCACCTATCTGCTTCACAACGCCTTCCAAGCCTGCCTCAACGCTTCTCAGATCAGTAGTCGATTCTTGTCCGTTGCTTTCTTGAGATATCTGGACGAGTTTCTTGGCTTCATCTATGCTTTCGGATAGTGATTCAAGAACGTCAGTTGAACATATGACCGCGCTCTCTCCTGTCTGTATCTCCATTAACACAACTGAGACTCGATAGAAATAGCATGCGCATTCAAGGAAGCTCTCTGTTTCTGCTTTTAAGGACTCCAAAGATCTTATTACTTCGGAAATGGACCCCAACAACGATCCAATCAGTGTATCAGTTGTGCTGATATCTTCTTGAACCTGAAATTGTAGAAGCAGAATTAGGGTGAGAGATTTGATTGGTTTCAGAACTTTTCTTGGAGGTGCTAAAAGGAAACAAGAGAAGATTGAGAAAGAAAAAAAAGTCTTACCGACATCCCATTTGTTCAAAAAGCTGGCCTTGTCTCACTCTGTTTACCTAGTCTCCAACTGCTACTTGATCTAGCGAAAAGACTTGAAGGACACACTTGGTCCTCTCTGTTTCAGAGAAGTTGGAACCCACTAAAGGTAAATTAGTTGTGTTGATGATGATAAAGGAGACGACTTTTTTTTTTAGCAGAAAGTGGGGACACAGTCAGATTCCATGGGACTCTCTTGTAAAGAAGTTGAGGTAGTCAAATCATAAGAGTCCTTTCTTTAAGCCTTACCTTGTTCCTCCATATAAAGCACTACACATTTTCTTTACCAAAACATTTGTTGACTTTTTGTACGGTTGTTCTTGCACTCTCTTTTCTCATGCAGATTGGTCGGACCACACGCCGCCCAAAAGGGTGAGTGGAGACGATGGTGAGAAAAGATTGATCTTAATCTTAGTCTTTTTGTTCCAACTTTGTAGTTTGATTTTTTTGACATTTTGGTAATGTAATTGTTTAGGTAAGAGAAGGATTTGGTAGGTAACTTCCAATGTCATTATCTTTCTTTCTTTTATTTGTTTTGTTTAATCATAGACGAAGAGGTCCTTTGGAATTGGTAAGATTGGCCATTGATTTATATATATTTTTCACGTTATATAATAATATTATATGATCGAGTCGTTGGTTCTTGTTTAGCAGTTGAGGATAACATATACATATTTGATGTCATTACACAACATAGAACTAAAACCGAAAATTGCAAAAGATTATTATTTGTCTTAGCTCAGTCGTATTATTATTGGAAACTCTCTTAAACCATTTCGTGGAACAAACTAGTTGACCACTAAGACGACACGCAAAGGAACAAGAACTTTCGTTTCATTACAAAAAGACAAAGAACTTATACTTTAAGTGATCAACAATCCAAGTACTTAACAGGAACAAGTAGAAGATCGTTTTTCTTGCTCACGGTGAGTCCAGGAGCTTCTTCCACGTCAATATCTTCAACCACCATGCCTTCTGGTAACTTCCAATCAAAGTTATACAACATATTTGCAAGACCAAACTCCACCATCGTTGTTCCCATGAAAATCGCAGGACAGATTCTCCTGCCACCTCCAAACGGTAACAACTCAAAGTTCTGTCCTTTTGTATCAATCTTACTATCAAGAAACCTTTCCGGTAGAAACACCTCAGGGTCTTTCCAGGTGTCAGGATCACGCCCGATAGCCCAAACGTTCACCTGAAGCATTGTCTTGGGCTTGATCACGTAGCCGTTGATCTCAAATTCATTTATTACTTCTCTTGGGACAAGAAGAGGTGCTGGAGGATGTAGTCTCCATGTTTCTTTGATCACCATTTTCATATAATCTAGCTTTTCTGTGTCTTCAATGCTGATCATGGATTTGTTGTTCCCAAGTTGGTTTCTGATTTCAGATTGGACTTTCTTCATCACTCTAGGGTTTCTAGCAAGTTCTGTCATTGCCCATGTCATTGTAATTGCAGATGTGTCGACTCCTCCTAGAAGAACGTCCTGTGACAAAATCAAAAAGGACATATCGTTGTAGTTGCAGAATATGTGCTAAAAGAATATTCATCTATTTACAAGAACATAAACAAACATGCATGTAAGAATCTCACTAAAATCCTTATAATCTATACTATATAAAAGTTGAGGCTATAAGCCATTGAGGGCGTCCACATAGGATTATAAGACGCAATTTTATTGGTCCACATAAGCATCTCAGAAATTAAGAAAGTTTCCAAATTTTAAACTACCAATAGTATTATTCCACATAATCATATAAAATTAAGAAAGTTTTCAAATTTTAAACAACCGATAGTATTAATCTATATCATCATATCAATTTAGATATATTTGTTAAATTAGTTAATTTCTTTCTTATGTTTCAAGAATATTAAATTAATATAATCTGTTTAAACTAGAAACTCCCAAGTCTAAAGTGATTAATTTTTTTTTTAATAAATATGTTTTTAATATAAATTTTGAGGCTAAATGCATATAAGAGTGTCCACATAAGATTATAAAACTGCATCTTATTGGTCCACATAAACATTTACATAACTAATTTTTTTCCCCAGTTTTAAACAACCAATAGTATTAATCTATATCTTCATCTCATTTTTTTTTCAAATTTTAAGCAGCCAATAATATTAATCTATATCGTCATCTAAAATTAGCTATATTTTTAAAATTAGTTAACTCGTTTATATTTCTAGAATATTAATTAATAGAACCGGTTTAAATTAGAAACTTCACAAGTCCAACGTAATTAAATTAAGATTTTTTGAAAATTATAAAAAATATAATTTACTAAATTTTTTAAAATTATATAAAAACATTTGTATAAATAAAATATTAGTTACAAAGAATTAAATAAACCGTAAGGTGAACTATCTTTGACCAAACTTAAGTTTTACAAATAAAGAGTATGTTACACCACAATAACTGAAGAATTGTTCTAAGCAAACAAAACCAACATTGCAAAAGAGTCGATCTCAACATTATATAATCTATAAATAAAAAAAATGGAGATAGAAACAAAAATTTGTAATGTCGTATAGAAGAAACATAAGTTCATTTGCAGTTTTTAAGGTGATGAGAGAGATCAAGCTTTGGAGCTAAAAAAAAAAATCAAGAAAACAATAGCATACTATATAATATTTAGTTCATCATAACTTTAAAAAATGGCCGAAAAAGTAAATAGTTTGTTTAGATTACTATGAAGCAGAAGAATTCAAAAGAGATTTAATTGTACAACCCATACAACAAATTTTCGAGAAAGCATTCCACCCTACATGTAACATCCATAAACCAAAAATAAAAATTGGGAATTTTGTCGGTTCAATTTAAGTGAATTGGTTTGGGTCGGTTTAGTGGAGAAAGCCCTAAAATCAAGTTTAAAGAGTGCAGCCGTCTTCTCTTTGGAGAATTTTCGAGTTCAGATGCTGTAGAGGAGAAAAGTTGAGTTTTTGGAGAGATTTTCGAATTTTACTGTTCATCGGTACTGTTCACGGGTTACTGTTCATCGGTACTGTTCACGGGTTACTGTTCATCCGCGATTCGGCACTGTTCATCGTCCTTCCTTTTTCCTTCAGTTTCAGTCAATTGTCAAGGTGAGTGCATGACTGTGGGTCCGTGATTTGCTAGATTAGATTTGGTTTGTGGTTGTTCTTGATGAGTTTATGTTTTAATTGTTATTTTTATGATATTTTGGTTGTTCATGTGATGAATTGTGTGTTTGTGTGGTTTAATCTGGTTTATTGGTTTAATTGAATTTAATTGATTTGATTCTGGTTTATCTTGGTTCAATTGAATTTAATTGGTTTAATTGAATTTAATTGGTTTAATGGAATTAAATAGATTTAATTCGGATTTAATTAATTAAATAATATTTATTTAATTAATTGGTATTATTTTAATTATTTTAAAATATGGAAAATTATTATTTAATTATGAGAATTATTTAATAATTGAGAAATTGAGTTTTAATTATTAAAATTATTTAATAATTGGAAAATGGTATTTAATAATTATTGAAGTTTATAAATATTATTAAATATCTAGTAAATTGCGTAAATGGCTCGTAGGCAGAGTGATTGCCTCACTAAGTATTTATTAAATACTTACGCAACTCCATTCCAATGTGTTGCAGGTAAAAGATTTGTGTGATCGCGGAATCAAGGCTGAAGAGGGGGATGATAGGATGTTTACTGTTTTATTGTTTTGCATTATTTTGCTAGACTTGTTTAATTATTATTTGCTTCCGCTGAGCTGATTTATTTGTTATTGATATTTTATTTATTTAATTTATTTTTAAGACCTTCGCTAGAATTGATTAATATTTATTAAAAAAAAAAAATGTTGGTTGTTTCACTACATCAACAAAAAATGTTGGTTGCTTCAGGCATTGGTCTTGGTTGTGTGCTGATGCAGGAGGGCAGAGTGATAGCATATGCTTCGAGACAGTGGCAGGGCAGTGAGCGTAACCGTCCTACACATGACTTAGAGTTGGGAGCAGTGATCTTCGCGTTGAAGATTTGGAGGTCTTACTTGCTAGGTGAGACAGTACAGGTCTTCACGGATCACAAGAGTTTGCAGCATATCTTCACTCAGCCGATGATGAACGCGAGACAGACGCGCTGGGTTGAGTTCTTGGCGGATTATCAGGTGAGCATTAACTACCATCCGGGCAAGGCTAACCTAGTGGCGGACGCGTTGAGTAGACGGAGGTATGATTCCGCAGTTGAGCGAGATGTGGAGTCTCTAGTTGGCGAGATCAGTACCTTGCGTTTGTGTGCCATTTCGCAGGAGCCTTTGGGTTTAGAGGCAGTGGATCAGGCGGATCTACTTAGCAGGATCAGAGTTGCTCAGCAGAGTGATCAGAGTTTGCTGGATGCGACTAGAGTGACTGGTTCTGAGTATGAGGTCTCTGCGAATGGGACTATCTTGGTTCGTGGGCGAGTTTGTGTGCCTAAGGATGTGGAGTTGAGACATCAGATTTTGGGAGAGGCTCACGCGAGCAAGTTTTCCATTCATCCGGGAGCGACCAAGATGTACCATGACCTCAAGAGGTACTATCATTGGGTCGGGATGAAGAGGGATGTAGCAGACTGGGTTGCGAAGTGCAACACTTGTGCCTTGGTGAAGGCAGAGCATCAGGTTCCGGGTGGTCTTTTGCAGAGTTTACCCATTCCAGAGTGGAAGTGGGACAGGATTACGATGGATTTCGTGGTTGGACTACCTGTTTCGAGGACTTTCGATGCTATTGGGTGATTGTGGATCGGTTGACTAAGTCCGCACATTTCTTGGCCATCAAGAAGACAGATGGAGCTGCTGTTTTGGCTAGGAAGTTTGTGCGAGAGATTGTGAGGCTGCATGGAGTGCCAGCTAGTATTGTGTCAGACCGTGATCCCAGATTCACTTCAGAGTTTTGGAGGGCGTTTCAGGCAGAGATGGGCACTAAGGTGCATCTGAGTACAGCTTATCATCCGCAGACAGATGGTCAGTCAGAGAGGACTATTCAGACTTTGGAGGATTTGCTGAGGATGTGTGTGTTGGATTGGGGTGGCCATTGGGCAGATCACCTGAGCTTAGTTGAGTTTGCATACAACAACAGCTTTCAGGCGAGTATTGGCATGGCTCCATTTGAGGCTTTGTATGGGAGGCCATGTAGGACACCCCTATGCTGGACCCAAGTGGGGGAGCGCAGCATGTATGGAGCTACTTATGTTCAGGAGACGACAGAGAAGGTTCGTGTTGTGAGGCTGAACATGAAGGAGGCTCAGGATAGGCAGAAGAGTTATGCAGATAGACGCAGACGAGAGCTTGAGTTTCAGGTTGGAGATAGAGTTTATCTCAAGATGGCTATGTTGAGGGGTCCTAACAGATCCATAGCAGAGAACAAGCTGAGTCCGCGATTTATGGGTCCGTTTCCAGTAGTGGAGCGAGTTGGGCCATTGGCTTACAGGCTGGAGTTGCCTGAGATTATGAAAGCCTTTCACAAGGTTTTTCATGTGTCGATGCTGAGGAAGTGTCTTCACCCTACAGAGGAGTTAGTGGCTAGGATTCCAGAGGATCTTCAGCCAGATTTGACAGTGCCGGCAGTGCCTGTGAGGATTTTAGAGAGGAGGGAAAAGGTTCTGAGGAACAAGAGGATTCCCTTACTGAGGATTTTGTGGGATTGCAGTGGTTCTACAGAGGAGACTTGGGAGCCAGAGGCAAAGATGAAGTTGAAGTTCAGGAAGTGGTTCGACAAGCAGGTCGAGGAGTGAGCTTATTTCATCTTTGTAGCCTCAGTTGTTATTTTTGGCTTTGGTGTTATTGTATTTTCGTTTTCGTTGTAACGATATACATTTTGGAGTTTTAATGAGATGCAGTTTTTCCTCATTTTGCCTTGTGTTGTGAAATGGTATTCGGATGTTACACATGTTTGACCAGTTTTTGGTTGTGAGACGGTCTAATCTTATGGTTATAGACATTTTCCGGAATTTTTACTCTAAGGATTGCGATCCTGAATAACTCATCATGTTTTTGGAGACTTCGTTCTCTGGCAGACTCTCTGGGTGCAAGTAGGCCTCAGTTGAGTGTAGCTTATATGGGTGCAAGTAGGCCTCAGTATAAGCAGTTTAGTTCATCTGGGTGCAAGTGGGCCTCAGTATGGACGTTTTCGGGTTCGTCTGGGTGCAAGTGGGCCTCAGTGCGGACCGGTGTGGACTTGTCTGGGTGCAAGTGGGCCTCAGTACAAGTTGTTTGGTGTGTTTGGATGATGAGTTAGGAGTGAAATTTTCTTGGAACGTGTTTATGACATAAGATATGACGTTTGTCTCGGGGATCAAGTGAGGATCTCCGGTGTTGCGGCCTTGCGAGGTTGGGTTTTGTGGTCTTTGTGACGTTTGCGTTGGGATTCGGCACTGTTCATCGTCTTTCCTTTTTCCTTCAGTTTCAGTCAATTGTCAAGGTGAGTGCATGACTGTGGGTCCGTGATTTGCTAGATTAGATTTGGTTTGTGGTTGTTCTTGATGAGTTTATGTTTTTAATTGTTATTTTTATGATATTTTGGTTGTTCATGTGATGAATTGTGTGTTTGTGTGGTTAATCTAATTTATTGGTTTAATTGAATTTAATTGATTTGATTCTGGTTTATCTTGGTTCAATTGAATTTAATTGGTTTAATTGAATTTAATTGGTTTAATGGAATTAAATAGATTTAATTCGGATTTAATTAATTAAATAATATTTATTTAATTAATTGGTATTATTTTAATTATTTTAAAATATGGAAAATTATTATTTAATTATGAGAATTATTTAATAATTGAGAAATTGAGTTTTAATTATTAAAATTATTTAATAATTGGAAAATGGTATTTAATAATTATTGGAGTTTATAAATATTATTAAATATCTAGTAAATTGCGTAAATGGCTCGTAGGCAGAGTGATTGCCTCACTAAGTATTTATTAAATACTTACGCAACTCCATTCCAATGTGTTGCAGGTAAAAGATTTGTGTGATCGCGGAATCAAGGCTGAAGAGGGGGATGATAGGATGTTTACTGTTTTATTGTTTTGCATTATTTTGCTAGACTTGTTTAATTATTATTTGCTTCCGCTGAGCTGATTTATTTGTTATTGATATTTTATTTATTTAATTTATTTTTAAGACCTTCGCTAGAACTGATTAATATTTATAAAAAAAAAAAAATGTTGGTTGTTTCACTACATCAACAAAATAAGAATTCGTATTGGAGAGGATAATGGAGGTTAGACAGAGAGAGAGAAAGAAGAGGTTGATGTCTGACATCCTTCACATTCTTTAAGAAGATTTCATCTCCATGTAAATAACGATTTCAAATAAGAGAAAATCACCAACCTTCTAAAAATGGCAAAATATATAAGGATGATAAAGAGATATAGGCAATAAACCTATGAGAGGTAGAATAATCAGTTTTTCTACATCTTCAAAGAGTTCTTGAAAAAGGTGTGAGTTTGCCATAAGTTTATTGAGAAGCATGCTTGATACAAAACTCATACTATAGAAAGACATATGAAGAAGATATAGGCTCTAACTGGTGACCTGTAGAGGAACAAAAAAAAATGAGAAGGAATCGAATGAAGAGGAATAAAATATATGGAACTCATTCCTCGTCATATTTTATAAGGAATATTTTAACACTATAATTCCCTAATTAATATGGAATGGTAAGGAATAATATGGAATACATATTTCTTATAAATGGTGTAATTTTTAAGGAATGAAGGGGAATTGTCTTATTCCCCCTTATTCCTTGGTCACCAGTTACAGCCATAGAGAAGATATGGAGACTGTTTCTTTGATTATCACAATGATTGCAGGAGGTGTATCAATTCCATGAGCAGCCAGAGTTTGATTGGTCAAGACAAAACTTTTGCCATCAAACTCAAGAGGAAATATTTTTGGTATAGTATAAATTTGCTAAATATGATTACTCGATTTGATGAGAAACATGATATGAGGTGAGTTAATAACCATTTTTGCGTTTAAATAAACACTAACTAAATTTTGCAATTTCTAAACAAATATGTAACTAACAAACTTTTTGAACAAAAATGATTTATACACAGATTTAAGGCGGAAATATTCAAGTAAATATTAATATAAAAATACTTCTAAAAAGAAATGTATACCATAACGCATACAAAATGTGACAAAATTACTAACCAAAAATCAACATTGAACAAACAATGATTTAAGATTTTCTTTAAGCCATAAAAAAGAATACACATAATTTATATTATATAAAATCTAAATAAATACTATTATGATCAAAGTTTATAAACTAATAACACGATGTGTAAGTTAAATGTACAGAAAAATAAATTATATGTTGTTTATAGCATTTTAAGTTCTAACATAACAAATTAAAGTTATTTTAAATAAACATCATGTTACATAGAAATAATATTGACATCTAATTTTAAGAATTTTACTATACATGTTTTAAAATATATTTATGTTTAGAAAATGATATAATGTCACAATAGTTCATAAATTAACATTACATTTTACAATATATATATATATATATATATACTAATAAAGTTTGTCCTATTGTAATGATTTGAATATCTTCAAATAAGTTTTGGTTATTAGGCATACACAAACATTTTTGTTACCGGGATATGACCTATACAATATTTTTGTATATCAAGATTTGAATTCAACACAATATTATATATCTAAAAAAATTTGTTTTACAGACAATTTTGATATTGAAATATTATTAAATTTTAATTGTTGATTTTTGCTGCTTGAAAAAAAAAATTATAAATATATTTTAAACCGATTTAAGATAATGACCCGCGCGTGCGCAGATGAAAGTTCTAGTTTAATACTAAAATATATTAATAAACTAAAATAATAATTTGTTTCCACGCCAGAGTTCAACTAATTAAAACACACACAAAAAGTTGATAAAATAATATTTTTGGAAACCTCTTTGGAGATAGACATAGCAAGCCTCATTCAAAAGAGAGTAAATTTCATAGCAAAGGAAGACAACCTCATGAAAAATGTAAGACAAAACTCCTAGAAATGTAAGACAACCTCAAAAATTATTTAATGTAGCATAATATATTTATCATCCAACAATCAGATTCCAAGAAACCCACTACATCAAAAAAATTTCAGTAAAAAACGATTCACAATATTATTATGGGAGGCATATCCTAAATAAAAATATTTCAACAACAAGAAGGCTATTACCCCTTATTTATATTAATACTACACCAAATTTTATTTTAAGCAATGGATAAATTCATAAAAACGAATAAGATTAAAGTTATAACATGTTAAGACCAAAAATCAATTAATTTATCGACTGATTAATCTTTATATTATATTATTAATTGAGAAGTACATTCTAATGTTTGGATACAAGAATAAGAGAAACATCTATTTGGATAGCAGAATAAATGGAAAAAAAGTTGTTTGGATATAAGAATAAGAGAAAAAATTATTTGGAAAGAAGAATAAATGGAAAAAAATTGTTTGGATACAAGAATAATAACTTAAAACAAACCGATGGTTTAGAAAACTTCCGTTTTCCAGCTCTTGAAAAATCTGCAAAAAAGAAAGATTAACGTAATTTATCAATAGTGCCAAATCAATAGAATATGTTCCAATGATATTTGCAAAATTTTCAATAGTGAAATAGAAATAGTCTAATTTAAATCAAATTGTGGATTTTTGTTCGGGTATTTTTGGAAAATTTATGTTCGTTTTGGGTTCGAGTTTTTCGGGTTTAGTTCAGGGTTTTCGGGATTTTTTGGATTTCGGATTTAGACATATTAAAAAAGTTTGGGTGTTTTAAAATTTTTATTAGGGTTTTTAGGTCGGGTTCGGGTTTCGGGTGAACAAGTTTCGAGTTTTTTTTTTCGGTTCAGGATTTTCGAGATTTTTTGAAAATTTGTGTTTTCCGGTTTAGACATATTAAAAAGGTTTGGGTTTTTAAAAAATTTTGATTAGGGTTTTTGGGTCGGACTCGGATTTAGGATTTAGATTTTCTTCACAAAACCGCAACGTCACACCGCGCGTTTGCGCGGGTACTCTACTAATAGTATCTCTTTAATAAGAAATCATATGGTCCTAGCAATAGTATTTTAATGTGGTGTTATAATTTTTACCATCAAGAGTGCTTTGATATTATTTCTTGTGAGTTTGTCATGTCCAGCAACAGTTTCCTCTCTCTCCAACCTCAAGAGCAGATCCACGAAATCTTCACACCCTTTTCTTTTCCCTCTTTGTGCATATCAAACATTTGCTCATAGAACTCATCGAGCTCTCGCACGCTTTTGTCTCTCCTCCCTTTTAAACCCGTTAACCGGTCGACGATCAAACCAACATACGGAATATAATCCGAGGCAGAGAAGCTTGCCATCATCTCGTATGCCTCACGGACTATGTTACCTAACTTGTTGTTGCTAAGTAGAGTGTCTTCGAAAGTCACACCAAACGTTGCCCTACATACAACGCTAGCGGTTAAAGTAAGTAACGTATTGTTCAAGTTAACCGGAGTTTGCTGAGAAGCTGATTCGGCCATTGAATCCATCAGTTTCTTGACCTCCTCGTCTTTGATTGGCTGAATTGATTGAACTTTTTTATTACTGAAGAGTTCTTGAACAGCGAGCTTCCTTGTGTCTTTCCAGTAATCACCAAAAGGAGAGAAACAAATGTTCAGATTGTTGTAAGAGAGATCTCTTGGCCCTGAGGAGTGAGACATTCATATATAATAAACATTCAAAACCCTTAGAATGTGATGTGTGAAATTATTTTACAGTACCTGTTAAGTGAGGACGGGCGCAACAATCGATGTCATGGTCTTTTAGAGCTTGTCTTGCTGTGTCAGAGGAAGAAAGAATGACCGTTGGGACCTTTCCAAGCTTCAAATGCATCACAGGACCATACTTCTTTGAGAGGTTCCATAGAGATTGATGTTGTAACTCTCCGATCTGATGTAAGTTTCCGATGATCGGAATGCCAGGAGGAGAAGGTGGTTCTGCCTCTTTGAGCGTTTGAAAGCAGCGAGGACCAGAAAAGTGATTAGGAAGAGAAGTGATAGAAGCCAAATGTTAGCCATTTTGTATAACTTAGTTTTTGAGTGAAGAAATCTCTTGCTCTTTATAGAAATTTCCTTTTCTCTTTATTCTCAGTTCCAAAAATAGAGATAGATATTTATAAGCCATTTTATAAAAGTTGTGGCTAAGGCTAACTCATAAATTGGATTATATGTTGTCCAGTGGGAAGAAATACAAATTTTATAAATCAATAAGACAAGATTGTTATTAAAACTAGGCTGATGTTTATGTAATCGACAACGTACATGTAACTTCTCCAATTATGATGAAAATACCCTTTATTACACATCATTTCATCTTATTTTTGTATTCTTTTAGAAATGTAGACTATTTCTAGATATATGTATGAAATATATACTACCTTTTAAAAACCTTTCTCCTATTTAGTTATATAACAGTATAACACGTTCTTTTATTTAAAACAATATAGAATGTTACATTGGTAAATCAAATAGCCCATTTTATATTTTCTTGAGAGAATCTTAACACAAAAAATTAAAAGTTGTAGGTGTCGCCGTCGGGTTCACAGTAACTGTTGGTGTCGGGTCCAACGGGTCCAGCAATAGGAAAAACGTAATACGGCCAAAGATGTTAGGAGAATATCGTGGGACACAAGTTAAGATATTCTCCTTGACAGTTTTTGGGAAGTTTCATTGTATGAGAATATTATCTCGAGGGTACTAGGTTAAAGAGTTGAGTTGTATATATATGATGCACATGTCTTTGTGAATAACAACAAGAAACATTCAGCCACTCTCTTCTTTGTTCATGGTATCAGAGCCGACATGACTAAAAACGGCGGATCAAAAACTGAAGGAGGAAACACAAGCGGAGAGAAGAACGAGATGGCGAAGATTACGAGTGGAGAGAAGAAAGACATGGGACCAATTTATCAGTTGGCCGCCAATGAAAATCCAGGAGCTATGATTGCACAAGTGCAATTCAATGGAGACAACTTTGATGAATGGGCTCAAGCAATGAGAACAGCGTTGCGAGTCAAGAAGAAATACGGATTTGTTGATGGATCTATACCGAAACCAGATGAAAACAGTGCAGAGTTCGAAGATTGGACTTCGGCGAGTTCTATGGTGGCACTTTGGATCCTTAATACCATTGAGCCAAAGGTGAGGCGAACTCTGGCCAACAAAGAAGATCCAACAGAGCTCTGGCAAGAAATCAAGGATCGATTCTCCGAGGGAAACGGTCCGAGAATTCAAGAGATCAAAACAGAGCTTGCTAACCTTCGACAAGGAGGTATGACGGTGATTGATTACTACGGAAAACTACAGATGCTATGGGATGATCTGATGAACTATGAGCCGACGCTCACATGCAAGTGTGGAAAATGCACCTGCAATCTGAACCTGCAAATCGAGAAGAAAAAAAGAGGATGATAAAATTCATCAGTTTCTCTTGGGATTAGATGAATCGGTGTATGGAACGGTTCGCAGCTCCATTATCAGCATGGAGCCGCTTCCAAACATGAACCAAACATATGCTAAAGTGAAGTCCGTGGAACGGGTCCAGACTGTGGTGCGAGGAAGGGAACAGCAAGGAGCTCAGATGGCTTTTGCGGTTCGCAGTGGAAACATGAACATTGGTGGAGAAGACAAGAGCAAATTGTTCTGTACCGAATGCAAGAAGACAGGACACGTTGCTGAAACATGTTTCCAAGTTGTGGGATATCCTCCCTGGTGGGGAGAGAGAGCTAGAGGAGGAACGGGACGTGGCGGAGATCAAAGTTTCTCGTCTAGAGGAGGATTCGGACGTGGTGGTGGCAGAGGCGGACGTGGTCGAGGAGTTTTTGTGGGTGCTCGTGCACATGCTGTAACAACGCAGGAAAGTGGTGAAAGCAGTAACGACGCTGAAAGAAATGGGTTCACGGGCCTCACTAATGAGAAGTGGAGCAAGCTGATCAAAATCCTCGATGATGGAAAACAGAGTGGCACACCTCGTCTAAGTGGTAAGATTGAATACTCTGATTGGGTACTTGATACTGGAGCATCTAACCATATGACAGGTTCTGCTGATTTTCTTGCTGATTTGAAATATATATTGCCTTGCTCTATTGGTTTGCCGAATGGTCAACAAACGTTGACAAGAACGAAGGGAACAGTGGTGTTTGATAAGGATTTCAGTCTTAAGAACGTATTGTTGGTTCCTGAACTGAAGTGCAATTTGATCTCTGTGTCTCAACTAATCGCAGATACAGATTGTGTTATGCAAATTGCTAACAAAGGTTGTGTACTTCAGGACCGTATAACGAGGAATCTGACTGGAGCAGGGGAACTTAGAGAAGGGCTCTATTTTTTCCGAAGGATTTCGACTTTTTCTGCTTTGCGTACGAATAAAGATGGAGCTGAGGAGCTGTGGCATCAGCGATTTGGACATCCGTCAAACACTGTTTTTGATTTAATTCCTTTTGTTGGAAATAGGAGTATGGATTTTTCTACTTGTGGAACTTGTTTGAAAGCTAAACAATGTCGTGAGGTTTTTCACTCAAGTGATAATAAAAGTGATGGTATTTTTGATTTGATTCACACAGACCTATGGGGTCCTTATCGTACTCCCAGTCTCTGCAATTCTTTTTACTTCTTGACTATCGTGGATGATTTCTCTCGAGCTGTGTGGGTATACTTACTTCACGATAAGTCACAGGTTGGGATAACCTTAAAGAATTTCTTGGCTTTGGTCTCCCGGCAATTTGATAAACGAATCAAGATACTTCGAAGTGATAATGGAACTGAGTTTACATGTTTAACATCAGGGCTGCGTGAACAAGGCATTATACATCAGACTTTGTGTTTAGGCACACCGCAGCAAAACGGCCGAGTAGAAAGAAAACATCGTCACATCTTGAATGTGGCAAGAGCATTGTTGTTTCAATCATCGCTTCCCGTCAAGTTTTGGGGCGAGAGTGTGTTGGCAGCAGCTTATTTGATCAACAGAACGCCATCTAGCGTCTTGAAAGGTAAAACACCTTATGAAGTGATCCATGGGAAAAGTCCCATATATGATAATCTTAGAGTTTTTGGCTGTCTAGCGTTTGCTCACAAGCAAAAACGCGACGGAGATAAGTTTGATGTGCGGAGTAGAAAATGCATCATGCTTGGATATCCATTCGGGAAGAAAGGATGGACATTGTTTGATCTAGAAAAAGAAGAGATATTTGTCTCACGTGATGTAGTATTCATTGAAAATAATTTTCCCTTCAAAACTGAGGAGACTTTACGTGAAGACAACATCTCTGGTATGTTGAGTGAAACAGAGGAGGATGATGATACATACACAGATGATGGAGATCAAGATGCAGAAAATGATGGTGTGGTTGAAGAAGTTGAGGCTGAGACTGCTAGTGAGGCAGAACATGAGGATGTAGAAGTACCATTACCTGAGACGGGGATGGAAAACAGTGATGAAGTTTCTGCTGTAGTTGAGCAAGACGAACCTGCTGCTCAAAACGAGGCTGCAGCTGAGGTCAGAACAGAAGAGTTGGGTCGTGGGTTGAGGCAAAAGACAACATCAGTGAAGTTAAAAGATTTTGTCCTCAACGCGATCAAGACGGATGAAATCCCAGAGTTTCTTGCTGATGGAGGCTCAAGTGAATATCCAATTTCTGTGTTTATTGATAGTAGCTCTTTTTCACCAAAATATCGTGCTTTCTTGGCTGCTGTTACTGCAGGAACAAAACCGGTTCTGTTTCGAGATGCCGTCATCGAACGTGTATGGTGTGATGCTATGCATGTGGAAATTGGAGCATTGGAAAAAGCTCGTACATGGGATTTAACAGAGCTACCTCCGGGAAAGAAAGCCATCGGGTGCAAATGGATTTACAAGATTAAATTCTTGTCGACTGGTGAAGTGGAAAGATACAAAGCTCGATTAGTGGTTTTGGGGAACAACCAGGAAGAAGGGACCGATTATACAGAAACATTTGCTCCGGTCGTAAGAATGACCACCGTTCGTACATTCTTGGGAGTAGTTGCGGCTAAGAATTGGGAGTTGCATCAAATGGATGTACACAATGCCTTCCTACATGGTGATTTAGATGAAGAAGTGTACATGAAGCTTCCACCAGGATTTAGAGTGAATGGAGCAGATGGATCCAATTTGGTGTGTAAGTTGAGGAAGTCTCTTTACGGCTTGAAACAGGCGCCGCAATGTTGGTTTGAGATGCTGAGAGGTGCTCTACTTGATTACGGGTTCTCTCAGGCGCGGACTGATTATTCGATGTTCTCGATGCGGAAAAACGGTTCCGAAATCTATGTTTTAGTATACGTAGATGATCTGATCATTGGAGGGAATGATTCAGATGGTATTAAAAGCTTTAAAGCTTATCTTAGTGAATGTTTTCACATGAAGGATCTTGGAGGTTTGAAATATTTCCTCGGGATTGAAGTAGCGAGAAGACCTGAAGGAATTTTCTTGTGTCAACGATAATATACACTTGATATCATTAGTGAGGCTGGTCTTCTCGGATGCAAACCTGTGACATTTCCGATGGTGCAACAACATGGACTTGCGTTGTCCCAAAGTCCATTGTTAGAGAATCCTGAACAATATCGTCGACTAGTGGGAAAGTTGATATATCTTGCTGCAACAAGACCAGATTTGGCCTATGCTGTTCATATCTTGTCTCAGTTTATGCAACATCCCAGACATGATCATTGGATAGCTCTGATGTGTGTGATACGTTATCTCAAAGGAACACCGGGACAAGGGGTTTTCTTGAAATCTGACTGTGATTTACGGCTGCATGGGTGGTGCGATTCAGACTATGCGGGATGTCCGCTAACAAGACGATCGTTGAGTGGATGGCTCATGCAACTAGGAAGTTCTCCTATCTCGTGGCAGACCAAAAAGCAAGACGTGGTATCACGTTCCTCTGCTGAAGCAGAGTATAGGTGTATGGCGATGGCTTTGTGTGAATTGAAAGGGCTGCGACAACTATTGATGGAACTCGGTGTCAAGCATGATCGACCAATGAGTTTACACTGTGATAATCAAGCTGCTTTGTACATCGCAGCGAATCCTGTCTTCCACGAGCGGACGAAACACGTTGAAATTGACTGTCATTATGTTAGAGATGCTGTTCACGACCGGTTGATAGCAACAAAAAAGGTTGATACGAAAGAACAATTGGCAGATATCTTTACTAAGGCTTTAGGCTGTCGTGAATTTGAAAAGTTTAGAGACAAGCTGGGCATTTGCAATCCACATGCTCCAGCTTGAGGGGGTGTTAGGAGAATATCGTGGGACACAAGTTAAGATATTCTCCTTGACAGTTTTTGGGAAGTTTCATTGTATGAGAATATTATCTCGAGGGTACTAGGTTAAAGAGTTGAGTTGTATATATATGATGCACATGTCTTTGTGAATAACAACAAGAAACATTCAGCCACTCTCTTCTTTGTTCAAAAGAAGTTTAAAGCACCCAATAATTCAACTCTTAGTCTCTATGAATAGATGTTCAAAAAAAAAAAAAGTCTCTATGAATAGAAGTAGAATTTTTTACAAGCCTCAAAAGGTTGCCCTGATCTCTAATCTTTTTATTTAGTATTCGCAAATTTCCATTTTTAAGTTTTTCCATCAACTATAACTTAGTAGTGTATCAGCAAATTCAACTCTTGGTGTATTTCACAAAAACAAAAAAAAAACTATTACTGAAAACGAGACTTGCATGAATAAAAGATGAGAACACAAAAATATCACAAGATTAAAGGCTTAAAACATATCTTTTGGAAATTTGTAGCTTAGTACTGATAAATACTAGGAAACTTTTCCAAAATTGATAATCTTTAATATATATATATATATATATATATATATATATATATATTTCTAAAAATAGACTCATACGTTTTTTTCCAGCACACAATTCAACATAATTTTATTTTCATGGAAAGAAAAACTAAATTCCAGTTTGGGAACAAAAATTCAAACATAATGTTTTAATTTTATGTCTACTTTATTTAGAGTAAACAAATGTTTTCACGAAATAATTTGTCTTATTTTTGAAAAAGAAAACTTGTAGTTCTATTTTTGGAACATAATTTCTTATTCGTCTATTTTAGAGTATATCACAAAGTAATATTAGCAAGGGATCTAAAAAGGGGAATTTCAAAAATTACCTTTATGTATGTTTTTTTTTCTTTTTTTTATAATCTAGGTGTCCGGTCCACACCGGGTTATGGACGGAAACCTTCCCCGGAAGGGTTTGTGGACTCCATAGGTGGGTGACGACTAGCGTAGTATCCAAAAGAAACTGGTGTGGTTCTGGGAGCGACGATTAGCACCATATTTAAAGGAAACTGGCGTGATTCTGAGGGCTTGAAGTTGAAGAGACAATGTGAAAACCCCAGTGACCAACAGGAAACGAACTGTAGGCACTATATTGGAATTACCCCCTTAAGTACCACTAGCCCAACCCGCGATGGTGATCATGTTTATGGTTCACGATGAACGTTATAGTCTTCTTACAGATACGCTTAATCTTATAACAAAAGACCATATGCATATCACATAATATCTCCTTGCGTAGTTGCGTCGCACATTCCTAAATATAATAACAAAGCTAATGTTTTCTAGTAGATTAAGATATGAAATTAATTTATATGACGAGGTTGAAGGAATAATACGTAAAATGACAGACAATTTTTGGACTGCATTGAAGAAATAGAAAAAGAAAAGATGAGTGATGGTCTAATGGAGAAGCATTTTCGTCTAATAATGGCATTACAAAAAAATTCTGAAAATAAAATCGTATATATTTATTTGGAGATAATCTATAAACACAAAATGTTACAAGTTACGGATGCATACAATTTAGTGACAGGACTGAAAATGCAATTCTTGAGGAGTTTCTCGAACTAAAAAACAAAACTAATAATGAAACCGAAATTTACATACAAAATATCTCAAGATTTATTGGCAACGGGACAGAAAAAAATATCGGGTGGACTGGCCGTGAACTCATATATATGGTTCACGTTGAAGGTTATAGACTTATAGTCTTTATAGATATGCTGAATTTAAACACATAATAATATCGTCTTTGCGTTGGGCTGAAGTTCCTAAATATAGAAACAACGTTCACTTTCCTAGTCACAATCCCTCCCAAGTCCGAACTTTACATGCAAACAAGGCGCAATCCCTCTCAGATCTTCAGAGCAATTGATGGAAAAATTGGGAGGAATCAGGCTTCATCCTTCCAAGTTATATCTATATACTTATTTATATTAACTTAATTCGAAAACCGTTCTATGTAGGTGTTCTAACTCCATTACATTGCTCATGGATTTGTACAATCACCTTGATGATAAAGATAAGAAAAAAAAATGACGCATGTAACGAGTACAAAGCAACTAACAAGTCAACTTTATAACATTCATTTATAACTTTTAAACTTATCTCATTTATAGTTAATTAAATAAAGAGTGCATGGTGACCATTTTCTTGAAAAGCAAGGAAAGTGTCTTAGGCTTGTTAAGTGCAAAAACACCAAATCGAAAGACCCTTTTTCTTTCTTTTATAGGGGTTTGTTTAATAATAGACGAAGATGTCTTTTGGAATGGCAAGATGTGCCATTGATTTATAAAATTTTCATGTTATTCTTATAACGCCCAGACCGCCTCTCCTGGTGAGTCATCCACGCCCTCTCTCTGGATCCCGCAGGCCATCTCGGCCCGTGGGCCTCACCCCTGTCCGACGGCCGGTCCGTTATTTTCGAGAGGCTCTAATGACTTGTTTACTATCCCTGCAATCAACACCTGACCTTTCCCCGTGTTTTGGCCTCACTCACACGGTTTCGGAAACCACTTCCCGAAAGGTCACCCATCCTTCAACTACTCCAGCACAAGCACGCTTAACTGGAGTTACTTATAGACCTTTGACCGAAAAGGTAAGTGCACTTTGTTGACATAGGTAGCCAAATCAATTCTCTTAAGCCTCTCCTCATTTATCACAAACCGGGATGTTACAACTCACCCCCACTAACTATGCGCAACGTCCTCGTTGCGCACCTGGATCGTCACCCCCTGACGGTGTGAGTCAAGGCCACTTCAACTTGACTCCACACTCTCGTCTGGGTTTGGCTCTGATACCAAATTATAACGCCCCGACCGCCCCTCCCGGTGAGTCACCCACGCCCTCTCTCTGGGCCCGCAGGCCCATCTCGGCCCGTGGGCCTCACCCCTGTCCGACGGCCGGTCCGTTATTTTCGAGAGGCTCTAATGACTTGTTTACTATCCCTGCAATCAACACCTGACCTTTCCCCGTGTTTTGGCCTCACTCACACGGTTTCGGAAACCACTTCCCGAAAGGTCACCCATCCTTCAACTACTCCAGCACAAGCACGCTTAACTGGAGTTACTTATAGACCTTTGACCGAAAAGGTAAGTGCACTTTGTTGACATAGGTAGCCAAATCAATTCTCTTAAGCCTCTCCTCATTTATCACAAACCGGGATGTTACAATTCCAGTATTGCGTTATGTAAAAGAAATTATATATGATCGAGAAATTATTTAAGTTATCAACGATCCAAATACTTGACAGGAACAAGTAGAAGAGCATTTTTCTTGCTCACGGTGAGTCCAGGAGCTTCTTCCACGTCGATATCTTCGACCACCATGCCTTCTGGTAACTTCCAATCAAAATTATACAACATATTTGCAAGACCAAACTCAACCATTGTTGTTCCCATGTAAACCGCAGGACACATTCTCCTGCCAGCACCAAACGGCAACAACTCAAAGTTCTGTCCTTTTGGGTCAATGTTACTATCGATAAACCTTTCTGGTAGAAACATCTCAGGATCTTTCCAGGTGTCAGGATCACGCCCGATAGCCCAAACGTTCACATGAAGTAATGACTTGGGTTTGATCGTGTAGCCATTGACCTCAAATTCATTTATTACTTCTTTTGCTACAAGAAGAGGTGCTGGAGGATGTAGTCTCCATGTTTCTTTGATCACCATTTTCAGATAACTTAGCTTATCTGTGTCTTCAATGCTGATCATGGATTTGTTGTTCCCAAGTTGGTTTCTGATTTCAGATTGAACTTTCTTCATCACGCTAGGGTTTCTAGCAAGTTCTGTCATCGCCCATGTCATTGAAATTGCAGATGTGTCGATTCCTGCTAGAAGAACGTTCTGTGAACACAATCACAATTACAGGACATCTCATTGCAATTGAGAAGAGTCGATACGTCCTAAAAGAATGCATGCTATGTGTACAAAAACATTTAAACAAGCATGTGACAATGTAAAAACTCTGTAAATTAATATCTAACAAATTAATAAAACCACACTAAAGAAGGCTAACATGGGAGTATAATACAGTGGATATAATTCAAAACAATGACTAAGGTTAAAGTTGAAAGTTGAAACTTGTAAGCTGTAAAAGAAAAAACATTCAAACTAAAGGCAAAAAACGAAAAAGAATTTTAGACCAAAATTTATGTTTCAATGAATAAATATGAATTTATGTATTATTGATATATAGTATGGTTTATCAAAATATATGTATATCGTTATAAAATATTAAAATCCATGGTCCAAAGTAACAATACGAATTTTACTACAGTAGAACCTCTATAAAACAATACTCGATAAAACAATAAACACTATAAGATAATAATTTTTTCCGGTCCCAACTCGGGCCAATGTAAAAAATAGCATAATGCGATAAGATGATAAGACAATAATATTTTTGAAACTCCTATGTAAAAATATAGTCCCAACAATAGGCTAAGATAATAATTATAAAACTAAGGCATATATATCTAAGACAATTTAGTAAAATATGACTCCAATGTAGTTTGTCTTTTCTGAAAGTTGGATTCTCGTTGGAGCTCATCTCGAATTTTTCTTATTGCATCTAACAATTTCTGGTGGTGTGTTCTCAACATGCAGCAAAAGTTGTGAAAATATGACCACAATTGTTTATCTTTTCTGAAAGTTGGATTCTCGTTGGAGCTCATCTTCAATTTTTCTTAAGCATCAACAATTTCTTGGTGTTTCTGAACATGAGCAAAATATGTAAATAACAAAGTATAAGGAAAATTTGAATAAAAAAACTGAAAAAATATATTTCTATAAAGTTTCTTGTTTTTGATAGAATATTTCTATAAAATAATAATTATTGTTTTATCGATAAAATAATAACTCTATAAGATAATAAAATTTCAAAGTCCCAACATTATTGTTTTATAGAGGTTTTACTGTATAGGGTTATAGTTTTGAGTTAATTACCATCAAGATTGCTTTGATATGGTTTTTTGTGAGGTTGTCATTTCCAACAACAGTCTCTTCTTTCTCCAACCTCAAGAGCAGATCCACAAAATCTTCACTCCCTCTTTCTTTTCCCACTTTATGCAGATCAAACATTTGTTCATAGAACTCATCGAGACCTCGCACGCTTTTGTCTCTCCTCCCTTTTAAACCAGTGAACCGGTCAATGATCCAACCGACATAAGGAATATAATCAGAGGCAGAGAAGCTTCCTAACATCATGTATGCCTCACGAATTAACTTATATAGTGTGTGATTGCTAAGCACAGTGTCCTCGAAACTCACACCAAACACTGCCCTACATATCACACTAATGGTTAAGTTAAGAAACTTCTCGTTCAAGTTAACGGGAATGTTCTGAGAAGCTGATTCGGCCATTGAATCCATCAGTTTCTTGACCTCCTCGTCCTTGATTGGTTGAATCGAGTGAACTTTTCTATTACTCAAGAGTTCTTGAACGGTGAGCCTCCTTATGTCTTTCCAGTAATCACCAAAAGGAGAGAAATTAATGTCAAGACAGTTGTAAGACAGATCTCTTGGTCCTGAGGAATGAGACAAGATCCATGAAGTAAACATCTTAAAGACTTTAAAACGTTTTGTGAGAGTGAGATTTACGTACAGTACCTGCTAAGCTAGGACGGCCACAACAGTCGAGGTCATGGTCTTTTAGAGCTTTTCTTGCTGTTTCAGAGGAAGAAAGAACGACGGCTGGGACTTTTCCAAGCTTCAAATGCATCACTGGACCATACTTCTTTGAGAGATTCCATAGAGATTGATGTTGTAGCTCTCCGATCTGGTGTAAGTTTCCGATGATCGGAAAGCCAGGAGGAGAAGGTGCTTTCCGGTGGTTCTGCCTTTTTGAGTGTTTGAAAGAAGCGATAAACAGAAAAGTGATCAGGAAGAGAAGTGATAGAAGCCAAATGTCAGCCATTTGTGTACTTAGTTTCTTTGAGTTATGACTTCTGAAGAAATCTCTTGCTCTTTATAGAAATATTATGGTTCTACTTATTTAGTTCCATATAGAGATGTAATTATTTATAAGGCATTTATAAAAGTTTTGGTAAGGCTAACTCATAAATGAGATGTCAAGTGGGAATAAATCCAAGTTATATGAATCAATAAGACAAGATTGTTACTAAAACTAGGCTAATGACAATGTAATCTACATGGTCATGGTCCTGGTCCTACATGTAATTTCTCCAATTATTACATCTTCTTTTTATATATTTGTATATATTTTCTGTGTAGTCCAAAAATGTGTATCTCTTTGTTGGGTTCAGTCTTTTCATAGAAATTCAATCTCGAAATTTCTACTAAAAACATAGTTTTATTCGCATATCATATTATTTTATTTTAAAACCGACACAACTCACTTGAAAAATTGAGATGGATTTTATTTCTATACAGAATTATGCATTCTCACTTAGATTCACATCTTTATTTCTTATTTTTTTTGTTTCATTTTTTCTAATTAAAAAATCATGGTATGGTCTTAGTAAAATTCATGTTCTTAGTAGCTTACAATATCGAACTAATTTATATGAGGAGACTGAAGAAAAAGAAAAGATGAAGTAGTATGTAATGGAGAAGCATTTTCGTGTAATAACGGCCACAGTTTCACTCACAACACAAATTTTCTGGGAATAAAATCGAATATTTATTTGGAGAGGAAACACAAAAAGTCATAAGTTGAAAATGCAACACTTGATGAGTTTCTTGAAATAAAAATAAAAACTAATAGTGAAAACGAAACTTACATGAATATGAGATCAGAAAACAAATATCTCAAGATTAAATATCTTTTTGGAATTTTAGGCTTTTTTTTTTCAATATTGATGAGTATTATTGACAACGGGGTTAAAAGAATATCTAGTGGAGACCGTGGACTCGTATATATGGTTCACGTTGATCGTTATAGTCTTCGCTTCTTATAGATATGCAGACTTTATCACACAAGATGACATCATATAGTATCGTCAAATATGGAGTCAGGCTTCATCCTTTCATGTTATATCTCTATATATTGGTTATGTTATCCAAAACACTCATTGATAAACTCAAAATTGCTCATGGATTTGAACAATCATCTTGAAGATTTAGGAAAATCACGGGTACAAAGCAACTAACAGGTCAACTTTACAACATTCATAAGTATATTATGGCGTCGTTGTTTCTTGCTTGGCACTTTGATTGAAAAAGCATCGGAAATTTTTTGGTTTTTATAAACTTAGCAAGAAAATCTTCTATCACAAAGTCGACACAACACGAACAAAATATCATACAATATAGTTACAAAACCGAATTACAAAACAGAAAGAACGTAATACTAGAGGAAATTCTCTTAACCATTTGGAGGAACAATTCCTTGACCAAACACACAAAGGAACAAGAGATTTCGTTTTATTAAATAAGGTACAATCAAAGAAGAAGTTATATATACTTTAAGTGATCAACAATCCAAATACTTAACAGGAATAAGTAGAAGATCGTTTTTCTTGCTTACGGTGAGCCAACGGGGAAAAAAAACACATGATAAATTTTAGTAGAAAAAAAAAGTTGAGCAAGAGAAACAAAAAATGAAGCGGCAGAGGAAGTCACGAGAGTGGAGGAAGAGATTGGCAAAGGCACGAAAGTACACGTGATGTGGGCCGTAACGTTATCACGTGTTCAAGGCCCACTTTTCTTCACGCCCATTGGCCCACCCCTCTCTTCTTTCTTCCTTTATTACATAATATATTGTTTACCATAACAGACTTTTTTTTTTTTTTTTTTTTTTTTTTTTGGCACAAAGACAGAAAGACTTGAAAACATCACTTGATTTGAATTATAAATAAAGAAACAAAAGTTAAAATTCATTTTAAATGAAAGAGAGCAATTATTTTTTACCATCAAGATTCCTTTGATATGATTTCTTGTGAGTTTGCCATTCCCAATAACAGTTTCTTCTTTCTCCAACCTCAAGAGCATATCCACGAAATCTTCACTCCCTTTTTCCTTTCCCTCTGTGTGCATATCAAACATTTGCTCGTAGAACTCATCAAGATCTCGCACGCTTTTGTCTCTCCTCCCTTTTAAACCGGTGAACCGGTCGACGAGCCAACCGACATACGGAATAAAATCCGAGGCAGAGAAGCTTCCGGTCATCTCGTATGCCTCACGGACTATCTGACCTAAATTGTTATTGCTAAGTAGAGTGTCTTCAAAAGTCACACCAAATGATGCCCTGCACAGCACGCTAGCGGTTAAAGTAAGTAACGTATCGTTCAAGTTAACCGGAGTTTGCTTAGAAGCTGATTCGGCCATTGAATCAATCAGTTTCTTGACCTCCTCGTCTTTGATGGGTTGAATTGAGTGAACTTTTTTATTACTGAAGACTTCTTGAACAGCGAGCTTCCTTATGTCTTTCCAATAATCACCAAAAGGAGAGAAAGCAATGTCCACATAGTTGTAAGAGAGCTCTCCTGGCCCTGAGATGTGAGACATGATCCATGAAGTTATAAACATTAAAAATTTAGATTGTGTCGTGAAATCTACGGTACCTGCTAAGTGAGGACGGCTACAACAATCGAGGTCATGGTCCTTTAGAGCTTGTCTTGCTGCTTCAGGGGAAGAAAGAATGACCGCTGGGACTTTTCCAAGCTTCAAATGCATCACAGGACCATACTTCTTTGAGAGGTTCCATAGAGATTGATGTGGTAACTCTCCGATCTGGTGTAAGTTTCCGATGATCGGAAAGCCAGGAGGAGAAGGTGGATTCCGGTCGTTCCTCCTCTTTGGACTTTTGAAAACAGTGAGAACCAGAATAATAATTAGGATAGAAGCCAAATGTTAGCCATTTGTATACTACTTGTGAAGTTTATAGAGATTTTTCCTTTTTTGTTTATCTACTCAGTTCAATATAGAGAGAGAATTTTATAAAGCAATTTTAAGTTGTGGCTAAGGCTAACTGATACATTTGGAGATGGGATATCAAGTGGGAAGAAAATTGATATCATTAGCATATTTTTCTCCAAAATTTTATACATGGCCATGCTCCTGCATTTAATATAATTTCTCTAATTTTTTCATCATTTTTATTTTTTTTTCAAATAATTTGCAACTCTTGATTTCTTTCAATAAACCTGGAAGATGATATTAAGAATTTTCTTTGCTAAAATAATTATTTACTTTCAGTATCATTGGCTTATTTTTCTCCAAGATTTTGAATTTTTGAAATAGAAAAAATGGAAAATTTTGGTTTTTGTAAACTTCGCAAACAAGTCTTCATCAAAAGGTTGTCACAACAAGAAAAATATATCATGATAGTACATAGAATCAAAACCCAAATTACAAAACAAAAACAGATTATTACCACTGAAAATTCTCTTAAACATTTCTAGGAACAATAATTCCTTGACCAAACACAAGAATTTCGTTTTATTAAAAAGGTACAATCGAGGAAGAACTTACTTAAAGTGATCAACGATCCAAGTACTTAACAGGAACAAGTAGAAGATCGTTTTTCTTGCTTACAGTGAGCCCCGGAGCTTCATCCACGTCGATATCTTCAACGGCCATGCCTTCTGGTAACTTCCAATCAAAGTTATACAACATATTTGCAAGACCAAACTCAACCATTGTTGTTCCCATGTAAATCGCGGGACAAATTCTCCTGCCGGCACCAAACGGCAACAACTCAAAGTTCTGTCCTTTTGTGTCAATGTTACTATCTATAAACCTTTCCGGTAGAAATATCTCAGGGTCTTTCCAGGTATTAGGATCACGCCCAATAGCCCAAACGTTCACTTGAAGCAATGTCTTGGATGGGATCGTGTAGCCATTGACCTCAAAGTCATTTATTACTTCTTTTGCTACAAGAAGAGGTGCTGGAGGATGTAGTCTCCATGTTTCTTTGATCACCATTTTCAGATAACATAGCTTATCTGTGTCTTCAATGCTGATCATGGATTTGTTGTTCCCAAGTTGGTTTCTGATTTCAGATTGAACCTTCTTCATAACTCGAGGGTTTCTAGCAAGTTCTGTCATTGCCCATGTCATTGTAATTGAAGATGTATCGATTCCTGCTAGAAGAACGTCCTGTGACAAAACCAAACATGTCAATGATGTCATTGTGATTGCATAAGAGTCGATACGTCCTAACAAATATTCTGTTTACAAGAACATATAAACAAACATGCAAGAATCTCAAAGAGAGTAAAAAATATATTAGTCGAAAACTACAAGAAAGAAAGGCTATTACATATATAATACTACACTAAACTTATATTTTATGCACTGTGTACAAATTCATAAAAACGAATAAGAATGAAGTTGAAACATGTAAAGACAAAAACAAAAACAAAAAAGATTTTTTATACCAAAAATATATGTCTCATTTAATATAAACTTAATCTTCCGATTATTTTTAATAACACTATCTTTTAAAAATATTATAAATCACATGGTCGTAATCTTACCATCAAGATTGCTTTGACATGATTTCTTGTGAGTTTGCCATTCCCAATAACAGTTTTTTCTTTCTCCATCCTCAAGAGCATATCCACGAAATCTTCACTCCCTCTTTCTTTTACCTCTTTGTGCATGTCAAACATTTGTTCGTAGAACGCATCAAGATCTCGCACACTTTTCTCTCTACGCCCTACTAAACCCGTGAACCGGTCAATGATCCAACCGACATACGGGATAAAATCCGAGGCAGAGAAGCTTGCCATCATCTCGTATGCCTCACGGACTATCTCACCTAAATTGTTATCACTAAGTAGAGTGTCTTCAAAAGTCACACCAAATGTTGCCCTACATACAATGCTAGCGGTTAAAGTAAGAAGCTTAACGTTCAAGTTAACCGGAGTTTGCTGAGAAGCTGACTCGGCCATTGAATCCATCAGTTTCTTGACCTCCTCTTCTTTGATGGGTTGAATCGAGTGAACTTTCTTGTTGCTGAAGAGTTCCATAACAGCGAGCTTCCTTATGTCTTTCCAGTAATCATTATAAGGAGAGAAACCAATGTCCAGATAGTTGTAAGAGAGCGCTTTTGGCCCTGAGTAGTGACACAAGATCCATATATATATTAAGTAAACATTTAAAACTGTAGAACGTGTCGTAACTTGTGAGAGTGAGATTTTTTTCAGTACCTGCTAGGGTAGGACGGCTACAACAATCGAGGTCATGGTCTTTTAGAGCTTGTCTTGCTGTGTCAGAGGAAGAAAGAGTGACCGTTGGGACTTTTCCAAGCTTCATATGCATCACAGGACCATACTTCTTCGAGAGGTTCCATAGAGATTGATGTTGTAACTCTCCGATCTGGTGTAAGTTTCCGATGATCGGAAAGCTAGGAGGAGAAGGTGGTATCCGGTGTTTCTGACTCTTTGAGCGTTTGAAAGCAGCGAGGACCAGAAGAGTGATTAGGAATAGAAGTGATAGAAGCCAAATGTTAGCCATTTTTGTATACTTTGTTTTGTTTTGTTTTTAGTTATGACTTCTGAAGAGATCTCTTGCTCTTTATAGAAATGTTTCTTCTTTTTAATTATTTACTCAGTTCCGTATAGAGATGATATACATATTATATAAGACATGATTTTGTCTTGCTGTCAAAATGTATAGACGTTCTAATAAAAACATTAAACATTAAACATTCACGTTCAGTTCTTGTCTTTCACGTGATCGAATTATATTTTTTTTAAGAGATTGATGAAAAGTGAAAATATATTTGAAAAGGCCATACATTTTTGGACAGCAAGAAGAAATATAAAAAGAAAAGATGAAGTAGTGGAGAAGCATTTTCTTCTGCTAAACAAATAGTTGGAGTATTATATATTTTTTGAGATAATCTAAAGCATAGAAAAGTCGAGTGATGAAGTGCTCTTGGGGTTAATTAATGGAGAAGCATTTCCGTCTACGAATAGCTAGCTGTAATCATTAGAAAAGTAGTTGGAGTATTAAATCTAAACACCGAAAGTCAACTTACGGCTGCAATCAATTTAGTGACGAGACTGAAAATGCAACTCTTGATAAGTTTCTCGAAATAAAAAACAAAACTAAAAAAGAACTAGTGAAAGGGAAATTGGCATGAATAGGAGATGAGAATAGAAAAATATCACAATATCAAAGCATATCTCTTGGGAATAGCCTATTTATTTACCAAACGATACTGATGTATTATTGGCAATGGGGTTGAAAAAGATCTGGACTTGCATATGATTCACGTTGATCGCTATAAAGTCTTTTTAGATACAGTATGCTGAATTATAACACAAAAACGATTATAAATTTAGTTAACACATTTAAGCATATGCTAAAAATACATCAAGATCTAAAACCATAGTCAGACTTTGATGATCCACAAAATAAAATATGCACAAATTATATCAAGATGTAGAGAATTCTTCATTCAGAGTTCACTTAATAGTCGGATTTTGATTATTCGCAGTGTTTTGTCTGTAATATACACATCTTGGCAATCTTGCTCTCCGAAATATCTTTAGCTTGTCTTGGATTTGAACAATCATCTTGAAGATAAAGGAAGAAAAAATATAACAGTCAACTAACATGTCTACCTAATTACAACATTCATCTTGAAGATAAGGAAGAAAAGATATAGGGATGGCTATTGTGATTGATATGTGTGAATATCTATAATACCCTTCTCAAGCTCAAATCTGTGATGCAGTTCTTTTCTACGTTTATGATTAATAGAAGAAAATGAAGATATTTTTGTAGAGAGCATAAAACAAATTAAGATTTGATAAGAGTTTATTAACATATTAAACAAACATTTCAAACGATCAAAGAAGCATTGAAGCTTAGAAAAAAGGTTAAGAAGTTTGATGGATTAGATTTAGAGGCTTATGCTAAGCTTGAATGAAGAAGCACTTGGTTTAAAAGCATAAAAACGGCGCCGATCGTTAGAACATTGTGACTCTGATTCAAAAATCTATGATAGAGTTGATCTTGAATAATACAAACACTTGTTTTCGATTAAAAATGAATAAAAATAAAATTTGATCGTTAGACCAAAATTCATGAGCATTACCTGCTCTACCATGATAATGTATTAATGTGATAAGAATTTAAGAATGGGAAAAGCATACACATAAATACAAAGGCTTTCGATGGTGACCACATCCATCTTGAGGTTTTGTAAGCCGCAAGCCTAAACAATTTTTGCTTGTTTTGCTTGGTCTCAGGACCAGCTCTGATGGTTACCATTAAAAGAAAAAAAAGGAATGAAGAAAAATAAAATATAGGAAATTTATTCTTTTCCATATTTTATGAAAAAAAAAATTTATACTAAAATTCCTTGATAAATAACGATGAAGAAGGAATAAGATGGAATAAACATTACTTATAAATAGTGTAAGAACTAATTCTTAGAGAATGAGGAGGAATTTTTGTATTTCCCATCATTCTTTGGTTACCATTCAAAGCCAAAGTATAGACTTAATGCTAATTAATTACAAAGAATATAAAGAGTAATGACAAAAGCGATAACATGATTGAGATCACAAAAGGTGACTATAAGGATTGTGATTTATATATGTGTGAATATCCTTAATATTCATAAGTTTAAACTTAGGTCACCTAGCTAAAATAAAAGCGTCTTGACTCTTTTCTTGATAAGCAAGGAAAGTGTCTTAGGCTTGTTAAGGATAAATAATCCAATACATTCCGGAGATATTCAAAACACCAAATAGATGACATAAAAAGCCAAAATAAGTAGGTTTGAAAGATGTTCATCAAAACACTAGATCACCTAGATAAAATAAAGGCGTCGAGACTCTTATCTTGAAAAGCAAGGGAAGTGTCTTAGGTTTGGTAAGGACAAATAATATTCAAAACACCAAATCAATGACATAAAAGCCAAAACGAGTAAGGTTGATAGATGTTCATAAAAACACTAAATCACCAACAAAGAAAAAACAACCTAAACAATTCCATCAGAGATGATAATTAACTAAAAAAGAACCCATTTCTCCTAACTCATATCTCCTACTGGGATGTGGGAGGAATCCAGAACAATCGACCAGAGGGTGGAGTAGAGCCGGAGAGATCACGGATGGTGCGAGAAGCAAGATCACATATGCCAAATCCGGAACCATGGCCGCCAAAGTAAACCGAGTTAGGGTTTAGACCAGGGTAGTCCTTAGCAGAGAGACAAAAGGATTCATTGTCTCCCAAGAAAATGCAGAGATCGCCAATGTCATCAGTATAAGGACCAATCCCTTGCTCTCTGTCCTGCCTAAACACCATGATCTTGTGAGTCTTCTTGCAAAGTTCTTTGTTGTTGTAACTTGCGTCTCCCCATGGAACAGCTTCTCCTTTGTCTGTAACTCTCTCCACAAACCTAACAACAACAACACATTTCATTTCTTGATTCCGTTTTAAGTTATAACAAGATAGAATCATATAGAGACAGAGGAAGTGAGATTTTGATTTGATACCAGAGAACGATGAAGGATTGTCCAGAAGATGACTCGACAAGTTGCTGTTGGATCTTGAAGCGAGAGAGACGCATTTCGCTCTCCAGCTCTGGCATTTCGTCTAGAAAGCTAGAGAAGCCGAATCTCTTGTAGCCACTAACCGGAGTGAGTAAACCGGAAATTGATTTTGGTGTGAAATCGGTTGGACCGGTGTAGTCCGGGTTGCAGTTGTTCAAGTAGAATCTCCGGTCTCTCTCCGAGAACATGACGGTGGAAGAGTGGAAAGATGGGCAAGGCACGTCGATGCGAGTCCACTCCGAGTCACCGCCACCGAGTCTACAGAGACTCACTCGTGAGCCGTAAAACTTGACAGCAATCACACAGTCTTCTTCTTGTTTTTCTCCGTTTGGAGAGGAGACAGAGACATTGACAAGATGCTCGAATTTGTCTCTGGTTAATGGTGGTAGAGATATGGTTCTCTGGTTCTTTGTGAGACGAACAGTGGAATAGTTCTTGTTCATGGAAGCTAACCATCCTCTTGATGATCCAATCCACCGAGATTCATGGAGCTCCTTTGGTAGAATCTGGTTTTGGATCTTCACTTGCTCTTCCTTCCTCGGATCGTAGAGGTTGTAGTTAACGAGTTTACCACCGCAAGGAGAATCTCCGACGACATCGTTGCCGAGGAGCAGATAAGGTGTTGTCGCCGTCGAGAATTCCGACCGCCTGAAACAGAGGCTCCGGTTTGGGGCTGAGGAAAGCTTCTTAGAGAGTCGGCAGAAAATCTGAGACATTGTTTCAAAACCCTAAAGTCGCTTCTGGAAAGAAGAGAACCAATGATAATACTACACACCAATTAACGCTGCTCTTTCTATATCAGGAAAATTTACATGCAAGAAAGATGTCAAGTTTCTATATAAGAGAAAAGCATGGAAAACTCAGAATCACCCCATATTTCTATACTGATATGCTCTTAGATCTTCTTTTTTCTTTGTCAAATTCTTTGAAGTTAAAATAAATTAGGTAAGATCTGACGATAATAAAGAAACGTTGTTATTATAACACAAGACGATATTAGCATTCCTAAATATAAAACAAAAAATCAGCTATTGTTTTAGTATTTCATAAGCATAATGCTAAAATTTACATAATATAAAAAAATTCGAACATATAAGAAAAAGTATCTTGCAAATTAGATAAATAACATGTATGAAAGCAAATTTAACTATCTATCTTTTTTTTTTTTTTTTTTTTTAGACTACCAAATATACCAAAGAGAGAATGAGCTCTGACGGCGCTAGGGTTTTGGGTGACACAGATGCCACCATAGTGGATATTCCGGGGAAAGGTCAGCCGCCGGGGGATCCTCCGGATGGGGCGCCCTCTTGGGCCTCGATGGTGACGGGTACGAGTGCAGGAGGCCGACCTAATCCGGAGAGTTTGTTGACTGATGAGTTTGTTGTGGAGAGGCTGAGTGTAGAATTTCCGAATGGCGCGGAAGGGGAGGCGGTGGTTACGATCGGACAAGAGGTTTTAGAGGTGATGAATGGGTTATGGAAGCAGTGTATGATTGTGAAGGTGCTGGGCAGAACGGTTCCGATTGCCGTGCTCTCCAAGAAACTGAAAGAGATGTGGCGGCCGAAGGGGGTCATGAAGGTCTTGGATCTCCCACGAGGCTTCTTCATGGTCCGGTTCGGTGAGGAGGAGGAGTACTTGGCAGCGCTAACTGGTGGCCCGTGGAAGGCGTTTGGTAGCTACCTTTTGGTGCGAGCGTGGTCATCGGACTTCGACCCGTTGAAAGATGAAATTGTCACAGCGCCGGTTTGGGTCCGACTGTCACATTTGCCGGTTAACTTCTATCACAGAGCAATTCTGATGGGGATAGCGAAAGGGCTCGGCAAGCCGCTGCGTGTCGATCCAACAACATTGAATGTGGAAAGGGCCCGCTTCGCACGGATTTGTGTAGAGGTAAATCTGCGTCAGCCATTGAAGGGATCGGTGATGATTAATGGAGAGAGGTACTATGTCTCGTATGCAGGTCTTACAAACATCTGTTCGAGGTGTGGAATCTATGGGCATGCGCTTCATACATGTCCGAGGAGGGCCCCGCCTTACGCGGTGGAAACAGAGGCGGCGAGTGTGACGATGGGGGTGGTGAGTCGTGGGGAAGCAGAGGACGGTTTCGTCATGACCCGGAAGCCAAGGCAGGCGGCGGAGATGTCTCAACGACCAGTGGTCTTTGCGGCGAAGAGTGCCCGGGAGCCGCCGCGTCGAGCATTAAGGGAGATTCCACAGAAACAGACTTTAGGGAATATTTCCTTAACAAACGCTTTTGACAGATTGAGGAAGATACAGCGGAGATTGAGGCAGGGGGAGGAAATGGAACTAATGGAGGGGATAAGGAAAATTCGGTGAGTTTGGGTGGAGAAAGAAATGGCAAAGAGATTGCACCAAGCAAAGAAGGAAAGTGGGGAAAGGATTTACGCGGTTCTAATCACAATTTCCAAAAGGGAGTGGGAGAGAGGAATGTGAGCCCGAGCAACGGTGGAGCTGGCAAATCAGGGGGCCTTAATGGGCAGCGGAGAAAGTCCAAGAATAATCAACCCACGAGAGGTGTGACTTTTGGCCCAGTGGAGACAAATATGGACATGCAATCGAGGGGGAAGAGATCGAGAACTGAGAGAGAGGTCCCGGAGAGGTCGGAAAGTCGTTTCACGCCAACCAATGCGGAGGATGGAGCGGAGGGAATGGTGGTTCTAGTGGAAAGCGGAAGTCAGATCCAGCGTAGCCTTGAAGTTGATGCAGCGGCAAACTCGCTGCTGTGTCCTCCGGTGGTTGAGGAATCTCAGGGAGACGGAGGTATGGATTTGGCAAGGGATTAGCAGTCGTCCCCGGTAGTTCGTTTGAAGTTGTTGAGAATCATGATGAATTGTATATTCTGGAATTGCCGGGGGGCGAATAAACCCAATTTTAGAAGGTCAATCCGATACATGCTGAAGAAGTATCCCACATATATCTTGGCGGTTTTCGAGACCCACGCGGGTGGTGATAGAGCAAGTAAGATTTGCAGAGGTTTGGGGTTCGAGAACTCATACAAAGTGGATGCGACGGGCAGAGTGGAGGCTTGTGGCTACTGTGGAGGACGGGCATTGGTGATGTGGTAGTTGAGGAGGCCTCTGATCAGTACATCCATGCCCGTATCGTGAATGGAGATGAGATAGTGCATGTGATTGCTATTTATGCAGCTCCATCGGTGAGTAGAAGGAGTGTTTTATGGGATGAGTTAAAAGTGGTCATTGGAGGTTTGGATGGTCCGGTCTTGGTAGGAGGAGACTTTAATACAATTGTGAGATTGGACGAGTGCTCTGGTGGCAATGGCCGTCTGTCACCGGATTCTCTGTCATTTGGTGAATGGATCAATGATCTCTCGTTGATTGATATGGGGTTTCGAGGAAACCAATTTATATGGTGGCGAGGCAGAACAGAGAGATTCTTTGTTGCTAAGAGGTTGGATCGCATTTTCTGCTGTGCACACGCACGTTTGCAGTGGCAGGACGCGGTTGTCACACATCTCCCGTTTCTGTCGTCTGATCATGCACCGCTCTATCTTCAACTCTCTCCGGTGCTCTCAGGCGACCCGAGAAGGCGTCCTTTCCGGTTTGAAGCGGCATGGCTCAAGCACGCGAGCTTTCAAGATCTTGTGAGGACCTCATGGAAGGGGGACTTGAATACTAATGTGGCGTTGTGCGAGTTACGGCGGGTCCTTGTCCGGTGGAATAAGAAAGTTTTTGGGGAAGTGTCTAAGCGGAAGGAGGCTATTCTGAAGGAGATTAAAGAGGTACAGGAGATCTTGGATTCAGGTCCGTCGGACGCATTACTGGTTCGGGAAGAGGAGTTGATACAAGATCTTGACAATGTGCTCGAGCAGGAGGAGATGCTGTGGTTTCAGAAGTCGCGGGAGAAATGGATTCCACTTGGGGATAGGAACACACGATTCTTCCACACATCAACGGTTATTAGACGTCGAAGAAACCGTATAGAGATGTTGAAGGGAAGTGATGGTAATTGGATTACTGATGGCGCAGAGATGGAGTCGCTGGCAGTGAACTACTTTAAGCGACTTTATTCACTGAGGATGTCGAGATAGTGAATAATAAACTGCCGGCGGAGGGCTTTGATCACTTGACGGTGGAGGAGAAGACTTATTTGCAGAGGGAGTTCTCAGAGTCGGAGATTGAATCGGCTGTGCGTGGCATGGGGAAGTATAAAGCTCCAGGACCGGACGGTTATCAACCGGTGTTCTACCAGAGTTGTTGGGATACGGTGGGACCCTCGGTGATCCGTTTCGTGTTGGATTTCTTTTCCACAGGCATCCTTCCGTCTGAGACAAATGATGTGCTCTTGGTACTGATTCCAAAGGTGGCTAAACCTGAGAGCATTACGCAATTCCGACCAATCAGCTTGTGCAATGTCTTGTTTAAGACTATCACTAAGGTAATGGTGGAGAGGTTGAAGTTGGTAATATCAAAGCTGATAGGGCCGGCACAGGCGAGTTTTATTCCTGGTCGTTTGAGCATAGATAATATAGTTCTGGTCCAGGAGGCTGTGCATTCGATGCGATGCAAGAAAGGGCGTAAAGGATGGATGTTACTGAAGCTAGATCTTGAGAAGGCGACAGGATCCGATGGGACTTTCTGGAAGACACACTCAAGGCAGCTGGACTATCTGATATCTGGATAAGTTGGATCATGAGGTGCGTTACGGGTCCGGTGATGAATTTACTGTGGAATGGCGAGAAGACCGAAGCTTTTACGCCTTCACGAGGCCTTAGGCAGGGAGATCCGATCTCTCCTTACCTGTTTGTCCTCTGCATGGAGAGTCTCTGTCATTTGATCGAGCACTCGGTGGATTCTAAGGAATGGAAGCCAATAAGCCTTTCACGTGGAGGTCCGAAGCTTTCACATATATGCTTTGCCGATGACCTTATCTTGTTCGCGGAGGCTTCGGTATCACAGGTTCAGGTCATAAGGAAGGTCTTGGAGACGTTCTGTAGTGCTTCAGGTCAGAAAGTGAGCTTGGAGAAATCTAAGATCTTTTTCTCTGGGAATGTGTCTCGGGAGCTGGAAATGGCAATTAGTGATGCAAGTGGGATTTAGTCATCGAAGGATTTGGGGAAATATCTGGGAATGCCGGTTCTTCAAAAACGCATGAATAAGGACACCTTTGGGGAGGTTCTTGCAAGAGTCTCCGCGAGACTAACAGGTTGGAAAAGCTGTGTCTTGAGCATGGCGGGACGTTTAACTCTGACGAAGGCAGTGCTGTCATCTATACCGGTTCACTCGATGAGCTCTGTTATGCTCCCCAAGTCTACGCTCTCAGGTTTGGATAAGATTTCTAGATCTTTCATGTGGGGGAGTAGCGTGGAGAAGAGGAAGCCCCATCTTTTATCTTGGAAGAGAGTTTGTCGTCCAAAAAGGGAGGGTGGTTTAGGAATTCGTTGTTCGAAGGACATGATTCTGGCCTTAGTGGCCAAAGTTGGCTGGCGGTTTCTACAAGATGATCACTCCTTATGGGCTCGGGTCGTGAGAAAGAAGTACAAAGTGGGGGACTTTCATGAGCAGAGTTGGCTGATACCAAAGAGCACCTGGTCAGTGCTTTGGAGGGGTGTAGTGAGGGGTCTGAAGGAAGTCATATGGCCGGGTCATCGTTGGGTGGTCGGGGATGGAAGCAAGATCAAATTTTGGTTGGACACTTGGCTCACGGACAAACCGCTTAAGCATCTGGCTATAGAGGAGATCCCGGGTAATGCACAACATTTACTGGCGAAAGATGTTTGGAGAGAGGGCATGGGATGGGACTTTTCGAGAATTAGCCCGTTTTTACCAGAAGACCTGTGATTGGAACTGATGGCAGTGGTCCTGGATCAGGTAACAGGTGCTAGTGATCGGATTTCTTGGAAGGGAAGTGCTAGTGGCGAATTCTCGGTGTCGTCGGCTTATGCGCTAATCACCAGAGATGAGCTTCCCCAGCAAGACATGGCCTCGTTTTTTTATCGAGTATGGCAGGTTGCGGCACCGGAACGGGTACGTCTATTTCTCTGGCTTACTAGTCACCAGGTTCTGATGACGAATGTTGAGAGAAAAAGACGACATCTTAGTGACTCGGAGATTTGTACGGTTTGCAAGGGGGGTTTTGAAACTATTCTCCATGTTCTTAGGGACTGCCCGGCGATGGCGAGTATCTGGGAGAGGATTGTGCCACGCCGTAAGAGACAGGACTTCTTCCAGTCATCTCTGTTGGTGTGGCTCTACGAAAACCTTCAATCCGGAGTGACTGTGGATAATATTCCCTGGTCTACATCGTTTGCAATGGCTGTATGGTGGGGTTGGAAGTGGAGGTGCGGCAATGTGTTTGGAGAGAACCAGAGATGCAGAGATCGGGTTCAGTTTGTTAGAGAGCTTGTGGCGGAGGTATGGAAGGCTAACAAGATAACCAGAGGTAACACGGGACCTAAGCTGCGGACGGAGAGGCAGATCGGTTGGGAGGCTCCTGCTGCTCATTGGTTCAAACTAAATACGAACGGAGCGTCACATGGGAACCCTGGTTTAGCCACGGCTGGAGGAGTGCTTCGAGATGGGAATGGACGGTGGTGCAGTGGTTTTTCTCTGAATATTGGGAGATGCTCTGCTCCACTTGCGGAATTGTGGGGTGCTTATTATGGTTTAGTTATGGCGTGGGAGAAGAAGATCCTGAGGTTGGTTCTAGAGGTGGACTCGGAGTTGGTGGTGGGTTTTCTGGTGAGAGGGATTCAAGACTCGCATCCCTTATCCTTCCTGGTACTGCTGTGTCATGGCTTTCTATCAAAGGACTGGTCTGTCCGTGTTACTCATGTGTTCTGTGAAGCTAATCGCCTTGCAGACGGTTTGGCAACTTATGCGTTTTCCTTGCCTTTAGGTTTTCATCTACTTGATGTTGTTCCCCCATCTTTGGAGTTGGTCCGATGGGAAGATGAGATTGGGATTACACGTCCTAGAGATGTAGTATTGTAGTATTTTACTTTGTTTTTTAATAAAATCACGGGGACTTTAGTCTCCCGTTGCCTTACCAAAAAAAAACTATCTATCTTTTTATCCATTTAAATTGATAATACTGCTCTTTATTTTGTAGTATGCAATGTCGGTTTCTTTCCAAATTACAAATTTTCTTGCCCATAATACATATACTTGTGAACTCAGGTAAGGTCATCTTAGTAACTATGGGATGTATTTTGTGATTTAATACATTAAATATAAATAAGTATACAATTTGTAAGGATAATTAAGTTGGGAAAGCCTTATAACTTAGTTGGAAAACATTATAATTGTTGTGATTCAGTCCACACTCACCACATTTTTCAAATAATTATGGAATCTCTTGTAGCCACTAAACGGAGTTTGGGTTGGTTTGGTCTCTAAGAAAATATGACGGTGGAAATTATTTAGAATTTACATAAGATCTACCAAAAAACATTGGGTACATTAAATAATTTAAATACTAAATTAGTATACAATTTAAAAGCTTGACTCCAGAACCATTAAACGAACAACAATTATATAATTTTCTTCCTATGCTCTAAAGCTGCACACAAATTCATGAATGAGATAAAAGTCCAACAAATACTAACTCGAGAACAGTAAAATTTGACGGAACAACCGTCTGTCCATCACTGAGAGCTCTTCGCCCTCTCCCCTAAAGCATTGACGAAACATCTCACAATTCATTCTTCTCTCCTCTCATGTCCTTCCATCGTGGCGAGGAGGATCCTCCGGTGGATGTGCAAGTCCGGCCCGACAAAGAAAGACCTCATCCTCACCCTTGTCTCCATAGCGATTTTGCTTAAACCTTTAAACCTCTTCTCATAGCTAGTTTCAAACTTAATGATTCAAGGATTTATGTTTTTTTCCTTCATTTTCTTTAACACATTGCTCACCTTATATAGAGAGGGGCCACACATAGATGTCACTTCATAAAATACGATATTCCTTCCAACAATACGGCATAAAAGATATTTTTTTCAAATCCAAATAAATGTTATTTTTTATACATTAACCATAGGTTCTGATATTGACGCTAAGTGCAATGAGTGTTTCAAACGGATCATATTGACCAAAGAAATTGCACTAAATTAATGTGAAAGAGAGTAACAAGTAGTAACCTAGAAAATATTGTGTGAGAGTAATCTATGTATAACAAGTAGTAACCTAACTGAAGCCACAAATTGAATAGATTATGTTAGGAATATCAAAATGATTATCAACTTATGAGTACGTAACAATCATTAACTAATACCATTATTTCATACTCTAATGACAATTGCATACAAACAAAAATCATTTTAAGTTAGTTGGAGCATTGTAAAATTCAAGTATTCAACTTAATGTGAACTCTACTAACATGGTCTGAATAACATCATCGTCATTTTACATCTCCATAATGCCAATTTCCCATTCTCTCTAACTACACATGTAGCTATGAAGCGTTGGGATTAATTTGCAAGAAAAATAGGCATTATATTGTAGAACTCACAGTCTCAACGTATGAATTAAAAATCTGAGTCTAAAATTTAGTGTGATATGCTCTTATCTTTTTCCATTTTTCTTTGTCAAATTCTCTTAGATCTTATTTGAAGTTAAAATAAATCAGGTAAGATCATGACTAATGATAAAGAAACATATCACTATAAATTCATTCTCAAAGGCTAAAACCTTGAGTAGCGTAGTGCATAAAGAATTAAAAAATTCACTCATAATATCATTTTATATCCTTTCTTAATGAGAATCGTTAACGAATTCCCTGAAATGTTTAGTCATCTCAGTGACTCTGAGATGTATGTTTCTAGATGATTAAACGAACAATGATTCAGTGTACATCAAGCGGGGATAGCTCAGTTGGGAGAGCGTCAGACTGAAGATCTGAAGGTCGCGTGTTCGATCCACGCTCACCGCATTTTTCAGTTTTTTTTTTATATGAAAATACATATCACTATATCAGTATGGATTAAGTTTGCCAGACCGAGTGAAAATGCCTAAACTAAAAATTTTAAAATACATATCATCGGTTCATCATATGAATGGATTAAATCATCACTTTACAGACCAAGAGACCATTTTCTTCTTCTTCTTCTTCTTCTTCTTCTTCGAATGTTGAGAAAAACTCTAACTTCAATCTCACTAAGACACTTTTCTTCTTCTTCCTTTGCGTTTTCCCCTAAACCAATCACCCCATCGCCGCCTAAAACCCTCAAAACCCTAACCCAACTCCAAAAATCCTCCTTTGAATCTACCCTCCGCAATTCCCTAACCGCTCACGACACTGATGAAGCATGGAAGGCCTTCCGATCCTTCGCCGCCGCATCTTCCCTCCCAGAAAAGCCCCTCCTCAACTCCCTCATCACCCACTTGTCCTCCTTCCACGCCGGAGACACTTCCCTCTTCAGGCACAGGCTCAAACGAGCCTTCGTCTCCGCCGCTTACATCATCGAGAAAGATCCGATTTTGCTCGAATTCGACACTCTCGTAACGCTTCTGGAGTCCATGAAGCTGGCGAAAACCGCCGCGCCTGCGTTGGCGTTGGTGGATTGTATGTTCAAAAACAGGTACTTTGTTCCTTTTGATCTCTGGGGGCATTTGATCATCGACATCTGCCGAGAAAATCGTAGCCTAGCTTCGTTTCTCAAGGTGTTTAGAGAAAGTTGTAGAATTTCACTAGATGAGAAGCATGATTTCATGAAACCTGATTTGGCTGCGTGTAACGCTGCTCTCGAAGCTTGTTTCCGGCAGCTGGAATCGTTACCTGATGCTGAGAGTGTAATCGAATCTATGGCGGATTTGGGTGTGAAGCCTGACGAGTCCAGCTTTGGGTTTCTTGCTTATCTTTATGCAAAGAAAGGGCTTAGAGAGAAGATCAGTGAGCTTGAGAATTCAATGGATGGGTTTGGTTTTGCAAGTGAAAGAACAATCCTTTATTCGAATATGATTAGTGGTTATGTAAAGATTGGTGATTTAGATAGTGTTTGTGATGTTATACTGCAAAGTCTTGGAAAAGACTCGACTTTCAGTGAGGAGACTTATTGTGAGTTGGTGAAAGTGTTTATAGAGAGTGAAAGCGTTAAGAGCTTAGCGAGATTGATCATTGAAGCTCGCAAGTTGGAATCTTTATCTACTGAATGTGACAAGTCTGTTGGGTTTGGTATAGTGAATGCTTGTGTGAAGCTTGGGTTTTCGGGTAAGAGGATTCTTGATGAAGTGAATGCTCAGGGAGGATGTGGTGGGATTGGTGTCTATGTACCGATCTTGATGGCGTATTGCAAGGAGAATAAAACAGCTGAAGCTACTCAGCTGGTTAAAGAGATCAGAAGCTGTGAGGTTCAGCTGGATGTAGAGACTTATAAAGCTTTGATTGAAGCTTCGATGAGGAAGCAGGACTTTGAGTCTGCGCTTACGTTGTTTAGGGATATGAGAGGAATGAGAGTGACGGATTTGAAAGGGAGCTACTTGACGATAATGACAGGTCTGCTTGAGAATCAGAGACCTGAGTTAATGGCAGATTTTGTGGAGGAGGTTTTGGAAGATCGTAGAGTAGAAGTGAAGTCTCATGATTGGAATTCGATTATTCATGCGTTTTGTAAAGCTAAGCGTGTGGAAGATGGGAAGAGGATCTTTAGAAGGATGGTCTTTCTTCAGTATGAGGCGAATCAGCAGACGTACTTGTCGTTGATCAATGGATATATGAGCTGCGGGAAGTACTTTGAAGTTGTGGTTTTGTGGAGAGAGTTTAAAGAGAAGGAAGCGAAACTGGACCATGCTCTTGCGGATGCGTTTTTGAGTGCGTTGGTGAGAGGAGGGTTCTTTGGCACGGCGATGCAAGTGGTAGAGAAATGTCAGGAGATGAGGATATTTGTGGATAGGTGGAGGTATAAGGCAGCGTTTATGGAGACTGAGAAGAGTCTCAGATTGCCAAAGTTGAGGAAGAGGAAGATGAAGAAAGTGGAATTTCTTGATGCATTTAAGAACTGGGTTGGTCTTACCACATGAAGAAATGCTCTCAAAGAGACTTAAGACCCGGAATTTTTGTAGTGGTGTTTTTTATACTTTCATGGCAAGCTTTGGTTTGAAAAAGATATGAAGTAAAAGCAGATGCAAACATTAGTTGTTTGCATATTGGGTCAAGCTTCCTTTGTAAATCAGTTGAATTCTATACTCTTGTTATCTTATATTTTCTGTTTTGAAATGACATCAGCTTTTGAAATGCAAATGCATTTTTAACTTGTGTGTTTCATAATTATTAGTCATCTCCTAAAATCCAAAATGAACAAATATAACTATAACACGTCTATAACATTAAAAAAAAACAAACAAAAAACAAAAAAAAAAAAGTTTGTCAATCAAAATTTGAATGTAGTAAGACGGTAGATTATTATCATTTAGCATTAATTCTTACAATATGTACTCTAAAACCGTTGGTTCTGAAAGAGTTGTATCAAACAATCTGATTGTATGATTCTCCACAATCAAAAAAAAATTATATGAGACATAAGAAATATATCAAATGTTAGAGATTCTGAAACTACGGTTCCATACTCCGATCCAACACATTCTTTTCTTGCCAAGATTTGAAACAATTTTTTTTTTATTTGTATGTTTACAAGTAAGTTCAAGTCGTAATGTTAGAAGAGACTATATGAGCAATATGTAAGTAACCTAAAAATGTGCTGAAAATGTACTTGAGAGAAATAAAAATAAGTGTGAGTGTAATTTCTGCTGTATCCAAGCAACATACATATTTAGTAATTTGAACTCATTTCTTCAACAATCCTACATAATTAAAACACATAACCAATTAAGCAGCTTAATTTGCTAGATGTAGGAAATTTGATCTTTCCAATGAAACATTAAAGATTGTGCTAGGAATATCAAAATTGTTTTCAAATTAATTATATTCTCAGTAAGTAGTCTCATGATTAATTTAGCCTCTTTAAATATTTTGTGCAACAATCATAATTAAAGACATTATTTCATACTTTAATAACAATGCATAGCAACAACAATCAATTTAAGTTAAGTTGAAGCATCATACAATTCTCAATTTAAAGTGGACTCTACTAATATGGTCTAAATAACATCATGGTTAGATTTACATCTAACCCCCAGAATGTCAATTCCAGCTTGTATCTCACCGATAGGTTTTAAAATACTTTATTTCAATTTATATTATACTCATATTTGCATCTAGCGGGGATAGCTCAGTTGGGAGAGCGTCAGACTGAAGATCTGAAGGTCGCGTGTTCGATCCACGCTCACCGCATTTTCCTTCTTTTTTTTTCATACAAACTAAAAAGTTTAGATGAGCATTGAGATTGCAATAAGCTTAACCAGTATACGGTCCACCGTCCACCCTCTTCAACATTTAGATGAAGTCTCATGGAGTCAAGTCACACATAAAGAGGAGAGTATACAAATTAAATAGGCTATAAGATTTCCAATGATGGCATTTGAAAAAGAAAAAAACAGGTCTCTAATCTCCGAAACTCAATACACTTTTCGAGACTGAAAGTACCTTCAAACATTAAACAATGTAACACATGGACCTTAAGTAACGGATTCTTTTGGCTATAAGGAATATGCCAGATTGATGTGTGTGATAATGCGACAAAATACGTAGAGGGAATTCACAGAAAATCCTCTTACACAATTAATATTTTTCTCCACTAAATATTTGATAATGTTAAAATGCCTATACATACATATCAAGCGTATAAGTATACACGCATGGACGGCGTCACAGACGCTTCTTCTCTCCCAGAAAAGGTCCTCCTCAGCTCCCTCATCACCCACTTGTTTTCCTCTTTTCACGCCGGAGACACTTCCCTCGGACATAGACTCAAGCTTGCCTGTTTCCGCTGCTTAAGTTATCGAAAAAGATCCGATTCTGAGACATCTCCTTACGGTTATGGAGTTCATGAAACTGGTGAAAACCGCCGCACCTGCCTTGGCTTTGGTGGAGTGTATGTTCAAGAACAGCTACTTTGTTCCTTTGTAACCTGAAAATGTGCTGCAGCTCAGTTGAAGAAGTATGTAGGATCTCAGATCAAAGTCGCCTCGGTATGGTAATGGCGGAAAAGTTAGGCTTGGGAAGGACTTCTGGAAACTCTCCACCACCTATCAATACACAGATAAACCAATCCATCAAGAATTCAGTTTATAAGAAAAGTGACAAAAATGAATATGTAATGTTATAATTTGATTCTTTTACATTTTCTAAGATTGGCTTTTCGTAGAGCTCAACAAACTTCTCTCTGAGTATTCTGTTCATTACATCAACATCACATGCACTACGAATCTAGAAATCGAAATTTAAGGGTAAAGAAGATATAATGAACAAACACTTTCAGTAAATGAATTTAGAAACTGGAAATGACCTGCAAAACTCAAACCCGCAACTGCTGTTATCATCATGTGAGACCCATCAAGGGAATGTATAAGATCAGGTGCGAAAGCTGTCATATGCTTCCTCGCTAGAACCTGAACCAAAATGCAGGAAAATGAGACATATTGCTTAAAACTCATCACTCATCAGATCTTGAAACCTATCCACATGCTACATTATACTATGCCTCCAAAAAAGAATGTGAGTCGTATATGATGTTTTGGTTTGGGTTACCTTGTCAGTCTCTCGTTGTAGAGTCAACACCTGAAGAGTAGTCTTAACCTGCAAAAAATTTACAGTCACATTCAACAAAGTCACTTATACATTTCTTCAGTTGATCATTTGTACTACTTCATTGTATCAAAGAAGTTAAGAGCATTACCAAGTGTCTTCCAGGCTTCCGATAGGGTTGTACAACTGGAAGTCCAAGAGGAGTTGTCCAAGAAACTGCTTTGTTTTCTGCAGCTATTATCTGTCCACCACAGAAAACAGCTCTCAATTGTTATAAACAAAAAAATCCTTCGTGACTTGTAAGATTTCTTAAGCAAAGACCTCAACAAGAGCGTCACAGACTCACAGATATAAGAACTGACCTTTGCACATTCACCAAACCAACTCTTGATGCCTTTAGCAGCGTCAAACATCTCTTCCAATGCTGTCAAAGTGATCTAGACGCAGAATCAAGAGAAGAGTGAACAGTTGATTCCAAAGTCCAAAAACCATTCAGATGTTTAAAACGCACAACCACATAACGCAGACAAAATAGTTGCCGAAACTAAGCAGGTAAATTATCATATCCTTACTCTTGCTGCATAACAAGCTGCATGAAAATTTTGTGAATCGTCCTCAAAGGCACCACGTTCTTTTAACCTCTTTTTGATTTGGTCACGCGCGCCACTATAAGTAACACCATACACTGATGTCATGACAGTCTGTTTTACCAGCTTCCTGTCAACCTAAGGAATTTCAATAGTAGAGTACTGTTATCAGATAGTATGTTCATAAACAAGTAACAAAGTAAAACTTAGTAGTAATACATTCTGATACATATTGCTTGTCAGGTAATATGTTTAACAGAAGATGAGCCGAATTTACAAGAGATGTCAGATACCTGGTCTAGCATGAGCTTGGCATGTGTGGCATTTGGAAATGTATTAGGATCCTCCTGTGCATCTTGCCGCATGATCTCGAGAACCCTGATAAAATTTACACCAAATAAAAATGTGTCTGATTAATAGTGTCACTGTAGCCAGAGAGATAAGGGGATGAGAGAGAGAAAAAGTACCTAGCAGCAATTTCTGCATAAACATCGGCTGGCTTTTCACCTGTAACGAGGTTGACAGCATTTGCTCCCAACTATGAAAAGAACCAATTGAAACAAATGAATCAGAGAGCAGAAACAGATTTCCCTATGTATGAATGACAGTAAAAAAATATTTTTTAAATAAACATAATTCCTGTGAAAATAATGCCATACCTGATCCCTTCCAAGAGCAGCATAGTGTTGTAAACCATTACATGAACCATCCTTGCAATCAAGATTAATACAGAAAGTAAGATTTTCTACTTAAAAGAGCATAGATGATTATAAATTCAAAATAACAAAGTATATATAATTCTAATTTCACTGGAACCAATGTCATGACAGTTGTTCATGTTCAAGCATGGTTATGCTAAAAGACAGTTACCACCAACATATTTACTTCTGATGATTCAATTTAGCGAATACCTGATGAATGGGGATATGAGATAGAGCTGCTTCAGGAGAGGGGCTTCTCAAGGCTTCTGAAAGGTTAATGCAAGCAGCCAAACATTGAAAGGGATCCTCTGCATTAAGCCACCATCTTTTTCCTTCAAGAGGTCTATCAGAAGAATCAAATATATCTTCTAAGTGACTCTCGGTGAATGCAACCCGGTCCTTATAAGCAAATTTATCAACACCACCACCATATAAGTTTGCTATATGTATCTTCAGCCACCGCAATCCTGATTCTCCAAGAGGCTTTCCCTCACAAAACTCAAGGATGCCTCGACAGAGATCAGACCCGAGATGGTTAAGATGTGGATGCATGGGATACGCTCGGCCACGAAAGTCAACGTTGTGAGGGTAGTAGAAACCTTCCTCGTCCTTCATTTTACGTGCCACCTGCTCAATCAAAAGAACGTACAATGATGTCCTTATAAATCAGAGCGGCAAAAAAGGAGTGCAACAAGGGGTCTTTCTCTTACCTCGAGTTTGAGCTCTATATCACACCTTTGCGAATGTCTCTCGCCATTTTCCTTTTTTGCATCCTTCATTTTCCATTTCCATAGCTTAATTTCTTCCGGGTCTTCGGTGTCGGGTTCCTCTGGTAGCGGTACCTTTTAGAGTTTGAAAAGAGGTGAAAAAATCAAGAGAGTCAAGATATATAAAAGAGAAGTAGAAACAAAGGCTACTGTCTTCTTTGAAGAAGATGGTAAGAGAAGGTGAACCAAAAGGAGAGACAGAGAGATCTCACGTCTTCACGGTCAACCAGATCACCAAGCCGACCACCATTAGCCCAAATTCTGTCCACCAAACTTAACATCTTTTTGTTTATTCTCCATTTGGTGTTTCCCAGCGTATCTAATGCCTGATTGAACAAAGAGATCACATGAACTCACCTGTTAATACACCACTATATTCATAAATTTTCCAATTCTTACTTCTGCTTTAAGCATCCAATAAATAGTTAAGCTCAAGCAACAGAAACTCGTAACAGAGGTAAGGAAACTCAGACCTTAAATACTGGCTCCAGTTGCTCCTTGGGAGTTCTTTTCAGTATGGTGAATTGTTGTTTAGCTCCATGTGTTCTCATGATGATCGAACGCCAGAAAAAGTGTGCGCCTTGATCAAACCTGCAAAATACTGTCAAGTTACATAGCAGTTTTAGGAACATACTTGAAGCAAACTGTAGATATCCCTTGTATGAGATAACTTTTTCAGGATATACCATGACAAGCTACACATTAACAAATGCCTAAAACAAGGAGCAAACTAGATCACAGGGATCTAGCAGTAGTAAGCAAGGAAACAAAATGAGTCCTAATTATTGGCGAAAGCATCTCATACCTTGTCCAGTTCCGGGGAGGTACTAGCATGGGCATGTAGGGAATGACCACATGCCTAGCCTGTTTAAACAAACAAAAATAGTGAGAAAAAGAGTAGAGAGATTTTCAGACTCATACCAATAGACATTGATGTATAGTGGTACATAACTGATATCAGGTAAAAAGAAAAGCAAAAACATATTCCACAATTTCTGCTTACTGAGTTTTCAAGGCCCTTTTGGATCAGAGGATCACACACGATGCAACCATATCTCCTGCTAGATTTTCTGAGGAAGAATAAAATAGAATATAAACAAAAAAAGCAGGGACAAGGAGAGGGAAATGAGCATAAACAAGAGCGACAAGACTCTCTTACGTATGTTCTAATGTGACATTTTTCTGAGTTTGCTTAAAAGCAGGTCGGACGTCAGGTGGACCATCGTCAAACTGTTCGGCTAGAGGTTGTACTTGTGCACTTTCTATCAATAGCTGAATCAAACGTGCACCAACCTATAAATGCAACAAGAGCCAAAAAAAATTCATATCACCGAGAAGAGACAATACTAATTACATTACAAAGCGTTTCTGCATCAAACAAACCTTTGCTTGAGCCTCTTGACCCCATGACTTGAATGAGTCATGTTTCTTGACTATATATCTTACCAGCCGAGCATTATTGTTTTTCTTCATCAGTGTATCAACTTGTTTCCTCACCTTCTCCGTTTCTTTGGCCACAGTCTCTGATTCATCGCTAACCGTCTCGCTAGTTTCATTCTTCTTCTTCTTATCTCTCTGCATAAAGCATTTAATCCTAGCCTGAATCCAATAACCAGAAACACAAGCACATTACCATTAAAACCAATCTAACAACCACAAGAGAAGATAACAACACATTACCAAATCACAAACTCACCTCCTGCTCAATAGCTTCTCCGATTTGAGTAGTAGCATGAACAACTTTCACAACGCCAACACCATCAGCGTTAGTCATCATCAACCCCATCATCTTATGCATAGTGATAACAGCCATCATATCAGCAGGCAACATCTCCATATAAGGCGCGTAAGGAATCTTCCCTCTCTTGACCTTGAAAAGGTCGAGGTCGGCTTGAATCGCGTCCCTGAGAGGCTCGAACCATCCGAGAAACAGAGACTTCACGTAAGGCAGATTCGGCGCGAGCTTCTGCGCGCACATGTCTTCCAGAGTCTCGCGGCATTCTTTAGCCGCTCTCTCCCATTCCTCAGTCTCTATCTTCACTTGCCTCTGCCTCAGCGCGTAGTACTTCCTCGCCGGCATTCCCGCGATGAGCTCGTTGGGTTGCTTCGATGCAAGTCTCGCCTTTTTGCGGACTCTCTCGGTTTCTTTCTCCATTTGCGTGATCAATTCGTTGACTTCTTCAGACCCGGAAGAAGATTCGTCTTCAGGATCAGTCGAATCAATCGCTTCCGCAGATATTGCGTAGCCTCTAATCGCGAAATGTTGACTATGAGGAAGTGAGCTCAATCTTCCCAATTCGTGAATTGGGTTTGTAGCTAATACCTTCCAAACACCATTGCGATCGGCCGACGAAAGGATGGTTCGGATTCTGTTCGCCGGGAAGTGAGTGGTCGAGCTAGAATCGGAGAAAATTTTGATCTTTCTCAGAGAAGCTCGACTCAAAATGGTCCTCCACATTTGTAAACTGTTCTTTGTGATAGGCTAATTTTTTGAACTACTGGGTTTTCGAGAGAAACACCAATACAGGCATAGAAATCAAAGTATGATATAGTTGTTGATAAACAGAATCGAAAATCGAGACTTTGGGTGAAGAGAAGAGAGATCTGAAGTACAGCCGCCAATAAACCCTGCATAAAACCTCCGGTTTCTGCCTCACGATTTCATGGGTATGTTGTTTAACCCGACCCGTTTTATCAGATCCGTTATCCATTTATTTGGGCTCAGAGCCCATTCGAGCACGAATTATAAAATTTATGATATAAATAAATGTTTGATCGATATCTAATCAAAAAATCAGAGTGGCGCAGCGGAAGCGTGGTGGGCCCATAACCCACAGGTCCCAGGATCGAAACCTGGCTCTGATAAAAACTCTCTTTTATTTTGTTCTGAATATATGTTGGGCCTTGCAAGCCCAAATGTTTGAAACCCTTCCTACATAACGGAGCCCAAAATTGATCTAACCCATAAGCTTCATTTCTAGCTCTGCCTTTGAGCATTTTGCTCTTTCTATAATTTCAACGAAAAATTATAATTTCAGTCTCAGATACCTTTTCACCATTTCTTTTTTTTTTTCACAAATGTCTCGTGTTTTTTCTTCATTTATCATCATAAATGTCTCGTTACATTCAAAATATAATAATAAATGTTTTAAACGACTGAAAGATAGACATAGCATGATAGCAAACGTGTATATAAATTCAATCAGACCATTTTAAACAGCATCCATGTGTTGATTTCAGTTGTAAAAAAACTTAGGCATATATGTGACCACCATTCCATTAAAAACATAGGCATACAATCATACATATCACATAGATGGAGCACAAAGAAGAGACCACGTGCATCACGTGATGGTCTTTATCGTGATAGGTTAAAATCCCGTCTTATCACGTGAATCCCACGTGTCGTCACAACTTACGGTTCGTTTCCTGGGCTAACCGGGATACCACATCGTATCGTACACGTGTCATAATCGCGAAACCTCCGGCCAAAACTTAAGGTGGAGCTCACGAGAACTCTCCCGCAGGTAATTACAGCTCAGCCGAGTCACGAGTCACCAAAAAAAAAGTGAAAAATAAAAACGCAATAGCTCGTCGTCGACGGGAAAGCAACGAAAACAAAAAAGAAGAGAAGCCTCTGAACAAAACAACAACTGTTTAAAATTCTCATTTGCGAAATTCTCCGGCGAAGATGAGAACCGGAAAAGGAAATCAAGAGGAGGAAGATTACGGGGAAGAGGATTTCGGCTCCAGACGGGAAGGTCCTTCTTCTAACAACAGTAACACCGCCGCGAGCAGAGGTATATTATTTTTTCCCCGATCCAAATTCGACGGATTTGCATTTTCGTAGTTGTATTTTCTTCGATTTATGTTTGATTGGAGGAGCTATGTCGATTCCAATCGCGATGGAAGAGTATGGGATGAAATCAGGGAGGAAATGATTTTAAAGGTTTTCTCTGATTCGGTGTTTTTTTGAATTTTGAAGCAGATGCAAAGGAAAATGATAAGGCTAGTGCGATACGTTCTAAACATTCGGTGACGGAGCAGCGGAGAAGAAGCAAAATCAATGAAAGGTATGTTGAATAAACAGTGAATTTCAAGCTTTAGTGTGTTCTGTGCTGCTCTTGTAAACTTGAGATTTAGGAGTAATCGCGTCTTCTTCTTCATTTGATTAGGAACAAAAAAAAGTTACTTTGCCAGAAAAATCCTCAGAATTCATATCTTCTTTGGCTTTCTTATTGAGTGCTGAATTATATAAATTACTTGTCAGATTTCAGATATTGAGAGAACTAATTCCCAACAGTGAGCAGAAAAGAGATACAGCTTCGTTCCTTTTAGAGGTAATTTCATGGATGTTTGATGATGCTTAGTTCTCGTTCGTGGTTCGCTCTAATACTGATAATCTGATTCCAGGTGATAGACTACGTACAATATTTACAAGAGAGGGTGCAAAAGTATGAAGGACCATATCCAGGATGGAGTCAGGAACCAACAAAGTTGACTCCATGGGTAAAAATTCCAAGCTTTTGATTTGTATCTGTAAACGTTTTAGTACCTTGACTCTTATGTCTTGCACCTGCAAGTCTTTCTGCTGCCAGTTTTTGTTTAACTTTATGTATGTTTTGTTGATTGGAAACAGAGGAATAATCATTGGCGAGTTCAGAGTCTGGCGAACAATCCAGTCGCTATAACTAATGGAACTGGTCCAGTGATACCATTCCCTGGAAAGTTTGAAGAGAACACAATCGTCTCTGCACCAGCAATCGTTGCAGAAATGCAAAACTCGGTTGAAACTGACAAAGGAAGAGCTGTAACCTGCAAACCTATAGAGAGTCAGCCTGAGTCAGACGACAAGGGATTACAACCAATCCTTCCTTTGGTACTCGGTGAACAAGCTAATAACGAATGCCCCGCAACAAGTGATGGGCTAGGCCAAAGTAATGACATGGTTATTGAAGGTGGAACCATTAGCATATCTAGTCTCTACTCGCATGAGTGAGTTAAACCAACCTTCCTCATTTTCTGTTACTTCTAATAGATGTGTAGGCTTTTCTTATGAATGTGTACATTGGTTGTGATATGAACAGGTTATTGAGCTCGTTAACACAAGCACTCGAGGACGCAGGGATTGACCTGTCGCATGCTAAACTCTCTGTGCAGATCGATCTTGGAAAGCGAGCCAATCGTGACGAGTCACCATCGAATAAGGTACACTCTCATTTTTCGAAATACCTTCTTGTTTTAGTAGTAGTGTAAGAGGAAGTTTATATATCAAAATGGTCTTGATACGTTTTTTTTAAGTTGCAGAATCCATTATCATCTGAAGCAAGTGATCCAAGCGTTGAGGAACAACAACAATCTGATCGTTCTCATAAGCGAATGAAACCACTGTGACGTTTCTTCTCTCTTAGGCTCTCTCCACCGCGTTGGGATATATATAAAAAAATGTATTTGACAGATTTCTTGTACATTTTGTTCGGCTTCTAGAGGTTTCTTATTACGTTAAAGATAAAATTATGATTAGTAGTACTTAGTAGAATCGATTGGTTTTGCTTCTTCTTCTTTTTTGGTGGTTTTGATTGAGTTTGTATCATTATCAGCATCATTCATGTAACCTACCAAATATAATCTCTTGTGGAATACCAGATTGTTTCAAGTTACTGCATCATTGTTAGGAGAGCTAAACCAATCCAATTTTAGCTATTGTTGTGACTTGTTGTGACCCATAACTTTGATAAGAAAAGCATAATCAAATGCAGTTTCTTGGCAGTAAGCATAGCGACCACCTTCACCGAAATGGCCGCCGCTCATATTTGTTTTCAGAATCACAGCTCGTGAGCAGTCGTTGCACGTGCTCTCACGTATCTTAGCCACCCATTTTGCACCTTCCCATACTCCAACCCTGACACAACAACAACACACAATGTCTAGTTTGTGATCTTACTATATCAAAAGAAATGTGTTTTAAGGGTTCTTGTGTGAAGCTTGCCTTGAGTCATGAAACGAAGTTGTGACAAGCATGGAAGGATAGCAAACATCTCTGCGTATGTTATCATATGGAGAATAGCTAAGAATGGATCTAAAGTCGGTATCGATGTTAGGGTTCCCAAATTCTTCATGGTCCAAGAGTGTGAGAGGTAAGTTTGGATCCGATAGTGTGTTTAACACATCCACAAAAGGAACCTGCTCAATGTTACACATTGACGATATCAGCTTTTGCATATCATGGACACAATGTAACAAGACACCTTAATGCATTTGTAGTTCTCTACCTTTAAAATTGCAGCTTGGAATAGACTCGGGTGCATGTTCATGGCTGCAGCTGGAAGAATAGCTCCTGCGCTGTACCCGATAGCAGCAAGATTATGTCTATGCACATACCCCTTGTCGAATAGATAGTTCGCACTGTATATGAAATCTTGGACTGAGTTAAGTTTCAACGCTCCAGTTCCGGATTTGTGCCATGTAAAATCACCACCATCTCCTCCCCTGAGGCCAAAAATGAAACTCCTATTAGCACCACATTCAAATCAACCAGTATCATGCCAAGTGATGAACAAACAAACACTGGTATGTTTTCAGAACTTACCTGACATCAGCAAAGGCAATGACCCAACCACGATCAAGCATACTCAATCGGTTTGTGCACCAGCTTTTGTCCACAGCTTCTCCATATGCACCATAGCCTATCAATATCCCCGGGGATTCATTCTTCTTCCACGCTTCTCGGGAATATATAATCGTAAGAGGGACATCAACTCCATCGTGCGAAGAAACTTCTTGTCTTTCACAAACATATGCATCAGATAAGTCCTCCCATGTATGCATTTGAGAATCTTGTCCCTCACTGGCTCTATCATTTAGTTGACTCTTGTTGTCCATCGGTCTCATAACTCGCTCTCCCTCCTGATGCACAACTGAGAATGATCTTCTTGACACGTCATAGTCGATGATTGTGTCAGGAATCTGCAATCCCCAAAGATAACAGTAAGGTATTCAGAGAAACTATCAGAGAAGAAAGAACAATTCAAATGCAACAAAACTATCTTAAAGGACGCATATATACCACAGGAGATGAAAGCACCACTCGGTATATAGAGCTCTGAAAGTTGTGGTTAGAACCTGGCGCAACGCTGCATGAATCAACTGGAAGAGGAAAGTACCAGGGATTAAGATCCGCCATATGCTGCAAAAATAGAGCCGAAGCGAACAAATCTTAGTAAGAAATAGCTAATAGTGTCTGAAAACAAATCACACAAAGCTTTACACACCGTTGTATTTGCTTTCGTAGGCATATCAATAGAACATATCATTGGTAAGCCCTTCTTACTGAGGGAAAGCACAAGATAGTCATTAAACATGTCCATATCTTGAATCACAACATCATCATCTGGACAGAAAACAGTCTGACAAGAAAAAATCAGTAGTGCTCACTATCTGCAAATAGTTAAAGAAAAAATAATACATCTTTAGAATAACCTGCCAGTCTTTGGATGCTTCGATGTCCTCAACGAGGCATCTAGCCAAATAATAGCCTTCACCAGACCACTCACTCATTGCATTTGTATGAGCATTTGTAAGAATGAAAAAGAATCCATTGTGATGCTCGAGAAAACACCGCACGCCAGGGACTCGCTCACGAGCTCTTTGCAAACCAGCCTGCGGCTTCTCAGCATCTACGATATAAACCTGAAATACAAGATAACTCAGCTTTGAGACTAAAGAGTAACAGAAACTGAAAAACAAAAAAAAAAACTCAATTGGAAAAGTTTGAAACAGGTTTCATTCCTCGGATGAAGTCCTTGTGTTGGAGTTGATAGTCACAAACTTGCCATCTTTTGTGGTTGTTATGTCTACACAGAAACTAGAATCTCTTTCTGTAAACACCACTGTATCATCTGTCCCATCTGCCTCAACATTTGTAGCAACAACCCTGCCAAAAACAAGTCACAATTAAACAAACACTCCCCAAAACATAAAAAAGTTATCTACTTTGTTATGAGTCGCTATACTTGCCTATGAGGTCTTTGTTTATCATCTGCAACAGTGTAGAACAAAGTGCTTCCATCTAAAGCCCATGCCAAGCTCACAACTCCATCAACTTCCAATCTCTCAATTAAACAACCACTTCTCAAATCCTTAATATGGAGAAGGAAACGTTCATCTCCCTTGGGATCAACCGTGTACGCTACATAGTTGTGATCAGGTGAAAGTCGACAAACACCAACATGAACATAACCTGAAAGCATACACATACCACTTTACTTAGTGACTGTGAATTCGATTTCTCTCTTAAACTAACACTGTAGGAAACTTACCGTACTGCTCTGCAATTTGATTCCAGTCAAGCACAACTTCCTCTTCTTCTTCTCTACGGAAGAGACTAGAGAACCAATTTGTTTCAACCTTCTCCAATCTCCTACACATAAGAGGATATTCCTTTCCTTTGGGTATGTATTGCCTATATAACCTGCTCAAATGACATTTTAAACCCGATTGAACAATCAAGCTCGCTCCTTTTTTTGCCTCGAGTTCGAAAAAAGTTGCAGGATTAGAGAGAGAGAGGGAAGAAGTAACCAACCATGGTCCCCAACGCTCGGGAGGAGTGATAATCTCTTCGGGAATACGAGTTTTCATCTCGGAGACCAAATCACGCCGCAGGGTTTCTGTGTCAGCCATGAAAGCTTGAGCGTACGAGTTCTCACGCTCGAGGAAGTCGACGAAATCCGCGTCGTCCGTATTCCGCATCCAACGGTAAGGATCTTGCCTCGTGATCCCATGAGTTGAGACCGCGAATGGAATCTTCTTCGGAGCCGGAGGAGATTCCGTCGGAACAGAGAGTGATGCTGTTCGTCGAACAAAACATTTCGTCGAAAAAGAAGAAGACGAAGACGAAGAAGTAATAGAATTTGACCAAACAGATGATATGGTCGTCGGCGACTTGAGACGCCGGAGAAGAAATGTTACTGCCATAAAGACGACAGTTTGGGAAAAAGATTTGATCTTTCAGTATTAATTTTCATCCAAGACTTCAAAGTTGTAAGCTTTTTTACTACCAACACCAAAAAAGTCTCGTTTTTTATAATCTGCGAATCGAATGAATAAAATGTGTCTTCTTTTGCATATTCGCTAAAGCAAAAGCTATACATTGATGATTGAAACAAGATCATATACCATCGTTAACTTCCCTTAATTGGGTTATAAAAGACTAATATTTTTCTACTTTGCTGCTGCATCTGTCTCTTTCTCTTTAACTTTCTCTTCTTCAACATCCTGAAAACACATGGAAAAAAGCAAGATTTTAACAAAAATGTTCGTTTGTGGTATCTTCTCAAGACCATAAAGAAGAAACGCTTACCGAGTTGCCAATCTTGTCAAAGTCATCATCATCCAGACTTCCATCACCATCATCTGCATCTGGCAAAGGTTTAGTATCAATATTTAAGAAGAATCAAATCAGAGTTAAAAGCTTTGGAAGCAAACAAGTCAAAGGTCTCACCAGGAGCTTCGTCACTGTCTTCTAAATCTCCCAAGAGGAATGTATCAAGATCATGCTCAGATGATGCAGTAGATGTTCTATTCTTTTGCACATCCTTCTCAGCTGCTTCTGTCCCTCCAACCGCTAGAGCCTTCTTCGCTTCTTCATCTTTACTCTCTGCTTTGCTCCTAAGTTCCTCCATGTACTTCCTCTCATATCTGAGCCAAAACAAATCCTTTCAGCTTAATCCATGGATTATAACTGTAGCTAAGAAAGTCTCAATTCACTAACGACATGTCTTAAGCTGCTCAGATTCAGGAATATACATTTCTTAAGCTACCTTTACCACTCCTATGCGCTTAAAGCCATTCTCAATCCAAGTCTATACTCATTATTGTACTAAAGTGCCAAAAGAGATGGTATTAGAGCCTTACGGTGCAACATGAGTGCTCACTAAGGTGAAGTAAATCCTCCAGAATCTCCTTTCTTTCATGACTCTCGGGCACAATTCATATCTCAACTTCGAAATTTGCTGCAACATACACAAAACGCAAGCATTAAAACATGAATGAAAGATGAATCAAGAAGCTAACCAGTATGCAAGATCGGTCTTACCACAATGCCTAACTTTTACAAACCTAATTTCATCCTCAATTTTGTGATGAGAACAATACCTTGACAGAGCCAAGAACAAGAGTGGCATGCCTCTCCTGCCACTCCGAGAGATCCTTCCGCACATTCGACGCAGTAGTTGTCAAATCAGAAACTTCCGATGATTCATCTATCCACATTTGATCATAACACATTACAGATTGTTCAATGCGAAACGAAGAATTGCGCTAAGCAACAAACAATTTACAACCATACCTTGTTCAGGGAAAGCCTGGAATGTAGCAGAGGTCAATCCTTTGACGAACTCTCTCAGATCATCCGTGATACCGAAGCTAAGAAGCTCAGCTTCGGTGATCACAGAGCCAGATCCCGATCCGGACCCGAACGACGCGAGCTGGGGAGGGATAATGTCGGCAATCGACTTCATATTCTGGATCTGATCGGCTTGTTTCATCGCGACGACTTTGAGCTGATCCGCCTTGGTGGAGACCTCGGCGGCGAATTCCTTGGACTTTTTCGCCGTCTCGGCGACGAAATCGGAGACATTGAGCTGATCGGCCTTCTTAGAGGCCTCGAGAGCGAATTCCTTGGATTTCTTCGCGGTTTCGGAGACGAGGTTGGCGAAGGTCGTGGAAGATGATTGCAAGGTTATGGTCTGAGATTTCTTGGCTGCTTCCTCGGCAAACGATTTCGCTCTCTTCCAGAAATCCTCCATTTTCCTCGGGCGCAAAGTTTTGTTTCCCCGATCTGTTATTTTCAGCGTCACTGACGGAAATTAAAGGCAAAAAACGTTCCGCCAAAACGCTGAGAGTACCTCCGGATCAGGCAGAGGTTTCGATTTTCGAACTCTTTTTATTGGTTTGCTGAATTTTTATAATTATCCAATTCAAAAATAATGCATATTTTTTACTGTAGTTTAATTTTTTAAGTGAGGAGATAAAAAAAATAAAAAAAAAAATAAAAAAAAAAAAACAACATTTTGTTCGAATCATTATGATTTACATATAAAAAAATTTCCACTTATCCAAGAACCAAAATCATATATCTGAAAAGAGGCCAACTCTCTCCCTCTATGTGATATGTGGATACTCCTATAATTAATATGTGTTATGACTTTTCATTTTCCTTTCAGTTAATAATTTTAATTCTTATTTGTTTGCCAAACTTTTCAATTATTATAATTAAAACCACTTTATTACTTTAAAACTATTATATTTGTTAAAAAAAACTATTGTATTTCAATTTTCATCTTGAATAATTATCAAACATCTAAATTCTCCGAATATACGGAGATACGGATCCAACAAATAGCAATGACGGGAAAATAAAGTATGTTCAATGTGATATTGGATAAAAAAATAGAATTGATGGCATATAAACGTGTGATATAATGCAAAAAAATACATTTGAAAACAGTCACTAATCATACAAGGTATTTGGGTAAGAGTTTATAATATTAAACACAAATCTATAGTTGTTTTTCAGTACCTTGTAACTAAAGAAAAATCTGCGCGTATGCGCGAGCATTAGTCTAGTAGTTCTATGATTTAATCAAACCACAAACACACTCATTTTTAGGTTAAACAACTATATTGTCTACATCAATAACCGATAAAAAAAAAGTGCCAATGAGAAACAGTATATTTCTATCTCTTGCTTTCTGAGCCAGTAGATCCGTCTGGTTATTTTTAACTTTTTGGTGGTACATGAAGCTGAATTTCAAGAACTTGTGAAGATTTGTGTCCATATAGGGTAGGACTACTTATGCAATATATGGTTAGAAGCTTTCATGCTAACAAAATTTCAGGTACATATTCATCTTGCAAAGGAAGTGTGTGAGATTGTTATATCTTCATATATTTATCTTGCAAAGTTTATTTTTCCTTTGTATCACTAGCTCTTTCAAGGAAATTTAAGTCGATAAAGATACAGTGATTTGATTATCCAAGTTTTAACCTTTATTTGGACGTATTGGTGTGATAAGGGAGTAAGAGAAACCCAAATGGCCAAATCTATCTAGAGTTTATTGTATGGGTCTCTTAGACTACTGACCATATTGAGTTCAAGAATCAACAATATAATCATCATAATAAGCTATTAAACTCACTAGCCAAAAACACTATTTTCATGTTTTTACCCTTACGAAACATAGATAGATCAATAAACTATTTACCATTTGTGCAACATTGTACATCAAGCAATAAATTTGGATCAAAAATAGACAATTATATACACAACAATGAAAGTTCAGATCAAGCAAAGACACATTGTCTACAAATCCCCCAACAAGGCTTTAGCTTTTCTACTCTCTCTATTACAATTTACAATAGTGTCTATAAATCAAATCCCCCACAGTACGAATGGAAAAGACACACTTGTTCAGTTGTTCTTGCCAATAACTATAGTATATTAAGTACTTTATCTATTAGCAGGAGAATAACAACAACAACGAAAATATTTACAAATGTATTCATTGTGGATAACAAGAACAACAAAAATAGAAATGGTGTGCACTAAAATAAAAAGACCATCAAAATAAATAAGAAAAGATAGACAGTGAGAGTGAGAGGTACGACAGAATATATGGTTAGGGTGTGGTCGAATCTTTGTATGCAGCAAGAGACCACTCTCTAACCCCATAGGACCATTTCTTTGTACGACAGGTCAAACATTTTCGGATGCCTCGCACAAAAAAATTTTAAATGGTATTTCTTTCATATGGGTTTTTTTCTTGTAAATGTTTAAAAAACCAATTAGCGATATCTGAGGTCCAAACCCATTGTTGATAGTTATCATCGTGTCATTTCGTGTTATGGTATATAACAATTTACATGTTAGCCTACATACAAATATGAAATAAATTTTTTAATCGATTTAAGATGTATACAGTGGGTGATGGGTGGGACCATTTTGGTTGATTTTGGTGGGTGTCAGATTGTGAAGTGAGCCAAGTTGCCCATCCCTTTGGAGATTTATCCAAATCTTTTCTGATTGATACACTTTTGTTACATATACTTCAACTTTGTAGCAGTAATTATCTTGTCGTTCCAATCTACGTTTTCATCTGTAATTTTTAGGTCTGAATGCACTTTTTTACCATTTTAAAACTACTTATGTATTCAAAGATATTATGAAGTGAATTTGATCCCTTTCTTGTACGGGAACAGCTCGAGTCCGTGGCAGCTACAAACTTCGCCCGAATGTAGATTGCGTGACTTCTACGCAACCTAAGATGCCAGAATAAAGTCGGGCAGTAGACAAAACGAAGAACATTACATTTGTTATATACTTATATATAGATATCCAGTTGATAATTACCGTCTAATCCAAGGATTTTTGGACCTTGAAGTTGAAGTGACGAGAGTATAGAGCAATATTTTTAAGAAAGAAGAAAAAGATATTGTTGTGGTTATTAACTACACTAAGAAAGAATACATTATACAACACATAATGCATGCAACAGCAAAGTATTCAAGAGAGTTACTCTAATTAAGGAGGGCTATGAGATGGAAGTTTAGTGGGCCTGAGGAGTCGAGTGAAGGAGTCGCAAGTATTTGGTGAAAATTAAACCTCTAATACTCGAAAGTATAAATTAGACGATGTATCTTTAATCGGAATTCTAAACCAGTTACGTTGTTAAAACTTTTAGTGTTGGTTCGGTTCATATATTTTCATAGCATTGTACAACACATATAGTCCAAAGACCTGATATAGATGCCACTTTCAAAATTTTAAATTCTAGTTATCTAATCAATTTCAAAACTTGCGGAGTTTATTGTATTTTATTTTAAACTAGATATAGACAATTTTAGTAATCGGAAAACATATATTACAACACTCTTATATATGCTCATCCAAAGTTATGAAATTCAAAAGTTCTTTT